CCATGGCAGGGGAGTCGTGATGTAGTCGAACGAGATCACGACGAAGAGTTTCGGATGGTGGGACGTAAATCTTTCCCTTGTAGAGGATGACACCATCGCGAACTTCCCAGTCGGAAAGCGATGATTTCATGGGGAATGGCCCTTTGTGTGCAATCGCTTCGAGGGCTTCGTGAACAATGAGGTCTTTTGCTGCGTGATTCCTGATTTCGTCGAATAGTGTCGGGGAAATGGATCGCACGAATAGTGCATTGGGTAAAAGAATGCGATCTTCGTTGTCACTTTCACTGTCATCGAGTCCATTACGATGAGAGAGCGCATCAGATTGGATCATCTGAGTGCCAGGGACATGGATGAGGTGAAGATCAAATTGTGATAATTTGAGACTCCATCGTGCCTGTCGGCGGTTTAACTTCTGAGCTGTACGGAAGTACGTGAGGTTCTTGTGATCACTGCGAACTTCGACGGGATGGGGAGAGCCTTCAAGATAATGGCGCCATTCAGTGAGGGCTCGAATAATTCCGAGGAGTTCGCGGTCGTAGATTTCGTAGTTCCGTTCAGCTGGATTGAGCGTCTGTGAGATGTAGGCACAAGGATGGAGTTCTCCATTGATATCAGCTTGGCGTAAAACTGCACCCGTAGCAAACTTGGAAGCGTCGGATTCAACAATAAAGGGTTTTGCCTTGTCAGGCAGTAACAGTACTGGGGCGGTACTAAATCGTTGCTTCAATGTGTCGAAAGCTGTCTGACATTCTGTTGTCCATTCAAAAGGTGGAGATCCAGCGGCAGTGCGCGTAAGATTTGTCAATGGTTTGGCAATATCCGAGAAGTTGGCAATAAACTTCCGATAGAAGTTTCCAAACCCTAGGAAAGAGCGAACACCTTTTACCGTGCTTGGTTCAGGCCATTCCGCAATTCCTTTAAGTTTGATAGGGTCCATGCCAATGTAGTTTTCTCGAATGATCATGCCTAGGAATTCGACTTCTTTAACGTCAAAGAAACACTTTTCCGGTTTAAGGAATAAGTCGTTGTCTTTGAGTTGTTGGAGTACGCGTCGGGTTCGAACGTGATGTTCTTCCAAATCATTTGAGAAGATGAGGATATCATCCATGTAAATGACTATCCATCCCTCGTCGATCATGTCCTTGAAGAGTGCGTTCATCATCATTTGGAAAGTCGCCGGGGAGTTGCAGAGTCCAAAGAACATGACCATAGGTTCGAAAAGTCCGCGATTTGTCTTAAATGCGCCCTTCCATTGGTCACCATCTTTGATTCTGACATTGTTATATCCGGAGCGTAAATCCATTTTCGTAAAGATCGATGCGCCTTTGAATTGATCCATAAGGTCAGAGATGAGCGGAAGAGGATAGGCATTCTTCACCGTCCCTTCATTCAGGTATCGGTAATCCTGACAAGGACGTAGCGCTCCGTCTTTCTTTCCTACGAAGAAAAACGGTGAAGCCATGGGAGATTTCGACGGTCGGATATATCTTTTTCGCAGATTTTCTTCCAGGAAGTCATCCATCGCTCCTTGTTCTTTGAGCGATAACGGATAGACTTTACAGTCGCGTGGAATAAAATCGGGTTTCAAGTCAATGGCGTGGTCCCAAGGCCTGGTTTCTGGAAAGCGTTCAGCTGCTTTCTTTTCAAAGACGGACTTCAAATCGTGGAGGTAATTGGGGACCAACTCCTCGACGGTTTTGGGTTTGTCTACAGCTGATGCTTCCTTGTGTGCCTGTTGTGCCAATTCTTGTGATTTACCGGATGGTTTGTAAAAGACCGTATTCTGTGCATTATAGAATAATGGGGATCGAGTACTGTGTGTCATTCTTCCAATGGCGGGACCTCTTCGTATGGTGAAGACTGCGGTTTCAGTCTCTTCATTCGTCAAAGGTGACTCCTTCCTGATGGGTTCAAATATCCCAATGACTGGCTCTCCTGCGATATAGGATATAACTAGATCGTCGTCATCGAGCTGATCCATAGGGGATTCTGATGATAGGTCATCTGGTTCGGTATCATTCCGCACTGCGGGTAACTCGCCACGCTCAGTGTTATCGGCCATGATTTCTCTGATAGATTCCGAATGTCCAAACGAGGTAGGGGAAGTTTCGGTGGTGATTAACTCTGGGAGTCCATCTTCCTTGAAAATCGAAACTTCTTCATCTGGTGCATCTTCGACGGTGGGTTTCGGTGGCCATTTGGCATCTTTACCAAACCAAAAGTCACCGGTTTCCCAGTTGATCATTGGATTGAGGCGTTTAAGCCACGGCATGCCGAGAAGTATGTTTTCTTTGCCAATGCCGGTCAAGAGGAAGCGAGTAAGCGTCTTCCTTCCTCCGATTTTCATCATCTTCCAGGTGCAATGAGTAATGGTACCCATTTGATTTGGTGTGCCATCTGCATTCATGACTGTAATCGGTTTCGGTAATTCCCATCTGATGAAATCGTTTTCTTCCGCAAAATGAATGTTCATGAACGTTTCGGCCGCACCGGAATCGATCAAGGCTTCTGTTGTAACGTCTTCCTTCTCTCCCAACGAAATATTCACAGTGATTGAATTTCCGCTAGTGTTACAAATAACGAGGGGAGATACGATAAGATGCGACGGTCCATGCATTACTAGTGGCCGTCGTCTCAAAAACCCAATTGGGTTCGTTCTTCGTCAGTCATGTCGTTGAAGACGTTTCGCACATAGGCGATCTGTTCCTCTCTGGTTTCTTCCTTCGACGTCTCCTTCTTCTGTGCGAGGTCTTCTCGCATCTTCTTGATCCATGTGATCGTGTCTGTGTCTAACCCGGGCTGTATCGTTCTGGCACGGGTGAAACTTCCAGACTGGGGGTGAAATTGTCTGTCGTTGGCTATATGGCCCTTCTTTCCGCATAGGAAACATAATCCTTCTTTCATTCTCTTCTGTCGCTCGTCTGGGGATAAGCGCGAGATATTGACACGATCAACATCCATCGCGTTTGGATCCTTTGCAGAAGCCGAGTAGTAGGGACGATGGACAGATCGGCCCTTTCCTCGTGTCGTCATAGTGGCTCCTCGCTTGAAGATCTGAGCAGATCTCCATTGGTTATCAAACTGCGAGGCGTATTCGTACCACTTGTCAAGTGTCTTGGGCATGCTTTCCATCCCATATATCCTTTGTCGGAGTGGGTCGTTAAGCCCCCACTTGAAATACTCGATATTTCCGGCATCTTCTAGTTTCGCCTTGGATTCAAGCGATCGGAATTCGGCAATGTAGTCGTCCGCAGTACGAGTCCCTTGCTTGATGTTACGCAGCAAGGTACGAGCGGTTTCTTCAATATTTTCATCGCCAAATGCTTTGTTCACACTCGCAATGAAGTCTCTCCAACTCCCATAAGAAAGGAAGTCGTCATTGGTGAGTTCCGTTTCTATGAAGCTCTGTGCCCATGATCCTGCTGTTCCTCCTTGCATGTGCGATAGCACGAATGCGATCTTCTGATTGTCCTCCTGGTAGACATGGCTATTTCCGGCCATGTAGTTCTTGCATTGGTTTATAAATTCCCTAAGCTTCGAACGGTCTGAACCGTTGAAGATCTCGGGTTTTCTAAAACCAAGTTCCTTCTGGCTAGCATGGTGACGTCCTTCATCCATGGTAACTGTAGCCATCGGTGGTATGTAATCGGGTACGATTGGTGCAAGAGTCGGTTGGGGTACAGGATTCTGGGCAGGGGGGTTCCAAGGGGCGTCTGGTCTTTCTCCTGGATAGGAGGTTGTTATACCGCTGTCTGCGATGTGCTGGAGGACTATTCCACCAAGATTATGGGGAAGTGTCCTTTCAAATTCCTCTGGGGAGTAGTCGAAGTTGTGATTGTCTGGCCTGATGAATACAGGCCTTCCTCCTATGAAATGTGTGTTTCGTTCTGTGCTCCACTCCGCTTGGGATGGGAGGTGCTCGCGGTACTGCTCTGGAAGAGCGGTCGGGTTGATGTAGTTAAAATCCAGCGTGGATAAATCCTTCTGTGTGGCCTACGTCTACACGTAGACTGCACACCGTCCTTAACTAAGTGGGTTCGTTCGTCGTCGGCTAACAAGCCCGTAGAGTGTCTTCTGTCTTCAAACTGATACACCTATTTGCTGATTGCTCGAGTGATTACCTCAGCCTCCTCGGCCTATTGGTCTCTCGGACAGACCCCTCTCCGAAGATGAGTGATCAGTCTATCCCTTCAGCTACCTCGATTACAGAGTAATCTCAAACGGTGCTTTAGCAATCGAATCGGGTGTATCGTTCAGTCTTCAAGGTTCGGTCCGGTCGGTAGTTCGTTGTTAGACTCTAGGAAGTCACAGAGAGTAATAAGATCTCGACCTAATGTTACGCGGCAGCGAAACACGAGCGTCTAGTCGAGTCGTCACGAGACAAGGTCTTTAGTCTAAGACACAAGTCTGTTCAAGTGACACTTCTGGCGATGCCCTCGCACTGAAGGTCGATCAGAGTTCGTTCTTATGACTCGTAGTAGCTGTCTGCTACTGACGGTCGATCTCAGTCAAAGGCAAGTGAAAAGCTGGTTTAATGGTAACCAGGTCGAGATGGGGATCCAGCTCGACAAGGTCGTCTACTTATACAAAAGGTATCCGCAGTACTACGCAGTAATGCGAGATCGTTCATTGGCTAGATAAGGTGAAACGATATCTGGGCAAGGTAACAGCGAGGAAGTAATATGTATGAGAAAGCTGAGTAAGGTCGTGAGAGATAATCAGTACTAATGGGGATAACGAGTCGTGTATCAGAACGAGGTAAAGATGAGGCGTACATGCACGTCTTGCATGCGCGATAAGAAAAAGGTCCGGAGTTGGATCCGGTGTAACCCTAGACTAGGGGTTCTGGACATCTGGGTAAAGAATCGGAGGTTGCGCTCCAATGAGTCACGTGTTGGATCACGTGGTCTGGTAACGTAAAGGGAACAAGGAAAAGAAAAAGAAAAGACGCGCCACAAGTGGGGAGCGTTGTAACACAAAGGGAAAAATTATCAATCCCGATGGCATCACCATCTGTACCGATTGGCAACGTCCCCGATCTTGTACATCAAAGAGCCATCGTCACGAGTGCTCGGGATGCGGAGACTCATCTCACGGCGCTCATCAATGCCATTTTGCAGAGACGCTTCCATCCTCTCACCCCTCTTCGAGCTGAAGGATGGCACGAGCTGCTATCAGATTCAGGTTTGCTCACGCGGTATCCTTTCATCGTACACTCTATCAGACACAGCTTCGACGTGGGAATCAAACCCATTCCTTTCACCAACACGCCTCCCAATAGTCGCACCCTTTTGGAGCATAATGCCGCTTTTCAAAACATCGTGCGACACGAGCTGCAGCAAGGCCGCTACCTCGGACCCATGTCGCGCGCAACCGTCGAATCTCTCATCGGTCCTTTCCAATCCTCTCCACTGTCTCTCGTGCCGAAACCTCACAAACCAGGTGTTTTTCGTCTTGTCCAAAATTTTTCCTTTCCGCGCACTCCTTCTGCTGTCTATACATCTATCAACTATCATATTGACTCAGATAATTACCCGTGTACCTGGGGAACCTTCACAGCCTTTTCCTTGCTATGTTGGCGCGTTCCCCCGGGCTCTGAAGGCGCAGTCCGTGATGTCTCCGAAGCCTATCGTATCATTCCTCTTGCCTCATCGCAGTGGCCCGGTACCGTCGTCCGTCTATCTGAGGGTGACGAATTCGCTCTCGACACCAGCGCCGCCTTCGGTGTCACATCCAATGCGGGCGTATATGGCAGCGTCGCAGATGCGGGAGCAGACATCATGCGTTCCAAAGGCATCGGCCCGCTTTCTAAGTGGGTGGATGACCACATTTTTATACGACTACTTCGCTCTCACCTTGCTGATTACAATCACAGGCGCGAGGAATGGCGCACTCGCATCGAAGCTCATGGTGGTCGACACCACACGGGAGGACGTTTCTGGTTCGGCGGGGATCTATTGCCCGATGGGAGGACAGATGAGTTCGATGAGGACATGGCCTGGCCTCTGCGAGACCTTTCGCAGCGATCCCCTCGCTCAGACCACGATGCTCGTTTCACTTATAACCTCGATGATATCGATTCAATCTCCTCGCATCTGGGCATCCCCTGGAAACAGGAGAAGGACATCCCTTTCAGTTCATGCTTCCCATTCACAGGTTTCTCCTGGGATCTCGAAACACGTACCGTGGCCATTCCTCCGGCCAAGGCAGCAAAATATCGCACGGCAATTGAGGACTGGTCGCGTTCCCGCACGCACTCCCTGCTCGATGTCCAGAAGCTATACGGCAAACTGCTCCATGCATCCTTGGTCGCTACCGTGGGACGTGCTTACCTCACCAACCTAGAAGCCATGCTGGGCCTCTTCAGTAACTGTCCTTTCAAGCTTCTCCATCCACCTTCTGGCACCACCGCAGATCTCGAATGGTGGACAAGAGCACTCAGCCAACCAACCTTATCCAGACCAATCCCAGGCCCCTGCGAACTGGCCGATGTCCATGCTTACTCCGACGCAAGCTCGGGCATTGGCATTGGTGTCGTCATCGGTGAGCGATGGCGCGCATGGCATCTCCTACCAGACTGGAAAAGAGATCTTCGGGACATTGGCTGGGCCGAAGCCGTCGGCTTCGAGCTCCTCGTACGCCTCCTCCTCACAGTCCCCTCCTTCCCCCGCCACCTCAAGGTCTACGGAGACAACAAGGGCGTCGTCGAGGGATGGTGGAATGGACGCAGCCGCAATCGTCAGGTCAATCTCGTCTTCCAGCATTTACACTCCCTTCTTGGCAATGCCGGCTCCTCCATCCACACCAGGTACATTCCCAGCCAAAGCAACCCAGCAGACGCACCATCCCGTGGCATCTATCCCAAGTCCCTTCCCCTTCTTCCTGCCATCGAGATTCCTCCCGAGCTACACCCCTTCCTCGTCAATTTCGACGCCCCCCCAACCTCAGCCGAGCGTCACCTCCTCCAACAAGGCCGCCGCATCGCTCCCCTCACCAAAGTATACATTGACAGGCCAGCCGCAGAGTGCGCTTCACTCAACTTCGAACGCGACCGCCAGAGCGATGAGCTCCTCTGGCACGGTTCTTACTGGGATGACTAGCCGACGTCTCAATGTGCCGTTACCTGCTCACAGCCCCGCTCATCGCTGACCTCAACCATACAACATGAGCCTCACTCCTCTGCCGTCCCCGCTGCGACCTCATTGTCTGGCGCGAGAACGTCTCCACTCATGGCGGCCCCCATCCTCGCGACGGCCGCTCGATGCGCATGGTGCCCCCGTCTCACTCAGTGCTGAAGACATCGCTCGTATCGAAGCCGTCACAGCCTTCGCCTGGTCAGAAAACACAGCCGAGAGCTATGGTTCGGGTTTGCTAGTTTTTCACGTCTTCTACGACACGAAAGACATTCCCGAGAGCAAGCATGCCCCTGCTAGCTCTATCCTCATGGCTTCCTTCATCGCAACTCTTGCCGGGGCATATGCGGGCAAGACCATCGGAAATTACGTCGCAGGTGTTCGCGCATGGCATCTCCTGCACGGTCTTCCTTGGATCATGGAGAAGAACGAGATGGATGTCCTTCTCAAATCTGCAGACATCCTCACTCTGAGTTCATCGAAACGCATCCCACGTGAGCCTTTTACCATCGAAATCCTCGCCCACATTCACGGCAAACTCTCCCTCTCTGAGCCTCTCGATGCTGCGGTGTGGGCCTGTCTCACAACCGCCTTCTATGCAGTCGCCAGGGTGGGTGAGGTAACAGTTCAGAATCTCACCGCGTTCGATCCCGCTTTACACGTCAAACGTTCAGACATCCGCGTGGCCAGAGATCGAAATGGGTTTGAAGAAACCGTCTTCCACCTCCCCGTGACCAAGGCGGCCCCACACGGTGAAGACATTTTCTGGGCCAGGCAAAACGGTCTCACAGACCTGGCGCAGGCGCTCGAAAATCATTTCGCCATCAACCGCCTTCCGGCCGATGCTCCCCTCTTCACTTACCGGCACGGACCGTCGTCGCACCCACTCACGCGGCAGATTTTCCTCCAACATGTCAGCAGGGCAAGCAAGGACCTCTCGCACAACCTTCACGGCCACAGCATTCGCATAGGTGGTACTCTCGAGTACTTACTGCGAGGTATCGCATTTGAAGTGGTAAAGTCGAAAGGGCGTTGGCAGAGCAACACCTTCACCCTATACCTGCGCAAACATGCGCAAGTAATGGCGCCCTACATGCAGGCTGTCCTCGCGATCCATGAAGCCTTGGTGCGCTACTCCATGCCTCCTGTGCGCTAGGTAAGCATCAACTCCTAGTCTTGGGGGTATCCGAGCTCGCGCTGATGCGTCGTTGATCTCCTACCTGGTAAAGGGGATCGCCGCTCGTTTCTCGGATCTCCTGACACCCAGAGTTTTGTTCTTTGCATCGGAAGGCCCCTAGCGGGCTTCACCCATTATATTCGCACTCTCGTTTTCATTGTACCTTTTCCTTCATCGTCTATTTGCAGTACCTTTCTCATCGCGCCTTTCTATTCCGTCGCTTTCCCCACAGCTCTGTTTCGCCCTAGTCATAGTACTAGATTATGCGTAGCTCCATTCCGTCCTTGCCCAGTCATCTCATATTATACTCGTCGTATTTACTGATGCAATGCACTTTGTTCTTGGCTTTCTTTTCAGTGCGCTGAGCGAGCGACTTTCATAGACATAAAGAGGAGCTACAAAAAAGGATTACATAAGTATGTCACCTGTTTGTTACCTCTGTGACCCGACATCACACCCACTAAGCGCCCGACCCCGACCCCGCCCTCCCGCCGCCGGCCGAAGACCATCCCCTGATACGCGTTGCAAGCTCTCATTTGCGATAGGTTTCGCCTGTAAGGCATGGAACTCATGAGAGTAAGCTTTTACTCACCTCCTACTAGCAGTTTCCTAGGTGGAAATAATTTCCGGTTGAGGGCCTCGGAGCCCCCCCCTACCCTGTGTCTCGGATTTTGCCGGTGCATGCCTGCATCAAGTTGAATTGATTGGGGATCGTTGAACACGTGATCGCGGAGCTCCCTTCATACGATACGGGGACCTGGGATGGCTGCCTACTACACTTGTCTCACTGTGTCTCCCTGGGCAGACTGAAGAAATATCTGCTGAACTCCGAGTGAGCAAAAGAGCTTCTGGGGCGGTATCACTGAGATAAGATCGTCAAGCGCCCTACACGAACGACTGCTGCACTCATGCCAGTAAATTCCGGTTCTTTTACTAGCTAGGCAATTGCTTGCATACACGCTCGAGCCCTCGAATTGAACCTGAAGAACGCACACCAGTGTGCTCTCTGTCTAGGAACGTGTCTTACTATACATAATAGCCGTCTTGCTTTGACTCTATGACTCTCAATGACTCAAACGCTTTGACTGACCACGATATAGTTTGTGGACGATACGGAGTCCGATTCGTTTTCGGTCTTCGCGACAAGATAGCCCAATTGCAAAGAGTCGTGTAATATCAGTGCGTCCTAATTAGTGTATTGAATTTTACTTGAATGTTTCTCTGTAAGCTAGGAACATATCACTAGCTCGTCGTCGCTTAGGTCTGGACGAGCTCAGAACATTGTCAGTGTATCAATAATCGCTCACGCAACTCACCTCCGTGCTCTGTAGAACACTTGCATGTTGACGTGGCAATGTGTTGGACCACTACGAGTGGCGTTGGGTCGGCCACTCGCAGATGCAACAAGCGCTGGGCAGTGCTCTAAAGCAAAACTCCTCGTCCTCTTCGTGTCGTTCGGGGTTCGGGGTTCGGGCGCCATCTGAATTTATGCAAAGCGGACGCTTGTGGCCACCCGTCATGCTAAAGCCATTGTTCAGTAACCTCCCCGCACGGATTGCATTTCCATTCGAAGTGCGGAGGTGGGGCTTGTTAACCCTTGTTTGTCTGATATGGGCTAAGGCTTTGTCCGCAACGTATAAATTGAAGTTCTTCTCTTTCGTAACCTTTTTTTCTCTGTACCGGTCCACCATCTACGCTGCGGGGGTCCCATTGGCCTCGTCGCTACCGCGTCGCCACATCGTCATCATCGGCTTTCACGTTAGCTCTTAGTCTCCGTAACGCCTCCGTGTCGACGCGATATGGGATTTTACTTGTCGTTTGCCCACTTCTCGGCCTGTGGTAAGTGAACTTGTTATACCTGGTACGATCATTCTAACGCCTCGCAGTCTTTCTCTTCGTGATGCATGCTGTTCTGGTTGGCCTCTTGGGAATTTCGTTCCACGGCAAGACTGGAAACCGTAAGTCCCCAAGTGTCGATATTTTCTTCCTGCTGGTCGCTGAAATCTACTTTTCAGCCTTTGAGGTTGGTTGCATAGTGATCGACTTGATCGCTATGATACTCCTGGCAGCGCAGTACGTCACGGCCACCAAGACAATATCTCGTCCTTATCCTAGTGTGAACTCCTCCTACTAGATTCGTACATTACGTGCGCCGGGAGTGGTCAGGATTAAGCACCAAGATCTATGTGCTGTATGCGGGCATACTGCTTCTGTTGACAACTGGTGTGTGCAGATCACACCCTTACCTGACGTTCAAGCACTCACCCCAGTAGTTGGCTCCCTCATACTCACCGCACGCGCCTCCCAGACGCCCAGTTTGTGGGCAGACTACGTCGGTCTGAGTTTCCCAGAGTTTCTGGCCGCTATGACTCTGGTGACGTCGTGGTGCACCACCCTCATCGGTGAGCCCCTCCATCTCTGCGTAGGGTCACATTCTGACGTCCTCGCAGCTGTGGTCGGGCTCGTGTTGGCTTTTCTTGACAAGAAACCTGATGACAGTGATGTCTGGGAGCCGCAATTCACAACTTTGCCTGACGGACGCCGCCTGAGGTTTCGTCGGGTCACCGCTCCCGTGTCACCTCCTCCTGTCTACTATCCCCAAGAGAAGCTGGAGCGTGTCACTCGCCCTATTGTGAGACAAGGCGCTGTGCAACCGGGTACCACTCATCCCTACTGGATAGAACGCCGCTTGCAGCCAAAGCGGACGGCCAACAACCGACGTTCCAGAGAGGTGGCCTAGTCCGTTATTTCCATCTTGCTACTTATATGCACGCCGCAATCGTTCACATTGTACTATGTATTATTTAGCATCCCGAACGGATGGAGTGCACTTTTAACTGCTCTTATTTTCCTGACTGGCTCAGCAGCGCTGTTAATCTGGTGTTGCGTTAATTGGTGGGGCAAGGTAAGTATCTACATGTCTGTACAGGCTGTCGTCCGTGTCTGCGTCTTTCCAGTACTGATCCCACTCATCCTCGTCTGCACGGGGCCCATCTTCTGCCTCTATACTTTCCGCGGCTGGGCCTGCGTCTTCGGCTGGCTGGGCGTTACTATCGACCAATTTGGGGTTGCCTGAAATAAGGCCAACGTCGTACGGAGATACATCATAGGGCGTTTGCGCTGGCGTTGCCGTTGGACCTGGGGCGATCACACTCTCAGTGCTAACAGCCCGCGGAGGCTCAGGGAATGCGGGCTCCTCGGGGACGGTCACAATGCCCTGGTCGCAGACGACATAATCCAAGGATGCCGGTAGGGCGACGCAGCTGAAAATGACGCTGAGCCGGCGGACGAACATGGGCAGGTCGCCAACACGCTGCGCACCGTCCGACGCATCCTCGAGCCTGCGACGCTTCCGCCTACTGCTCGCGAGGTTGCTGACATCGATGTGCCGCATTCTGCCCGTGCGGCTCATCATGATGCGCGCATTAACCTGGTTCGCCCATACGAGCCCGAGCGCGGCCTCCTTTCGCTCCTCGCCTGGCACGCTGTCCGCGCGCCCGAAGAAGCGCGCTTGGTCGCGGTAGAGCATGTCGCCTGTGAAGCCGGCATCGGCCTCGAGCGTAGCGCCAAACACGTCGATCACCTCGTTCAGCACAAGCACCGCGAGCCGATGCCGGCGTGTGAGATCGTACAGGAGTGCAGAGATTTCGGAAAGGTTCTTGGAGCGCTCAAACAGGGTGTGCTTCGATGTCTTGCTATCCGAGTGGAAGAGCTCCGTGAGTGCGTCGACAATGAGCAGCTTAACGGGCTTCGCGCCGTCCCGGGAGGCTTGCTGTGAGATGAAGGTGGGCAGTGTCGTTGAGAGGACGTGTAGGAGGATGGGTATCTCGGGCGTCTTAATGGTGTGGATATCGGAGAGCCCACAATGCGTGGACGAGAGCAGCGCGTGGGTATCGGCGATTTCGACGAGGCGGGTAGTGGGCAGATGGGCAGACGTCGTCAGGATGCAGGCAGAGCCTGAAAGGCCGCCTAGCTCTAGAGGTAGCTGAACCATCAAGCAGAGCTGGAGCGCGAGCTGAGTCTTGCCCGCAGCACTAGAGATCGAGTGAACATGCTGTGAATGAGTGCAAACGGGGAACTGCCGTACCTTTCCCCGACGACCTCCCACAGCATTCCTGGCCGAATGCCACCGCCGAGCGTTTCATCCAGTCGCAGATCTCCGGTTGTGAACTTCTCTTCCCCCTCCTCCACAACATCCTCGAGCATGCGAGGCTGGTGGGCGAGTTCCCTACAGACCAGGTCCACTATTTTTTGCGCCTCATTCAGGGAAAACCTGCACTTTTTCACCAGGTCTCCTGGCGAAGTCAACATGAGGTCTGCGACGGTCAAGATGTTGCCTGCCGGGATTGGGTTAGACCAGACGCGACACCGGCGAGAGCACTAACCTTTCTTCAGAGCTGTACGGTCATCTCCAGAGAGCGAAGTCACCGTCAACAAGGACCGGGCCTCCATCGTTATCGTCAGCAAGACATAACTGTTGAACTTCAGTCTTCAGCGCTCAGGTTCGGACACGGTGACAGACGTGCACGGCCCAACGAGCGCCTACGCGTCGATCACATGGCTACTCAACGGCCTGATTACTTGTCCGTCAACTCCATTATCTGGGTACAGCTGCCAGCAATAACTTAGAATTGTTACGATTTTTCTCATGCACTCCCTCTGGATGTCGCTGCCGTGTGCAAGTATTAATTGGTCATAAAATCCTGGGCCGCCGGTAAGCAACTTGCTAAAGCGTTGACACGATGGCTTCTTCACTTGTTGTCTCTTGAGATATTCTCGGCATCATGCCAATCAATACTGTAGGGAGCTATAAAAAAGATCAGTGTATATCCGGAGCATCGTAGAATCTACTTGGCGATGCGCCTCGCGCCCATGAGTATACTCAAAGGGCAGGCAGTCATCCACCCTCCTCCAGTTCAGCTATAGTACCTAACCCTCTAATTCGCCCTGAAAGACGATGGTTTTGCCCAAGCAATCTGCGAAAACCTCCCAACAGCCGACGTGACCTCGTCTGAACAAGCCACATTGGCAGAAGGATACTCGATAGTTTCCATAGTTTTACGCATACGCTGCTGGTGCTATCAAATTTGGTACAGTGCTGGGAAAATCAGTTCCGATGACTTCTGGCTTACGAGATAGGTGGGTTTTCTGCATTTACTCGCTATTTACGCGGGTCCCGGTGTCGCTGTCATACTTGTCATGAATCTAACGCTCACTCCACTTACTATTGCAGGCATACTTGTGAAGGATCACTTTACCTCGCATAGATGCGTGGATATTGCACTTCTGCATAGCGCGATATGTAATTGCATCGCGTTGGCCTAATTTCAAGTTCTTCGCGGTAAGAGTATCCCCCCGGGCTCGTTCTCAGTGATGTGGTTCTCCAGATGAACCCAGGCCAATGTCACCTGGAAGTTTCAGCGACATAGACATCAAACTCGGACGCAGTGACCACCAATACAGCACGCGCTGGACGGCCCTGTTCTTTGCCGCGTTGCGATGTTAAGCAGTACATGTTGTGCGAGCGCTGATCTTGGTGGAACTGACGAATCCTTGCGTTCAACGAGGAAGATCACACTAATAGTGCAGATGTACCATCGCGCCTTATACTCAGTGTGCGGGAGATTACCTGCACAAGGCTCACATTATATTCTTCGTGCTGGGTCAATGCGTGGGATGCTCCCCAGATGCACACTGAAGGTCCAGTGGAAGTGGAAGCACTGCTGCCTGCGGCTGCCTAATGCCTGCGATTGATCCGTGCCCCCTTCATTGCTCCCGAGCGCTTCCTTAGGTCTTCCTTCGCCTTTCACTCAGGGACAGCGCCACAACGCAGAATGTCCATTGCACAAACGCCGTCTACCAGCGTCGGATTAGACCATGAAATAGTCGTAGGTGATTTGTTCTATGACTGCAGGCATGTGATTGCATGCCAATTCAGTTGTTGTCTTGTCTACATTCTTCCCCGCTTCGCATGGATGCAACTGCGGCAGTAGAATAGCTCCGGTTCGGCGGATGTGGATCTCGAAACAATCGCAGAATCTGGAGGGTATCGACCAGGGCAAGTACCGCGTCATCATTGTATGCAAAGCTTGGGAGCCTTCTGCATCTTACATTGGTACGTATGTAGAACTCCTCAACATTTACAGCTTGGGTTTCTCTAAGTCAGAAGGTGATGCAATATTCCTAGCTACCCATCGCCTCCAATCATTTCATTCAATACGGGTTCTCTCGATCCCAGTGTGTTGCAGCTACCCGCGATGGTACAAGGAGCTCAAAGCACCGACAACTATGGCTATAGTGTCGAAATGGCGGGTACTGGGTATGAGGTCAAGAAAGGAGACGAAGACACAAATTCCGGGATACCCACTGTTCTAAGGTTATCCATAATTCCTGAGAAGCTGTTGCACGGTGACAAAGCGTGCCTTGTGACTGGCAAAGAACATGTTTGCTATTTTTCCTCTGGTCAGCGATAATGCGCAAGGACGAAGCACAGAGGATTGAGACTGACATAGTGTACAATCCTCCCAGAAGAAAAGGCAAGATATTGTGAGGAGAAATACTGCGCCACATATCGCCAGAGAAAAAACCAAGATGATCGTCGACAGGAGGGTCATGTCATCCTCATCGGGTCGGAACTCTGGATGCCTGTATATCTTTGTAGGGCGCATGGTAGTAGGTAGTGCACGTGAAGGATTTTAGAAAGACAGTCGCTTCCGCGTCACCATTGGGATATGCATGGTACATAAGTCGTCCTGGCTTTATAGCACGGTCGGTAGTATTGATAGATAGCTTGGATGATGCGGTCCGTCGGATGTCGGTCAACTGTCATGGAATGGAATGAGTGGTCGTGGTGCAAACCCTAGCCTTCTCGAAATCGATTCAGTGGCTCAGCGTAGACACACTGTGGTCCAGTTTAGGATGACTAGTATGGTAGCAAGACGTACTGTGAGAGCGGCGCCTGGGGTCAGGTATCCCCCTGTTCCGTGCATTCACGTCTACTGAGCGTTCCCAACTCTAAATATGGAGAACTTTGTTACTAAACAGTTGGAGTGCAGGTGCCAGGATCAAGCAGCATGGGAGCAACGCATGCGTTGTGGTGTCGGCCATTGCAAGCGACAGATTGGCCGAGCTGCAAGAGAGCGCGGAAGAATATCCTCGTAGCGTCGGATTAATGTCGTTGACGTGACCTATTCCCGACGTCGATGCCTGATTATGAGCGGAGCTGCCAAACGGCTCACGAAGAGAGCCGCGGACACAACTGCATGCCTCAAACGACTTGATCGAGCAAGATGCAATTGTCTTAATCAACATCAACTGTCCATCGCGCTGCACTGGTGGACAAAAGATTAACTGCAATGACTTGTCACTCGGAGGATAGTTGTACCATCCTTCCATGTATGGCAACTAGCCTGTGACGCTGGCATCTCAGGCCGAACATATCCTGTTGTCGGAAAAACTGTCTGTCGAGTGCACACCAAGAACCTCAGAAAGGTGTTTTTAAGACAGTTCCCTCTCCGCCATCTGCCTGTTGCGGCTGGTGATGAGCCACCATTGCCTGTCGTGTCTACACCTTCCACACCACCACCTTCAAAAATCTGCTTCGATCATATTGTTCAGAAGACAGTTTCTGATCATATGATTGCGACAGTTTTTTCTCAAAGTTGTTGTGGAAGGTGTAGTTTGCTCAGGGCTGGTTTTCTCCACCCAAGCGTGACTAATAAGTAACACTGTGAGTAGATGGGTCTAAGATATGCCTCATTCATACGCGACCACTCCACGTGGCAACTGATTTGCATTCTCTATCAACAACGACGTTGATTAAAGAAAATCAGTTCTGGCAGAAAGTATGGTATTCACCGTAGATAAAGTCTTGCGGGAACCGATTTTTCAGATCGTTGAGGTGCGAGGAGGAGAATGGACAAAACCGGCCACATGGCAATAGTCGTGTATGAATGAGGCATATCTTATCTTACCGATAAGTTAGGCGTGACCAGAGTGACACGCTGCGGACCCGCCATCGGCTTTCCCCGCTTTGCTGCCAAGCCTTTCTCCCCAGCAAGTACTGAGCAGGCTCGCGGAAAATCTCTTGTACCTCTCCATGTAGTTTCTTTATTCGGGGCAGACAATGTACGCAAATCCTCTCTTTGAACATCATTCACCGCCCCCCGCGACAAAACACGGCGCACGGAACTAAGCAGCCGCAGCGCCAAGTTCACTGCGCTCCCGCAGGTCGGAACCGCGTGCGGTGTGAGTGTGACGTGACATTGCTATAATCGATCGAGATACTGCGCAGTTCACCAGCTGCGCAGTCTGCGCAGAGCACCGCAGGCTCTCTGCTTCATCCACGACCTTCCTCTCCTCATCCTTCTCTATCATTTTTCATCATGCAAGATTCTCTTCCAATCGAGGTTCCCATCGTCCCCAGGAAGGGCAAGGAACGCGAGCCCGCCCAACCGACTGACATCGCCCAGAGGATAGTCGCCCTACAGCGACGGCGCGCAGCGTACACACCTCGAAATTTACTTTATGAATCACTCGCTGAATTTCCCGTATCTCACAGTTCGTCTCGTCCAAGAGAAAAGGCCGAGCGGTCCTCCCAACCGTCTTCCACTGCTCGTACGCCACCGCCTCGCCCACCGTCACCCCGGAAGCTGCACGCACCCCCGCTTCCGAATCCCAACATCATCGTATCGCAGCCATCTCCACTGCATATGGAGGCCGACGCTGACGAATTCTCCCGCCGCCTCAAGATCTCAGCGGCTTCCTCCCGTGCCTCACATTCAAAACCACACCATGCGAGCCCAGTAGGAGGAAGCAGCCCGAGCAGGGTGTTGTACAACCCGAACGCGGACCCGATTCGCAAACCGGTCATTCTAACCGCGGAACCGGACACTATGTCGGACGGCGGTTCGAGTTCGTACGCGCCTCGCGGACCTCCCGGACCCCCGCCGCAACGGACGCACCAGCAGGGGCAGCAGGTGCGGACTGCGGGTGACGGACATCGACAGCTATTCGACCACAGAAAGGACGATCCTGTCCGGTTCTCCGTCCTTGCGCGTCCGCACGCGTCCCCGAATGGGGCGAACCAGAGCGCAGTGCTAGGCCGACCGACTCCAACGCCCAAGTCTTCTGGAGACTACGTTTCCGCGTCTTCGACATCGTCTGCCTCTTACGCTCAGTCGTCTATCTCTTCTAATTTTACGTTGTCTTCTGCCACTACGGACACGTCCTCTGCAGCCTCTGCGCTATTCGACTCTGCGAATGCGAACGGTCACGGGCGACGTTCGGAGGATAGCGCGAGCGGGGCGAATGCGTTCTCTACGCAGCTGAAGAAATTGTACCGTGCGATCAGTGCGCTTGAACATCGGATCATGGGGGAAGACCGAGATCGAGATGAGGAAGGTGAGCGAGAAGGCCAAAGGATAGGCGTGTTGATAAAGGGGCGTGCCGGCACTACCGGAGGAAGCGAGGTGAAGGGCGGGGACGAAGAGGCAGAGCGGTGGCGGAGGCTACTTGTGGATCACAAAGAGTGAGTTGTTGCCATCACGATCGTGTTCATTCTGCTGATCCATCATTCCGATGACAGGCTGGCGGAAAAGATGCACAATCTCCTGCAACTTACACTTGCGCCTGCGGTACCTTCCTCACTCCGTGACATCCCGACCAAGTACAACATTATTATGCGCCTTTGGACGACTGCGTTCAATCGTCTCCTGCAGTCCCTCCGTCGCGCTTCGATGCCGCCTGTAAGTTCGGAAATTGCGCGAGAATATCTCGAGGTGAGCAACCTTACGTTCCATATATGGGTATGCACTAATCACGTGCTCGTGTCAGGATTTCATTTACTACGCGTACACGTTCTACACAGGGCTTCTCGAGGAGCACAATCTCGCCGAGTTTCGTGCCGGTTGGGTCGAGGCACTCGGTGACCTCGCCCGCTACCGTATGACGATGAGCACATCTATGGCTCCTCGGGGCCGTGGTGGTCGGCTCACCGTTTCTGCAATTGCAGCGAGCCATTCTCTTGACACTCCCCGGCCTGCTACACCGAACGCGTCCGCGCTTTCTGACCATCCGGAGATTCCCTCGGCTAAGCGTGCCTCGCCGACGCCCGCAGCGCGCATCGATGACTCACCGTCATCCTCGCAACTGAATGACGGGCCGAATGCTAACGCCAACGTCAACGTACCCAGTGTTGGCCTTGCCGCGGCACGTATGATGGAGATGGAGCCGGAGAAGGAGCAATGGCGGATGATCGCTAGGGACTGGTACGCTCGCGGACTTGCGACGATGCCTGGTGCGGGAAAACTCCACCACCACCTTGGACTCCTCAGCAGGGACAGGGACGGTGGCGGGGAGGATTTCCGTGGCGTCTACCATTTCGTGAAGAGGTGCGTGGCGGTGCTGTATTTTTGCAGAGAGGGTGCTCATGCGTATCTCAGCATGATCACACTGCATCCGTTTTCGACTTCTCGAGAGTCTGTTCTCCCGCTCTGGTCACCATGTGCGCAGGCGAGCCGTCAAGCGCCTGATGCGACACTCGTGGATCAATTTGTGTTGTTGCACGGGATGCTCTTCACGAATGTCCAGCTCGACGACTTCAAAGGAGTTCAGGAGCGCTTCCATGAAAAGCTACAGATCGAAGGTGTGCACTTATTCTCTCAGGCTCTGCAGAGATGCAGACACGCGACCACGCTGGAGTCGGAACTGACGTGACGAACTACTCGTCGTAGCTAGCTCGCGACGCCAGTTCCATCTGATTAAGTATATTTTGCTTGCCTGCAATATTTCTGCCAGAAGTCGTGAAGAACACGAACGTAGATACTGACCTTCATGTCTATTAGGTGGTGCAGTCGTGGAGGAGCGCGAGTGGATCATGATGGCTGTCCTGAACATCGGCTCTCTTCTCGAGTACGGCCGGCCAAACGCTGCACTCCGTCGTGTCACAGGCATTGGCGGCCCCACGGGGTTATTGGTAGGCGGTCGCGTGAAGCTGATGTCCAAGAAGGCGGAGGTAGACGAGAAGAAGATGGACGTTGATGACGAGGACATCGACCGTTTTCCGATGCACGTGTCGCCCATACTCGACGATGCAGCGGCAAGCACCGAGCCCGAGATCCCTCCATCCCTCAAGCTTGCTATGCAGCTGGCCTTCTCGATACTCACCCATACGCTGCGGAAGCCCACACGCAGACCCTCGCCATTCGCGCGCTCAAAATTGAACCCCTATATCACAATCATCCTCACGTTCCTCGCGACCGTGTTGAAAGACCGCGATGCCCTTGCCGTACTCGAGCGGGCGATCCCCTGGACGGAACTCGCCGCGTTTCTGAACACTATCCCGCGTCGGCTGCTTTTACGTGAACAGCAGAAGGAGCGGGAGGGCGTTGGTATGCTTCTGTCGAGCGGTTGTGCGCCTCTCCCGGAGGACTGGTGCCTCCGAGGTTTGGGCTGGGGCGGGAAGAAGGTCTACGAGCGCGGGTTCTGGGGCAAGGACACTGCCAGTTCTGCTGCGGATGAGGAAAACCAGGAGCTGAAGGTACTCGACTTCGCCGAGGGTGGCGACCAGGCCACGGACGGCATCATCGAGGACGGCGACGACGACGCGCAGAGCTCGGAGGCGAACCACGAGACGCTCAAGCGCTGGGTGCGGATAGCGCGCTCGGGCTTGAAGATTGCGCGGTATGTGAATGGTTTCGAGTATGTTCCTGCGACCAACGCGGATGGCCGAGGCCAGTGGAAGGTCCAAGGCATTCTTGCGGCGAAGGTGGAGAAGTGGAAAGAGGAGGAGCGACTTGAGCGCGAGGAGCATGAGCAACGACTCCGAGGTAGGCGCTGGGGAGACGAGCCCATGGATGTCGACGACGACAATGGTAACGTTGTAGGAGAGGAGACCGATGAGAGTGATGACGACGACGACGACTCGGCGGAGGTCAAAGCGCTAAAGGTGCGTCTTAGATACATCCCTTTGATACCGCATCCTGACCATGGTGTGCACAGGCCCGCCGGCGATACTTGAAGAGTCTCCTTCAAGCATCGAAGTGGGGTGTTACGCCCTCATCTCCGCCAAAACGCCGTGTTCGGCCTGCTACCAGAAAACCGGTGCACACGCGGCCATCACTACACTTGGTGCCCGGGTACACAATCCTCGTTTTCGACACGAACATCTTACTATCATCTCTTGCCATGTTCTCTGCGCTTGTTGAGAGTTCCAGGTGGACCGTCATTGTGCCACTCCCAGTGGTCATGGAGCTCGAAGGGCTCGGGTCGAATTCCTCTCCTCTTGGGGAAGCCGCGAATCACGCAATGGCGTACATCACCTCCCACGTCCGTTCCCATTCCACTTCGATGAAGGTCCAAACATCGAAGGGCAACTACCTCTCGTCATTGAATGTGCGCACAGAGCAAGTGGAGTTCAGTGCAGACGAAGCCTCCTGGGAGCGAAATATGGATGACCTGATCCTCCGTGCCGCCATCTGGCAGGACGAGCATTGGGTTGACCGGTCGGCGCTCCTGAAATCCGACAACGCCAATCGTAATACGACAGGTGCCGCGAAGGTTGTTTTACTCAGCTTCGACCGCATGCGTAAGTGGTTTATTTTGTGGTTGACTAGCCGCGACTGATAAGACGGTGGCTATCATAGTGCGACTTAAGGCTCGTTCTCGACAGCTTGCTGCTGCGAACGAACAGGATCTGGCGGTTATCCTCACTCCAGGGACATAGGACAGCGAAGAGGATCCGGCTATTACTATCAATCATCGGTAATCAGGGCAGTGCGTCATGGAGCATCCCGCCCTGTGCGCAATGCTAGTGTCAGGGAAGTCATCCCCTGGCCGCCTACAGTTGCCGTTGGCGGCTGCAGACACCACTGTATTGCTTGGGGCAGAGTGGCTGAGTCCGGGGCGTCGGGAGAACTGTCATCTTCGCGCAGCGTTCCTTTATTTATCTATCACGTCCGGCTTTTGGGTCCTCCTCTTGCTACACACATACCCACTCATTTGTTGCATACCACGTACTGCTTGTCATTTTTAGTGTCTGTATCCATCCCGAATGTCATATCAGTTGTGATGTCCCTTTGCTCTGCAAGCGCCTTCATAGCGAATCGGCGATCCTTTGATCTGAGATAATATGGTCATTAATCTGCAATCTACCTCCATTGATAGGTTTTCCGAGGCCATTGCCCGTCGTGAGAAAGCCATTTTGTGTGTTTCTCCAGCCAAGCGTGACAATCCTGGTCACGCGAAATAGTCGAGAATGAGATGGGTCTATCTTAATCTGATTTTGCCTGCATGTCAAATTCGCCGACACCTGCACTTGTGCGAACGCAGCTTCCAAACCTACGAAAACCGATGTAGAGACAAGTACCACAGTTACACTCTTCCATGCGACGACCCAATCCCTCAAAATTCATCTTTGATGCGAAACCCGAAGAGAAAAATCGCACGCCATCCGTCTACCACGCCCGATGCCCGCCGTCCACAATGATGCTGCGCAAGGGTCACATTAGCACACGCCAAATATGTCACGCACAATACTCACTCGCTGCCCGTGCAGAATGTGCTCGCATCACTCGCCAGCCACGCCACGACGCCCCGCAGCTCGTCCGGTCGCCCTATGCGTCCCATCGGGTTCAAGTTCGCCCATTTATCCAACAGGTGCGGCTGAGTGTCCAGGTGTGCCGCCGTCATGCTGCACAAAGAGCCCAGTCAGCAAAATTGATAGAAGATGAGACGCGTCGCGGCACGGTGCACAATGAGTCTCCCCTCCAAGAGTATACAGCCAGCACCCGATCTGAGCCGGATAATGACCACAAGTATGCAACTGAAAGAAGACGTACTGCGTGTAGATATGGCCTGGGCTCAGCGTATTCACCCTGATGCGCTTCGGCCCCAGCTCGCAGGCCATGCTGCGCGCCATCTGGAGCACTGCGCTCTTCGACGTATTATACGACACCCACGCGTTGTCCTGCGCGTCAAGCTAGGTCAATTTGACCCGCCAAGAGGGACGACGACACGTACGCACCCTGTTGGTGATGCTGCCGCTCATGCTCGCGATGAGGATGATGCTCCCGCCGTTTCCGAAGCGCGCCATCTGGCGCCCCGCGGCTTGTGCAGTAAACAGCACGCCGTTTACGTTCACGTCCATGACCTGTGAATACAGCGATCAATGGATGTTGGATACACCTAAGACAGCTGAGCACCAACGTCCTGGAACTGCTTCGCCGGATACTCCAAGCAGTCGGTGTGACTCTTCAGGACGCCCGCAGCGGCGACACAGACATCCATACGACCCTCCTTGTCCCCGACCGTCTCCCCGATTTTCCATATTGCTTCCTGTTGCATCACGCTTTAGCTATTGGCCCTGCCTGGTGGCGAGCATCATTTCAACGCACCTGATCCCTCACGTCCGCGCTGATATACTCCAGCCGGCCCTTGCCCCCCATGCGGCCGACATACTCCTTGACCTTCTGCCACTCCTCGCCCGGCTGGGCAGGCATGTCAAGGCAGTAGACCGCCCGTGCACCCCCCTCGAGGAACGCCATCGACATCTCGAGCCCGAGCCCACGGTTCGCACCTGAAACGAGCGCAACGCGATCCGCGAGCGAGAACTCGTGCGTGAAGAGCGTCTCCTTTGGCGCTGAATGTGTTCAAGGTCCAATTGACGGGGTCAAATTCCACATCCACGAAGTCAACTCGCGCGATAGGGGAAACAAGATACGCACGCGTGGAGGGCGTCGCATCGAGCGCCGCGGCGACGCCGACGGGGCCGTATGGCGGGAGCACGCCCGTGCGCTTCTGGTTCTCGGGCTTCACGGGAGACTGGCTCGCCGGCACGCTGCGCGCGACGGCCGACGTCGAGAAGCGCGCAGCCCCCGCGGGGCGCGCGCTGCGCAGGAGGGCGTGCGCTAGGCGCGTCTTGGGTCCGAAAGCGATGGGCATTGCTATCCTGAACATTCTGTGTTGGCAGTGCGAGAGAAATCCCCTACGACGGGAAGGCACCCATCTCTATCCCTATTCTTATAGGGTCTCCTTCTGCGCAGCCTGTATCAGAGCTTCTGAGGAACCATGCGACGCAGGGTATGTAACGGAGAGCTCAGGTGACTGTCATGAGACTGGGCCGTTGCAGGTTCGCGTGTGGCGGATATGGGAGGAGGAACATCGGCTTGAGCCTTCTCGCGGAAGACACGGTGTGCCAGATGATTAATATCTGAGAGTGATGTTGAGGGAAGACTCGTCAACATCTAGACTGCTGATACGTAGGGCTTCTGGCTCGCTGCCAGATGTTTCAAGTTGCATGGACTGATCCTGAGCGTAAAGTGATCAGGATTTTACGTGTTGGACATTTGATCAAGGTATAACCCGCATTGAACCTGAGGCCTGCCATCTCAGGCTCATGCTATATATAAAGATCAGACCAAATCGTAGCAGACCACGGGGTACAATAGGACAGACACGTATACAGTGAGTACAGTAAGTAGTACACGAGTGCCAAGGTGATGTCGCTGCATAGTCACTACGCGGACAATTACATGCAAGGTGGTACAGGAACCTCATTTCCTTATCAATACAAGCAGACTCGAAGCTCACCACGTTACGTCCATAACCGCTACTTGGGGATGGCGACAACCCAGGAAGTGAGTTTCGCGTTCAGCTTCCTGAGCCACAAGGCGCCCCAGTGTGTCGGCAGATCCTCGCCATTCCACTGATCAGCGAGGTATGTGATTTTGAAGTCGTCGTCCAATTCGACCATCACAATGGAGGTTACCGTCTGTGTGAACGTTGCGAAGGTGAACGGAGGAAAGGAAGGGAAGTAAAGACCCGGTACCTTCTTTAACCCAAGCCAACGGACTGTGTATACCTGGGTCTGAGAGTAGTAAAGCCGATTGGGGGACAGTGCGGCGGAAAGGATGCGGGCGGAGACTTGCTCCGACGAGGATAGTACTTTCGGCTTCATATGTGTATAGCGTGTGAGCGGAATAACGGAAACAAAGACGGGGACCGACCATCGCGAACCACTGAGGCGCATACTCGCCGTACCCTTCGCACCTGCTGAGCGGGTCTTCAAACACCGCGTCCTTCCGCCACCTGCGCTCAAATAGATCCCGACTCGGTCTCGCGCAAAACAGCTACACAAACACCATCGGCCCACAGCGCGTCTCTTGTGGTAACGTAACTCACCTCCTTGAGGTCCTCCATCACCTCTTTGTACGCGCCCAGAACGGCCGGATCCTCCACCATGCTATTCTTATTATGGGATCGCCGATGTTGTGCGTGCTGGCGCGGGTCGTTGCATCCTGATGACAGGACTCCAGCATAGTGCGCGCCGGGAGCAATGGAGCTTATGAGCTCGGGCGTGGGCAAGCTGGGCATGCGGCTTGGATGGTGGGTCATGGTGGGTGCCGGGGGAGGAGGGACCACCCGGTGGGCTTCGTGCTCGCTGGCAGCCATGTTATTGTGTGTGAGGATTGTGGAGGTGGAAAGCAATGCTTCGGCGACATCTAAGCCTAGTCTGGGCGGCGGTATAGGAGGAGCCAAACCATTTCCGGTTACGTAACGTCAGCTAGTCAAACCCTAACCTCAAAGAGCCGAAACATATAATAACTCCACGTCCTCCGTCCATCAAAATTTTACTACCCACCCTGTATTCTGGAAGGCATAGTATCGGAGCGTCTGAAGCATGCGGCTGACCACTTTTTGTAGCAACAGGTTGCACTTGATGAACGCCTTTAGCGCGGATCCATACCAGTTTCCTTTTTGGGTGAGTGTACTGTGAGTGTCCTCGTGAATTTGTTTACACGGCGGTGGAACAAATTTTTTTGTTACAATGGCCCGCTTTATTTCAGTGGTTGTATTTACTGTCTCAGTGAAGAGTCATGCTACTTATATCAGCCATGAGTCTAATCATTTTGAGTACGTAAGAAGCCTTCTTGTGGTTCACCATGGCGTCTCCGACCGCGACAGGTGTTGGCGACGTCCGTTGCGAACTCGTGTTTCTTCCTCACGGCCTCTAGCAGCGTCTCAGCAGTGCAATATAATGGTACACGTTTCCTGAGCGTGACTCACGCGTGGTCGATAGCTGTAGTTCAACAGGGCCAACCCTTTCCTTCCCCTAGCTTCCCTCCTTTCCCTTCCTCTTCCGAGACTTTCCGGAATCGTTACATCTCACCCCATATCCACTGGTCGACGATGCAGGTCACCGATAAAGTGGCGATTTTTTGGGACTACGGTATGCTCTCTGATCTAATCGATGTGCGCCTCAGAGCATCCATTAATGACATCTGCTTCACCAGAGAACTGTGCCTTGCCGACGAACACACCCGGTTTCCTCGCAGTGAACAACATCCGCCGGCTTGCTCACCAGTACGGAAGCGTAATCTCGTTCAAGGCATACTTGGAGCTCCCGGAGCAGCCGTCCTCGCGGTCCGTAACACTTCGGTCGGAGCTTCAGTCCTGCGGCGTGTCGTTGATCGACTGTCCGCACAATGGCCGGAAAGACGTCGCGGACAAGATGATTCTTGGTATGTCATTCATTCATGAATTCTTTCCGTGACGCACTCGTGAAAGTGCTGATGACCTGCACTACTTGCTGATTGTTTTAGTGGACATGCTCACATACGCGATCGACAACTCTGCTCCAGCGACCATCATCTTGATCTCCGGGGATCGCGATTTTGTGTATGCGGTCTCGGTGTTGGGTCTGCGGAGGTACCGCGTAATACTACTCTCCCCTGTCGCCGCGCACGTGAGCCTCAAGGCGCAAGCAGCGGAGGTGTTCGACTGGCCAGGATATGTCGTGCCAGTGCCGGAGAAGGCGGCCGTATCCTCGTGTCCGTCCACGCCTCCGAGCGTCGACTCGAACAAATCCCATTCACAGGATGTCTTCAATTCCAATCCATTCCCGCAGCCACGTTCTCAGTCCACCAAGCCGCCTCCGGTCCTGTCTACCCCGCCGTCGCCAACGGTATCACGACAGGATAGACAGACATCGGAACCCGAGCCAGTGTTTACTCTGGCGGCGTGGAAGGCGAAGCAGGCTGAGATGAGACCAAAGACACCGGCAGTTAACATGGTTCGTCCTCTTGCCAACACTATCCAGTCGCCTACGCCGTCAACATCTAGTACAGTGAGTTGCCTCGAATTTGCACGAAACCTCTTATGCACCCGTCCTCTAGCTGAGTTGTGAGAGCATTCCGGTTACTACGCCACGGAAATCAACACCTGTAGAGAAGGTACCCGTGCCAGAATGTGCTGCACCCACGCCTATCACTGTGAGTTGCTTCTGTACTTCAAAAGAATAACTCAGATGTCTAATCTTGCCTCTCACCGCAGCCTGTCAACGAGACACGACCGTCATCTTGGAAATGGCCTTCAACGAGCACCTGGGATAGCTGGGCCACTGCTCCAGCTCCTACCCCACCGGCTATCCCGTCACTGAGTAGTGCTGCTCCAAGAAATGAGTACTTGTGGCAAACGTTCGACGAGATTCCGCAGTTCACTCCTACCGTGGTCAACTCGTCGTCCGCCGCTTCGGCGAAGGCGCCAGCCCTTAGCTTTAGTCCGGCAGCATCTTTGAGCCCAATGCGCTCAGCCTCCAAGATACTTGCACCAAGCGTAGGTTCGGTGTCGTCCGTAAGACCTGTGCCACCCCTGCCCCCGAAGGCACCAACGACGACCACTCCGGTGCCCAAAGCCGGAAACTCCGCACCTCCCGCCCCGACCACATGCACCCCAAGCAAGATGTCGCGCACAGTTTCCAGCTCGACATCGACGTCTACCTCCAAGTCTACCTCCAAGTCAAAGTCAAAGTCCAAACCCGTCCCGGCCGAGTTCCGCTCCCTCGTGAAAGTGCTCACCCAGCAGATCAGCGAGGGCAATATGCACCTCTCTTTCTCGGCACTCGGTTCGCTGCTCCTCAAGGAGTCTCCGAGCGTGTACGAGTGCGCGGGAGTCTTGACTCTGAAGCAGTACACATCGCTCGCCGCGGAGGCGGGCGTGGTGAAGCTGGCGGATTACCAGGACGTTCCGGGCGGGATGGACGGAAATCGGTACGTGTCGCTGTGCCCAGTGTATCATAAGGATGCTCCCTAGCGGAGCAGGTGATGTCAGGCTGAGAGAGAATGTGAGTGCCTTGTATGAGAAGTTGTCCAGCTAGTTCTGTAGGCGTAGCTGTATCGTTTACCGAATACCATAAATGTATCAAAGCGCAGGCCTCCAAACGCGACCGGCTCATCGTGAACGAAAATTTTGAACAAACATTATGTAGATGATCATGATAGCGAAATGTGCGTGACAGCGATTTTAGTACAACGATGATGATGCCGGTATGTTAATGCTGAGAGAATCACCAGCTCCGAAATGAGACTGCAACCACCCCATCGACTCTCCCCCGTCGGCCCGCCTCACATGCACCTCATTAACGTCTACTAAATTACGGACCACCGTTGGTATGACTGCCTTGCCAAAGACCATAGCTCTTCCCAGGTGTCGTCTGCCACAGCCGGATCGTACCTGGAAGTTTTTGGTCAGCGTACGGCTTAAACGTAATGAGGAAAGACTCACCATCCTCTACAGTTTGTAAGACAGACACCAAGGTCATAAGTTAAGGCGCATCCAAGGGGTGAAAATGCAACGACGCACCACTACCGCTCGCAAACATCTCACCATCCGGGCTGAACTCGACACAATGTACCGGCCCATGGTGTCCTTTCAGCACATCCCTCTCCTCTCCGGTTACGTCATGTATGCGCACCCATTCGTCGCTCGTACAGCCTGTCACGAACCGATCCTGAAGGATGGGATGTATCGATGCAGATGAAGGTGCGTATGGTAATGTCAGACTGTGCGTCTGGGTGCCGTTGAGCAGCGCAGGGATGAACGACACGGTCTTTCCAGATGTCACCACCAGTCGATTCGTTTGTTGGGACAATTCCATCGACGTGATCGGACCCGGGAAGGTCAGACTTGTCGTCAACTTTCGTGTCCGAAGATCCCACCACCTAGAACAAAGAACGATCACTGCCACGTCGCATGCCAGCACCGCTATAATATGTGCGACTGCAGACTTACTTGATCAAGCCATCCTCTCCAGCCGTCACACCTGTATGATCGCCCACCCACACAACACTTTTGACTGTGCCATCGTGTGACAAGGCAGCGCCGTTATCACTTAAGAGATCTGGTTCTGCGTCGGGTCGCCCGAGATCGAACATCCGCACCTTCTTCTCCTGCCCGCCAGTGAGTAGATGAGACGTGCTCGGAGACATTGCGACGCTCCGGACGATGTGATTGTGCGGGAACGAATGCAAACAGTCGCCAGAATACGAGTCCCAGACCTTCCTGTTTCGCAGGACATTAGGTGAACGTCGGGCATTGCGCAGGACTGACGGAAGAATCGTGTCACGATGGAAGGAGAAAGTACTCACGCTGTGAAGTCCGCACTGCCGGAGGCTGCTCGCGAAGTATCGGGAGATAGTTTGCTACTCCACACTGCACCCTTATGGCCTATAAACGTGCCTATCCAGTCACCGGTCCATTCTCGCAACATCGGATTCCCATCCTTGCAGCTGGAGATGAGCACGTAAGTTCCGTCGTCTTGAAGAGGTGAGAAAGAAAGATGCGTGACGGGTCGCGTGTGCCCGGGAGCGACGAGAGGGACTGCTTTGGGGTGAGGAAGAGACATTAGTCGTGAATTTGATGAAGTTCTGCGGAGAAGAGAAAATGGAGGTCGTGAAATTGCTGCTACAGGCGCACTGCGCGCTGGTCCGACGTTGAGAGATGAAGTCAAAACATAGCGCTGCAAAGTCAGAGCTTCATTAAGTCTGCCACGTGGTCTCGCCACGCTCCCTCCTGCAGCTGGTGCACTGCTCCAATTGGCAACTCTTCAACTTCGCTGTGGCTAGTACTCCCTACACAGATATCCTGTCTGATTCTACCGCACAACCAGAATGATTCACCGGAACTCACTTGCAATGTTATCTACAGGCATCCTGCACTTACCCCATGATCAAATCTTATCGTATGCCTGGAGATGCCGTCTCATTATCCGGAGTAGCACACGTAGCAGATCAAGGTGAGTGCCGTTCCACTGCCGTCGCATCAGTTCATGAGAAGTTTCTGCAAAACCTAACAGTAGCCGCATCAAATGAAGTACTGTAGGTATCACTCTCGGGAGAACGTAGTGGTCACGCAGACGAATGAAATAAGGCAAACATCGTACCCCAGATTACCCTTATCTGAAAGGGTGTTTCGAAGCGCATGCTGGAGCTGTCAAGACATACAGCCTCGCCGCCGAACGACCACTGAGTCAGGGTGGTTCGGTTGTGAAGCTGATGGACATGCAATTCGGAAATCGCTACCACTGTGTGCCTCATGATCAATGGACTCCTCGTGTCATCGACTGCGCATGCTCTCTATCGTTGTGCGTATAGGACGGGCGGGGACATCTTGGTGAATAATGTGAGTACCAATGTCTCACGACGTCATGTACAAACCATGAGGTATCAGTAGGGATGCAGGCACAAATGACGACGGGTATGCACTTTAAGAACAAGCAGGCGCGATCGCGGTTCAATCCACGCCAAGGATTGATTTTGCACGTTACTGGCGGACTACGACTATAACGGTTCTCGTTTCCCGCAGCTCTTGAGCGACGAAGGCTTTAATCACACGCTACGTCGCAGGCTCCACAATCCGCAGCTGCCCAGCTACGAGCTAGTTGCGCCGGGTGAATTCCTCGGACTTAGTGGACTCTCGTTACCTCGGAGTCGTAGCTCGATGCTACTGGGCCTGCTCGTGCGACGGAATCACAAGGCTACGACAGGCACTGACCACCACGCAGTAAATTCGCCGAGTTGGCCCATAGTCTAACCAGAGGAGTATCTTGTGTCATTGTGGTGGAAAAGGCGTCACGTACCGATCAGAGAGCATTTTGACTTTTTAGGGAGGTGAGTGTAGTAGACCTCGCCGCCGCGCCCTACCGCGCCCTCGTTGCCGTAAGAAGGTGGTGCAGGTCCCCGAGCCCGGAGCCGCGTATTCGCCTTCTTCCGAGTGCGTTGCGTCTTCCCTGCGCGATCCAGTCGCGATCGAACGGTCACGTGACCACCTTCGCGTCAAGAACGCCGGAGATTGCGTGCTTTGACAATAAATACTATCCAGCAATATGATGGCCCGCTCGGGGTATACGCCTGAAAACAAAGTCTGGCGTTCCTGTCTTCTTATATCATCTCGAGGAAGCTTCGTAGCAGTGAGTCAATCCCGTTGATAGCTGACATCGGTTAGGCTTAGTGCTTCTGCGAGATCTCGTAAGCCTGTTGCAGACTCTTCAGGTCTGTGGAAAGGGCGCCATCTGTCATACCACGAGAATATCAGTACCTGGCCTACCAATCTCCCGGCTCTTTCCTGCACGAGGTCTTCCGCTATTTAGCTTACTCGACGGAACACCCTTCGGGCGCTTCGACACCCCATACCCGCCATGTTCTCCACTGCGAAAAGATACGGTAAGCGTATCATCGGGTACCCCGAAGAGAGTGTTCCCGTCGTCTCCGTATCAGACTGGGTTCGCCACCTTTCGAGGGACCCAAAGCGCGAAGTAAGCAATTTCCGCCTCTGTCCATCCTTTCGCTGATCTGTGCATTTCTCCAGGTCCTCCACTACTTCAGGAGTCTTTTCCCTATCATTGGCTGGATCACAAGATATAGTCAGTTTAACCCCGAAACGCTGGTTGAAGGCCCTCAGTCTGAGATTGTTTGACAGATTTAGGTTGGCTGTACGGCGATGTGGTCGCTGGTCTGACAGTTGGGATAGTCGCTGTACCGCAGAGCATGTCTTATGCTACGGTGGGTTTGAACTTTAACCCACGTTCCGCAGCTCGTGTGACTTTGCAATTTTCAGATTGCCACACTGCCTCCACAATATGGTCTGTACTCCGCGTTCGTTGGCACATTTGTCTACTGTGTATGATGCCATTGTCTCTCTCAAATCTTACCTCCCATTGATCTGAAAATCGCAGCTCTTCGCCACGTCGAAGGATGTCTCAATCGGCCCAGTGGCAGTCATGTCCCTAACCGTCTCGCAGATCATCGCCCGTGTCAACAAGGCACACCCTAATGTTTGGAGTAGTCCGCAGATTGCAACGACCCTCGCTTTCATTTGCGGATGGATTACCTTCGGCCTAGGAATCCTACGTCTCGGGTGGGTCGTGGAGTTTATACCGGCGCCAGCGGTTGGTGGGTATATGACCGGCTCCGCAATTAATATCGTTGCGGGGCAAGTTCCCGGTCTAATGGGGGAGACGGGGTTCAAGTATGTGTATCTCAGTCTTTTTGCTAACGCTTTTGCTGAGTTTGTTGTGATAGTACGCGTGCTGATACATACGAGGTCATCATAAACTCGCTCAAGTATTTACCGAAGACCAAGCTTGATGCGGCTTTTGGACTCACCGGACTTGCGAGCCTCTACCTCATTCGGATATTTTGCGATATTCTTTCTCGACGTTTCCCCAGAAGAAGTACGTTTTCTATCATCACTCCTCCGGCTTTACTGAATTCGTGTTATTAGAACGGATATTTTTCTTCATATCCGTCTTCCGAAATGCCTTCGTTATTATTATTCTGACGCTCGCATCTTGGCTGTATTGTCGGCATCGAAGGTCAAAGTCTGGCAGTTATCCTATCAAGATCCTCCAAACTGTACCACGGGGTTTCCATCATGTAGGTTCTCCCGTCATCGATCGTCAATTGGTTTCAGCGCTCGCCGGCCAGTACCCTGTGGCTACGATTATTCTTGTGCTGGAACACATCGCCATCGCGAGATGTACGTTTTCCAACGCCACCTCGCAGTTTCTACTTGGCTGACACGCAAAATGCAGCCTTTGGTCGCCGAAACGGTTACAAGATTAACCCCAATCAGGAGCTCATCGCCATCGGTGTCACCAACACTGTGGGCACAGTGTTCGGCGCCTACCCGGCCACCGGTTCCTTCTCCCGCTCTGCACTGAAGTCCAAGTCGGGCGTGCGAACCCCTGCTGCGGGCATCCTTTCATCCATCGTCGTTATCGTCGCTTTGTATGGTCTGACGTCGGCCTTCTACTGGATTCCCACCGCTGGCTTGTCTGCGGTGATCATCCACGCCGTCGCGGACCTCGTCACGTCTCCACGCCAGGCGTACTCGTACTGGCGCGTATCGCCGATGGAGTTCGTTATCTGGGCGGCCTCAGTCCTCGTCACGGTGTTCTCCACGATCGAGATAGGTATCTACACTGCAGTTGCGAGTTCTGCGGCGCTGCTCCTAGTGCGCATTGCCCGCCCGCGTGGGTACTTCCTCGGAAAGGTCACGCTCCGAGGAGACAAGCGCGACGATGTATCAGAAACCCGGGACGTGTTCGTTCCGCTCAACCCCAAGCCCACGGTCATGAATGCCGCGGTGAAGGTCACACCGCCAGAGCCCGGTGTGATCGTTTACCGGTTCGAGGAGAGCTTCCTCTATCCAAACTCGTACCTGCTCAACTCCGTGATCGTGGATTACGTGAAGGAGCACATGAGACGGGGGAGGGACATGGCTGCCGTCAAGCTTAGCGACCGTCCTTGGAATGACCCTGGTCCCCGGCCAGGACATGATGAGTCCGCGGAGAACTTGAAGAGACCAGAATTACGTGCCGTCGTGATTGACTTCTCCGGAATGTGCGTGCATCTTAAGTCCGCTCGCCTGCATTGTAGCTGATCGCGATTACACAGCTCTCAGATTGATACCACTGCTGTACAAGCGTTGATCGATACCAGGACAGAACTCGAGCGATGGGCAGACCATCCTATCGAGGTGAGTATTTTTACTACGTTCTGTCATGCAGCGACTCACGAACGTATCGCAGTTTCACTTCGCAACTATCCTGTCTCCATGGATCCGCCGCGCCCTCATCGCAGGCGGATTCGGCACCGGAGTGGCGTCTTCAAGCATTCCTCTTGAAATCGCGCCTGTGGTTCCTTACCGCGGTGGACGCAAGGTGCCCACACCAGACAAGCTGCATGACGAAGAGTCTGGTGGGAGCATACAACAGGTGCCGTCGCATCTGCAGGATGTCGAGGACGAGAGCGAGCCCATCAGTCTAGTGGACACGCCATTCTTCCACTTCGATCTGATCAGTGCTGTTCGTGCCGCGGAGAGCGGTCTGGCACGGTTACACAGTCAGACTAGCACGACCAAGTCGGATCTGAAGGTGGAAGAGTCATGACAATAGTAGGGGCTGCGTTCCGGACCCTTGTAACGACTACGGCGATGTGACTTATTACGATAGATATATGTTTGTATGCATCGCAGTTTTTCGCGATTTCTTGCCCGATGCCTTTTTGTTAACCCAGTTCCAAGATGGATGCCAAAAAAGGAAGGGTAATGACCACAAACAGAACACGGCGCGAGTGTAAACGTCTCCGATCAATATTACTCATAGGCGGTGTTCGTTCGAGAAAACATTGCTCGGCACAACTCTTCGGCCGGTTCACGACCTCAAGTTATACTATTTGTGCTTCGCTCTACCTTGGAAATTTAACCTAATATTATCTCTTTTGATCGTCGGCGTCTGTTCTCCCCGGCGTCTAACGTGCGTGCTGCGCGATCATCTTGGCGACTGCATGCACACTTGGACCCATATCCATCGAACTGGGCACATACAACCTCAAGTTCCGGCTCACAACATCGCTACCTGCTCACTAGATGTTTGCCAATCTGCCACAGAGGATCAATGTGCCGTTCAATCTCCTCGGTGACGAGCCTAAGCTCGCGTTCCGTAGCCAGCCTGGAGGCATCTCCAAACTCGCAGCAACTCGCGTGAGCAGGACATTGTAGGACGTACTGTCGTGTTACGTATGCTAAGCCTTACACCAGAGCATCCCGGAGACTGATTCATATTGGGACCAAGTGAGTACGCGCCCCCCCCCTTCACACGCAGCTTGCTGCTGAACGTGTACTTGCAGTACGTCATTTTGTTCGACTCGGCCTCTGACGTATTCTCCCTGATATCGCACAACGACGGTATGCTTTCTATCTCAGAGTGCGCCCCCACCCGCTCACGGATCCCCTAGTACGTCGCGCGCTATATGATGCGCCCGAGAACGTCGCCACCTTGATCCGTGTCGTCACGTCTCGCCTATTCAACCTCGTTTCCGACCATACATTCCCTACCCCTCCAAGTGTCTCTGTCGCCTCATTTGCGACGTCGTTCATCCGAACCGGCACTGGGTCGGCGCCGCGCAACACCACGAAGGAGGTCCTCAATTGTCTGCGCGTGCTCCAGCGTGTGCTGCCGGTTGTGTTCGAGCTTGAAAGTGACACCAGTCGGTTTGAGACGGAAGTACTGTGGAAGAAGGAAGAGGTTAGGGAAGATGTTGGTATGGTGGAGCGGATGGAACCTCAGTTTGTCATCGACGATGAGGACGAGGGGGACGACGGCGCGCCGGAGGGGCCGTCGAACCAGGCTACAACTGCCGACACGAAGGGGAAGCTCACTCTGCCGTCTTTAGCTGAGAGGCTGTTCAGCTGCCTGATCGATTTATTATTCTGCTGCGGCTTCTCACTTCCGACGAAGCTGCAGGTGGATCACTACAAGATCAACTATGTTATTTGGTGCGGTTCCTCAAAGCTTGTTACCTCCTCTTGCTAACCTGAAGTTTTCATTAGGGAGAAAGGAGTTGGTTCCACTGTTGATCCAGGTCCCAGCCACGCGTTCGAAAACAACAAGACCGAAGTACTGCGTCTTCTTCTCGTCCTTCTCTCGAGACAGATCTATGCCCCTCCTGCATCCCTGTTCTCCTCGCCATCCCTGTACTCTTTGCATTTCGTGCAGCATATTCCCAGACGTCATGTCCTCACCGTCCTTTGCTCCCTACTGAATACTATCATGAACTCTTCACATTCCGACCATAACCTCATGGGTACGGTAGCCGGGAGGCTTCCGTATAACCACCTCGTCTTCAAGGGCGAGGATCCGCGGGCAACCCTCGTCGCCACGTGTTTCCAGGTCCTCTGTGTACTTCTCGATTTCCAGAGCGGGAGTGCTCGGGATGCGGTGAGCAACGATAGCCAGACCACGGCGCCGACTGCGAAGACAAATACGTTCCGTTACTTCATAGCCAAGCTGGTCCGTGATCTCCAGGGCATGCCTTGATAATGTTGAGACTGACTTGTAGGTAGCATCGGCCGAACGACTTCGCGTACATCTTGAATGGGGTCGTTTCGATTTTTGAGGAAGAGATGGCTTCCATCAATAACCTACTACCTGGATCCAGGAAGCATGTCCCGTACATGGTAGAAACTAGTGAGTATTCATCTAAGCTGCCTGCACAATGCGGAGTCCTGAGTGTTGCGTAGTCGTCTTCTTTTGGAAAATGATTGATTTGAACAAGGTATGTCCACTTGGCCTCTTCCCTATGACGCAATTTCATCCTATCCCTTTAGAAATTCCGTGCATACGTCCTAGACTCGGAAAAAGTCACTGATCTCCTCGCATATCTGCTCTGTTATGGTATAGACATCAAGGATAAGCCACGTAGGTTGTCTCTGATGAAGGTGATGGACTTCGTACTGACGCTGATGTCGTTTCATCGTGCAGAGCAACACGGCCTGTGCCGAGCACTCTCCTACATTATTCAGAGCCTTTCCGCTGAACGTGCGTTTGGCGCGAAATTGTCCTCGCCTGTCAGGGCTCAAGTGCCGCAGAAGTGGAGTAACTTGGGTACTGCGGCTGATTTCATGATTCATGTGCGTGGTTAGTCCGATGGTGCTCTGCAGATTGTGCCTGAATATGTATCTGCAGGCGATATATTCCATGGTGGCGACGACGTCCGGTGCTTTAACGTCTTTGTACCCCGCCCTGATCATCGCGCTCTCAAATTCAGCGCCGTACTTCAAAAATCTCAGCGTCACGTCCTCAACCCGCCTGATCCAGCTTTTTACCGCGTTCGCACACCCATCCTTCCTGCTGTCCGACGAGGGCCACCCCAGGCTGTTGTTCTTCATGTAAGTTTCATACTCCTCGGCATACACTCCAGCTGAAGCCTTTTTGCAGGCTCGAGACGTTCAACGCCGTCCTTTTGCGCAACCTGTCCGAGAATCCGAACCTCGTGTACGGCATCCTCCATGCACACAGGGCGTTCGAGGACCTCGGCACCTTCACGCTCGTCGGGGGCCTGCGGGAGATCCGCCGCATTCAGCTCGCGAAAGAGGAGCGGGCGCGAGCAGCGGAGGGCACGCTCAACAAAGGCAAGAATAGGGCAACCGACATCGAGGCGGAGCCACACCTCGAGAAGGCGCGGCTCCTACAGAGCGAGAATAATAGCAGCGTGGAGCTCCCACAGGAACATGAGTCCGTCGAGAACCTTCCCGAGTCGCGCTCGCGGTCTATGTCGGAGGAGGAGCCGCCCACGACGAGGCCACTCATGTCCCCGACGCTATCGGAGGCCCCGCCGCTCGGCGTGCAGTCTCCTGAGATCTCAGAGAAGGCGCGGGGAAAGATGCGGGCCCTGCGCTCAATGTCGATGTCGATGGATATGACTGGCAGTTTAGAGCGGCTTGTTACGACTGGGGTGGGGCGGAACGGGTTCATTCCCACGCAGGAATGGGTAAGTTTCTGAATCGAGTGTTGTCGCTCAGAACTGATTGCTCGTTTTCTGCAGGTCACTTCTTGGCAGCAAGGGTAAGTAGACGTGTTTGCCTGAGTGCGTCTCATCTGATCTCGTTTTCAGGCTACCCTTAGATCCCATCCTCCTGATGATATCCGAATTGCTGCCCAAGGTTCAAGAGTTGCAGGCATCGTTTAACCCGACAAATGTAAATGCGGCCATCATAGACCTTATTCGCAGCACAAGTTTGCAAGATGCCCTACCGAAACCATCCCCGCTGACACCTCGACGATTCATGGTAAGCTGGTATCCACTCGTCTCAGATTCTGCTTACTGATCTGAATGTTCAGTGGTCCGACGCGTCCATCATCTGGCTCTCATCTCTGATTTGGGGCGAGATCTACGTGCGTGGGATGACACCTCTGGGAATCTGGAATTCTACCAGCGTACGCCTCTTCTACGTGAAGCACACGCAGCCACAGCACCGTCAGATCTCCGAGACGGTGACGAATGTCGTTGGAGGGCTGCTTGGACGGTCGGAGTCTTCGCAGTCGTTGCGGCAGCGACAACAGTGAGATACTGCCTTGTAGATATGTTGTTGTAGAATATATTGTGTAGTTGTTTGCATAGGAAGCCGGCGCTACTGACTTAATGGAATCAGGGCTGGGAGCTCTAGAGGGTAGCGGGCACATGACACCGACGCGTCGACACGTGTTCAAACTCCGTCGTCGGACTTTGCGCGCCTCAAGATGGACTCAGAGATCGATAAGATCCGATGAACCGTCAATTGCACGTCTAGTTAATACAGGCGTTGCTAGAATTTTACACAAGTCCCTACTGTAAAGTCTTTCTTGCTGCATCTACTCGAAAATCCAACCAGCGAGGTCGTTGGTGTACTGGACGGTACCCTCAGGAAACCACCTGTGAAACAGCGGATTTAGCCCTGCAACGTACTTGGCACGCATATACTCACAGCTTGATCTCCTTCTCGGCGTTCTCGACGGAGTCGGAACCGTGGCAGATGTTGCGGCCAACAGCAAGGGCAAAGTCGCCACGGATGGTGCCTGTCCACGTAGGAGAGTAAGCTCAGTAGAAGAACTGATTGAAGTAACGAACCGGGAGCAGAGGCAAGAGGGTTGGTCGCGCCGAGCATAGCACGGCCAGTCTTGACAGCGTCGAGACCTTCCCAAACCATGGCGACAACGGGTCCAGCAGCCATGTACTTAATCAAGCCAGGGAAGAAGGGCTTGCCCTTGAGGTCAGCGTAGTCTGTTGTCATGCAACAATGGTCAGCGCCTGCGAGTCAGGACACTTGGGGACGGCTTACGCTTTTCAAGGTGCTCCGGAGTAGCGTGCACGAGCTTGAGAGCAACCAGCTTGAAGCCACGCTGCTCGAAGCGGCCGACGATGTTGCCAACAAGTCCCCGCTGGACACCGTCGGGCTGTATGCGCGCATGTCCGTTACCATCTTCCGAGAGAGAAAATGGTATCCGTCACCTTGACCATGATGTAGGTACGTTCAGCATTGCCAGCCATGATGTTTGTATGGGAGCGAGAGAGCGGTCAGAAGAGAAGATGGCAGATGGATAGACAACGCGTAGAGCAGAACGTGTTCTAGCTGGCGTTTTATAGCAGGTTTTCAGAATCACTGCCAAATCGGGGAGCTGCGAGTCTAGCCACAAACCAAACAGTACACAATACGCCTCGGGCAATTTCGTCAAAGTAGTTGGGAGGTCACTACATCTCGTCCGCCGCGATGTACTCTCCCTTAGGCCTGTCTCTTGCACCCTTCATCCGCCGACACAGGTCTCTGTACAGATGGATTAAGCCCTTCGCAACCTGGTACGCCGACCTGTCTGGCTACAGGAAAGTGGGCTACAAATACGACGACCTCCGTGGGTGTTGCGCGTGAGTTTTTGTGCAGAGGGGACACTCATCGTATTGTCTGCGACAGTCGTGGAGGAGCGCGACGATGTCCAAAGGGCGAGTCCAATATTAACGCGACGTGTTTGCTCAGGCTAATCTTGCATGCGCAGGCCTTGGGACGCCTGACACCGCGTGAAGCGTACGACCGCGCCTACCGCCTTAAAAGGGGGTCGCAGAGCAGCGTGCTTCACGAGAATCTTCCTAAGAGCGAGTGGCTCAAGCCCGAAGAGGTCTGTCTGCTGTCCTTGGGTATCTTTGTAGATTGACGAGGAGCATTCTTGCAGGACGTGCGGTATCTCAAGCCCCACGTAGTTGAGGTCGAGAAGGAAGACAAGGAGAGAAGCGCATGGGATCATATGGCCGTTGGAAAGAAATAAGTATTTGTATCCAACTCTGGCATAATGCGGTATCGTTATCTTCGAGTCTCGTGTGCGCGCACAGCATGTAAGGCGCAATACGACCCTCAACCAAATCTGAAGTCTAATTGCATTGTTCGAAGCTGGCTACCCCAGGCCAAAAAAATACATATTCACAGACTGCACTTTACCCGTTGATAGCGGCAGAAGGAGTCCCCCGACTACAATGCCCTGACAAGAGGTGAAACGACCTCACCGCCCTTCTTCTTATAGAAGTTGACCACCTTGTGAGCGACAATAGCGATGTCTGACCGAACGTAGTCAAACCACATTCACATCTGCAAATAACACATTGCACTCACTGGGGCCGGTGAGGCCAAACTTCTCGTATACTTTCTTGTAGGGGCCAGAAGCTCCCCATCCAGAAAGGCCGAATTGCTGTGAAGAAAGAATGAGCCACATCATGTGTTCCTAGAACGAACAATCTCACCTCGTGGCTGTACTTCTGCCATCCAAGAGTCTAAAAATTCGCAATAACTCTGTAAGATACAATAATCATTCGTACGCGAACCACTCACCGAGTAGGCCTCAACAGACAAGATTGGCGCGCCGCTCCTCAAGACGCCCAGCCTGTACTCCTCAGGCTGCGCGTCGAAGATCGACCAACAGGGCAGGCTGACCACCCTCGTTTTGATGCCATCCGCTATCAACTTGGTCGCCGCCTCCAACACGATGCTGACCTCGCTTCCGGTACTTACAATAGTGAGATCCTCGTTCTGCTCCTCATGGAGGACGTAGCCACCCTTCGCCGCACGCTCAATTGTCGAGCCCTCCAAGTTGGGGAGGTTCTGGCGAGAAAGTGAGAGGATCGTGGGCGTTTGAGTACGCTTGAGCGCAACGTAGTACGCAGCAGAGGTCTCATTACCGTCGGCGGGACGCCAGAAATCAAGGTTCGGCATCGCACGGAAGTGTGCAGCGACTTCGACGGGTTGATGGGTGGGTCCGTCCTCCCCGAGACCGATGGAGTCGTGAGTGCCTATAAGATCATCATTTCCGTCAATAAAATGGAAGAGATCAACCGTGGCATCCAACTCACCGACCCAGATGACTTGGTGTTTGCTTAGAGCTGACAACCTGACAGCACCCGCGGCATACGAAACGAAGTTCTACGAAGGTTGGTGAGTTTCTGCGAGCACCTACTGTAGATCTACTTACTAAGAAAGTACCGACGAACGGTACAAAGCCACCATAAGCGGACAGGCCGTTCGCAATTGCACCCATAGCATGTTCACGCACACCATAACGGATGTACGTTCCTTTATAGCTGCCAAGACCAGTGCTCTCCGGCTGGAAATCAATCATCTCCTTCGTCCTGGTGAGGTTACTGGTGGTGAGATCCGCTGAACCACCAATCATGTCGGGAATCAAGGGAGTGATAGCAGTCAGGACCAGCTCCGAAAACTTGCGAGACGCCTGCGCCGGGTCAGCCGGAGTGTACACTGGTAGAGCCTTCTCCCAGCCCTCGGGGAGCTTGCCCGCGATACGGCGAGTAAGCTCGGCGTGCTCCTTCGGGTATTTCTGTCCGTACGCGGTGAGGAGCACCTCCCATTTCTTCTCGGATTCCGCGCCACGCGCCGCCGCCTGCGCATAGACGTCATATGTCTCCTTGGGAACGTAGAACGACTGGTCAGCAGGGAAACCGAACTTGGTCTTCAAGGCGACAATATCATCGGCCTTAAGGGCTGGATGAGACAGACTGTCAATGGTCTAAAGCTTCCAGACAAAGATGAGATTTACGTACGGGAGCCGTGAACGCCGTGCGTGCCCTGCTGCTTGGAGCCGTAACCGATGGTGGTCCTGAGACGAATGATTGTGGGCTTATTCTTCTCCTTCTTAGCCTCGACAATGGCCTTGTAGATCGCCTCAAGGTCGCTGCAAAATGCGTCAACACGGCAGTCTTTCAATATCGGGGGAATAATACCTGTCGCCGTTGTCGACGTGCAGAACTTGCCAACCGTACGACAGGAATCGCTGCTCAACGTCCTCCGTGAACGCAACGGCAGTATCACCGTCAATGGAGATGTCTTTTCAGAAGGTGAATAACATAGACTATCATTGAAGCGATGGAAAGGCTCACGATTGTCATCGTAGATCTGGAGAAGGGAGTGAGACATTGTCACTACATGGAGGGGGTAGAGCGACTAACGTAAATCAAGTTGCCCAGCTGCAAGTGACCAGCAAGACTAGCCGCCTCGCTTGCAACACCCTCCATCAGACAGCCATCACCAGTGAATACTAAAATTCAGTCAGTGAACGCGCTCTAAGCTCAGTAAACAAATTGACCATAGGTATAGTTGTTGATCACGTCGAACCCTTCACGGTTGTAAACGGCGGCCAAGTGAGCCTGAGCGATGCCCAGACCCACAGCGTTAGCGAAACCTTGGCCAAGAGGGCCGGTAGTGACCTCAATGCCATCGGTGTGACCAGTTTCAGGGTGACCAGGCGTTAATGAGTCAACTTGACGGAAGGACTTCAAGTCATCTATGGTCAGCTTGTATCCCAAGAGATGAAGCAGTATATAGTGCAGCGCGCAGCTGTACGATTTCTCATTACTCTGCGACGCGATCGAACGCGATAAACGTACGCATGACTGCACGAATTAAACGGCTGTCAGCACTTGGACAAAAATTCGCTTCAATGACTAACCCATTCGAGAGAACAAATCGATCTCGGTTATACCACTTCGAGTGCTTGGGGTTGGCATTGAGAATTCTGGGGCAATGGATCAGAAGATGTTGGGGGAAGCCCATCGATGGACACATACCTGGAGAACAAGACATGCGCAACAGGAGCCATGCCCATAGGAGCCCCTGCATACAATAATCGCGCTCAACACCGGGCGTGAACACCGGGCGCAGGGTGTATGCGCACCTGGGTGACCGGAGTTAGCTTTGCCAACTACATCCGCAGCAAGGGTGCGGATGGTAGCGATGCAGGCATCGTCCGTAGGCTGCGCAATGAAGCTGGACATGGCTGGAGACGGGGTAGAGAGGTCGATGAGAGGAAGCGTGGTAGCAAGAACACCGACTATATACGCGCCGTGCACGTGACATGATATGACCGTTAATCCGTAATCGAGTTCACAGTTCTTTCTCATCAACCTGCCCTCTAAGCACGGAAACTTCTCACCCTGCCGCTGTATCCGGCACTCTTTTCTCGATCTCGACGCCGGCGGCATACTTTTCCCTGTCCTTGTTGTCACTCCGAGTTGTAGTAGCCTTGAACTCGAAATGCACGTACATTTGACCGACAAAAAGATAGGCGCGTTGTAGATATCTCACCGCTAGTTGTGCCATAGCTCATCTGGCTGTGATATCGTGACTTCAGTCTGTCAGGAGTTCATACAGGCGCTAGAGGCATGCCACGCTGATACCTGGTCAAGATGGACTGGCGGGTGCAACGATGCAAAGCTCAAGCTCAATATGTGTTTGAGGAAGGAGGTAGCTCTCGTTCTTACATCTCAGCAGTTCTCGTCGCTAATTTTGAGCCTGAGCGCATCGACCGAACCGCGATAAACCGTGACGTCGCAAGACAACGGCGAGAGAGGACCGAGCTAGCATGGGCAGATATCCGCGAAGAGTAGGGATCTGGGATGCTCTGAGCCTGCTGATATGGGAGTGTTCGGTGCACCGTCCAACCACGTTCATGCTATGGCATGCGGAACCGGAACGTTCAGACACCCTATGTGCTCTCAGAAGACTGATGAAGCTGTACTGAGCTGGCTCCTGTGTAGGAGGTGCTATGTTAGTGCTAGCAAACGGAAGCATTGGGTAATTCTTTGCTTCCTGGTAATTTGACGTACTTACCACCAGAACGATGTGCATGGTCCAAGCTATTCTAATCCTTACAGTTTGAGAGCGACTTCGTTTTGTCCCTTCTGCACGGTCGACTTCCACACTCGCCCGCCCGCGAAGAGACTGACTGCGGCTATATCCACATCACCTGCCATGACACTCACACTCAGCTCTCCAGCTCTCCTCTCCGCTCTCACGGTGCCTGCGATCTCCGCCCCGCTTCCAGTTGGTACGTCCATCCGCGCTACTTGACCCTCTGCGAGTTCGTATACCTGCACTTCGACACCCTGAGCCAGCTCGTAATCCGGGCGCCCTATGCCACTGGGTCCCAGGCACAAGATCGATCCTGGGCGTACCCAGACCGGGATTTCATCGAGGGGAACGGCTTCTTGCACCCACATCGGACCATCAGCCGTGCGCTGCGGGTGGGAGAATGATGTCCAGCGGCCACCGGGTATATAATATTCGGTATCTTCTCCTTGTGGAACGAACACAGGTGCGACGAGGAGAGAGGGTCCGAACATGTACTGCCTGTCGAGGTAGTGTGTGGTACGGTCGGAGGGGAACTCAAGGAACATTGCACGTTGCATGGGGTGTCCGAGCCGATGTCCTTCGAGGGCCTGCAGTGGTGCTGGAAGTCAGCTCTTCAACTGACACAACACGCGGCGGAACGTACAAGGTTGTACAGGTACGGCATGAGCCGATGCTTCGTATCGAGGAAACGTGCCATGTATACCGCAGCCTCTTCACCATATTGCCAGGGAACACGATATGACATTGATCCATGCAGACGAGAATGCGACGAGAAGAGTCCGTACGCTACCCAGCGAAGGTAAATTTCAGGCGGTGGATGTCCCTACAAGAAGAAGGGCTCAGGATTGTATGTTGGATGGCAAAAACTGACAAACCTCGAAGCCTCCAATGTCATGCGACGCGAAAGCAAACCCGGAAGAAGTGAGACTCAAACCACCGCGAAGGGTCTCCGCCATGGCTTCGAATGTCGATTCACAGTCACCGCCCCAATGCTGTTCGATACCCACATGGTGATCACTGCCTTAGCTTGTTTACCAATGTCACTTACCACTGGGAATCTGATATTGTTATCGATCAGTACGCGCCATGCCTGCAAATGTAGGCCAACACTGACCTCTGCCCTCCGGTTGTCGCTGAGCGTGCAAACACAACTGCCTCGCCCTCACCGAATCGTCGCTTCAGTAGGTTGAACACAAGCTCATTGTACAGGACGGAGTACGCGTTATGCATCCTCATTGGATCTGATCCGTCGTGGAATACGACCTCCGCATGCGGGATACGTTCACCGAAATCTGTCTGCATAACACCAGTGCGAATCCATGTCGGTAATGCTGCGGAGCAATTCAATAAATGTGATTGACCTTGAAAGTGTCGACGCCCAGGTCAATAAGGGCATCCAGTTTCTTCTCGTACCACTTTCGGGCTGCTAGGTTTGTGATATCGACTACCCCAAGGCCGGGTTGCCATAAGTCCCACCTTCACGAGCGCGCATCGTCAATGTTCATTTATAGCACGTCGGGGACTCGGAGACGCACTGCCAAGGGGTCCCATCCATACGCTTGATGAGATATCCGTCACTCACCGCCTCTTGGAAAATAGGGGAGAGTTGCGAAATGTACGGATTGACTGCGCAATGGTTAAAACAAATAGTTATCCGACAAAACAGAACACCTACTCCAAACACATATCTTTACACCATATGTTTTCTTGATGTGCGCGAGGTATGCCTTGGGATCGGGGAAGTTATCTGGGTCGAATGTGAAGGAGCACCTGTGCGCAATCGCATTCACGGGAGATTTCTCGATACAGGCCGAAGACGTACCACTCATACTGCTTCATCCAGAAGCAATCCAGATGGAACACTCGCACAGGACAGTTGCGATCCTGCATGCCCTGAAGGAAGCCTGACACTGTTTTTTCATCGTATGACGTGAGGAAGGACGTCGACAGCCAGAGCCCGAACGTCCATGCTGGAAGGAGACTGGAGATGGCGTCGTCAGAATCAACAACCACAGCATGTCAAGGTTTGCATACGCAGGTCGGCCGGTCATACGGGTGTAGCGCTCGAGAATCTGTGCAGAGGTAGTGAGACACAGGGTCAACAAACTGAAACATGTCTTTTACCTCCAACGGCGTATCGCCATAGATAACAAAGTACTCCAAGCTCTCACCGGCAACGCTTACACCGACTCTGCTCACCTTCTCGCTGCCGACTTCCACTTCAACTTCTCCAGGATGATTGACGAAGACACCATAATTACGGTTGGTGATGTAGAAAGGGACACATTTATATGCTTGTTCGCTGGACGTGCCGCCGTCCTGATTCCAAATACTGACCGTTTGGCCTGAACAATCAATGCTCAGTAGAGCAGCCTTCCACAGAGGAGAGTACTAACCATTCTTCACAAATGCGCCGAATTGTTCTCCCAATCCATAGACCAACTCTCCGGGAGACAAGTTTAGCTCGGAATGGACATAGCGCACCAATTCTGGTGGATTCCTTGGATGCGGATTCGAGCTCACATCTGTGGCAAGACACGATCCGTTGGATGCACTTCTGATTGTCCATTTGTACGGCACATCGTAGATCGCCTGATGCCTATATCCTGCCGTGGTTAGTGTGCGAGCGAGTGACTTGAACGTAATGGTGTAAGGGTTCTCTGTAATCTCTGTAGTCAAACCGCCGGTGGCAATCGACCAGGAAGAATCGGCTTTCATGAGCACAACAGAGGGCACCGGCGGGTCGTCCGGGAAGAGGGGAAAATTTGGAGCAGGATTACTATGTTTGAAGTGTTCGATCTTCACTCCGACGACACCCTCTGTCGGAGAGTGGACTCGGATACACAGCACAGGTCCTACGGTACCAGCATCGTTCAAAGATCAAAAGAAGCTGGATCAGCCTGAAATCATGCGACTGCGTACCGGCTAGAGTATCTCCACGATGGCGGATCGGTTTGGTCGAGACCTGAAGGTTATAACCATCGCCGTCCTGGATAGCTTGGACGACTTGAAGTCCGTAGGACGGCTTGACACCGCTCTTCAGGAGCCAGAATCCGTCGTTGAACCGCATATCAGCCTGTTTGAAAGATGCCACCGAAGTGGGGCCCCATCTTGCGTATTTGAATGATTACGGGTTGTTCCAGGTACAGATGACCACAACGGCCCGTCAGGCCGCCAAGGAAGTCATACTACACTTCCCAGGCCCATTGCACATGCACAGGGTTTATAGTAGCGAAGAAAAGAACCGTGGAGAGTGTGAGAAGTGGTGTACAGGCAATCTGGATCAGCGCAAGACACGACCTCGGCTCGACGCGATCGAGATAAAACGCGTCGAGATCACGTGTCTCATACGGGAGTGACTCAGTCTGAGTGAGCATCTCACTTCTCAGTGAAGTTCAAGAAGCAACTGTCCAGCCTATTGCTCGCGGTTTTGTTAAGAGGGTAGGTCAGGACGTTTTTCAGTTTGTGATAATCTAACGGTGTAAGGCAAGATTCAATAGACTAGTAACGAAGTGAGACAGCTCACCGCCGCGACAGCGCATATCTCCCCAGATCAGTGCCAACCATTATGTCTACACTGGATGGGAAGCTCTGGTCCGAGACTCCTCTCATCTTCTCTTCACACATCTCCGCACGCCTCGGATGCAATGCATATCTGAAATTAGAGGTATGCCCTTGCCAGAGATATTTGGACTCACCTAACTTGTCCGCGCAGAATTTACAGCCTTCACAATCGTTCAAGTATCGGGGCATATCGCTGTTCGTCCAACATGCGCTACGCACACACGGACCTGACACGCACTTAATCATCGCATCGGGTGGGAACGCAGGCCTTGCCGCCGCGTGCGCCGCCAAGGCACTCTGTCTGCGCTGCACTATCTTCCTGCCCGAGGGTGTGAGTCGGTCCACGATCGACTTCATGAGGAGGGAGGGGGCAAATATTGTCACGGCTGGCAGGTGCTATGCGCAGGCCCTAGCAAAGGCAGAGGAGGTGATGGTAGCGGATCCCAAGGCGTGCGTATACACTCGAACGAGGTATTCAAATCGCAATGATACTGATATCCATTTGCAGGGTGCTAGTGCCCGCTTATGATAATTCTATCCTCTGGGAAGGGCATGCATCTATGATCACTGAGATCGTGCAGCAGCTCCCGCCGGGAATGACACCGGCTGCCATATTTTGCAGCGTCGGGGGCGGAGGGCTTCTCGGCGGTGTCTTGCAGGGGTGCAGATCTGTCGGATGGGATCATGGTCAGCTCCATCCAACTCACAGCATTTCTGTCGTGCACAAATTGACGAGTTTGGTGAGAAGTACCCGTTGTTGCACTCGAGACTCTTGGCTCCAACAGCTTCTACCAGTCGCTGGCACTTAACCCTGGTGCATTTACTGCGACAGAATCTCACTTGCCACCTGAAGGTGTCCGAGCTGAGCACGATTCCGTACACAATGTGAATGTTGCACACCTATCCACGCTGAAGTCACGCGCAACCTCTCTCGGAGCATCGTCGGCCTCTGCTGCAGTTGTGAAGATGGCGCTGGATCGGAAGGGTGGACTCAAGAGTGTATGTCTGCCTGACGAGTTTCTAATGAAGACGGCTCGGTCGTTCGCAGGTACGCTTGCCGCCTGTTAACATGATGTCAACTAACCGCGTCCTCTCTATCTGGAACCTGCGTAGAGGAACACAAGATGCTGGTGGAACTTGCATGCGCCGCGACTCTCACTTCAGCCTACAACCCTGCATTATTTGAAAAGATACTGCCATCCTCACCGTCAAGCTCTCCGAGAACGGTAGTCTTTATCGTCTGTGGGGGCTTCAAAGTAGATCTCGAAGAACTGGAAGAGTATCGGACGGGTGTTCAGGCAGACGCAAATAATGGAAGTAAATGGCAAGTGCTGTGCAATGGTGAGCAGTGGGCGTTGGATATGTGAACAGATAAGAGTAGTGTTACAAATGCATAAGGCATACATTGGGACAACAATGTTGTAGATAGACTTCACTCCCCTGAGTGACTGGGCTAGGGTCAGGTGTTTACATGAACGAATGCGCGACGTACCTGCGGCAGACGACCGCCTTAGTCCGTAGACCGGAACACTATGCAGTGTGGGCCGCGGCGGATGATATCTCCCTCTCCCTCTCAGCTTTCTTCTCACGCTTGCGAGCTCTGATCTTGGCCAGCTCCTCGCGCAGTGCACTCTGATCGGCAGGCAATTTCTGGAGAGCAGCACACATATGGGTCTATTAGTCAAGCGGACGAGGAGTCTTGTACTTACCGTGACCAGTCGTTCATCAGGCGGGAAAATGTGGTCCTTGTACTGAAGTAGCAAGAAAAGATCAGCAATCAATCCGCCATACTTCAACAATGGGTTGACTACTGGAAATCACTTACACTAAGGACATGTCGATTGTACCAATCCGGGTCGCCATAGTGGAGCATCATGGCAAGTGGAAAGAAGACATAGATGGCGAATTTGAAGACTTCGAGATTTGGACCAGCCATTGTAAGCCTAACAGAGCAAGGCAGGCAGGAGAGAATTAACGCGAGAAAGTGGCAACGGCGTCCGCCGCTTAGACGCCTGGTCCTCTCCGGATCACGTGCCTACCAGCACGCGTCGACGTCATTCACCTTCATGTTGTGTGACGAACTTGAAGGAGACTATCTACGTACAGTCATGGCTCGAAGCATTTCTTCGTGGCTAGCTGCGCCCTTCAGATTCACACCAGTCCCAGTAACCGTGCTAACCGTCGCCGTCTATGCTGCAATCTTCGCTCTGGTACTCACTGCCGACAAGGTCTCGAAAGTACCAAAGAAGATGAGAGGCTTGAATTTGGATCAAGCATACGAGGACCTTCATCGTGTGAGCTCTTAGATCGTATGTTTACTGTTCAGACTGTTTGACGCGTATACACGCTCCAGATAACTACTCGCCCGCACCCGTACATTTCTCATGCTAACGATGATGTCCGCTTGTATCTACTCTCTCGCCTGGAACCTAATGCTTCAAAATATGCGCATGTCCATCTCTCGGACGACCTGATATCCAACGCCTCATATATCGCCCCAGGCAATTACGTACAGCCATACCGAGGAGTGTACTTCGAAGGCACAAATATTCTCGTCAAAATTGACGGTACCGATTCCTCGCTCTCATCATCGGATGGGGTACTGTTCTCCGCGCATTACGATTCTGTTTCTACGGCCCCTGGTGCCACTGATGATGGTATGGGAGTCGTGACTCTGCTCTCACTCGTGGATTATCTTTCCGCTCCTGAGCGAAGACCTCGCAGGACGGCCATATTCTTTTTCAACAACGGGGAGGAAGATGGTCTGCATGGCGCGTATGCTTTCTGGAAACATCCTTGGTCAAATTTGACCTCCAGCTTCATCAACCTCGAGGGCGCCGCCTCCGGTGGGTGAGTGGGTATTTTACGCGTGTACACGGCACTATGCATGGTTTTCTGAGAAGCTCAACAGCCAACCTTTGGTCTTCCGCTCCACGTCTCTGGCGCCTATGCGCTCCTTCCTGTCGCATGAGATATCTCATCCTCATGCGGAGGTGACGAGTGCCGACGCCTATACATCCGGGGTCGTTAGGAGCTACACAGACTACGAAGTCTTCGAACGTGGGCTCAGAGGTATCAGCGTCATATTTACTTGTTCAGGGGATGTGCTGAGAAGGTTCACTGTGTCTGAAAGGGAAAGTCCCAGGCATGCAGGGTATTGACTTTGCATTCTACAAGAACCGTGCATACTACCACACCCCAATGGACTCTATACCCGGAATGGGTTATCGCGAGGCTCGGAAATCACTCTGGGCCATGATGGAAGGCACTCGTGGCGCAGGACTGTCCTTGCTGAACGATGACAACACTCGCGGAGAGGACGAAAAAGGCGTATACTTCGATTGTAAGTGACCAAATTGAGCCTAATGTTGTAACTGACGGCGATTTGTTGTATCAGTGTTCAAGTATAAATTGGTCTTGTTCTCTCTGAATTCTCTCTACGTGACCAACATCGTCTTTTTGGCCATGGGACCTGTGGTCATTCTTGCGCTGCTTGGTTGGGTTATCGTAGCGTCTAACAAAGCCAGCTGTATGTTTGTGTCCACATTTCCGCAGCCCGGATACGACGCTCATGCGCCATGATACAGCATCTCAAACAGAAGGATCCAACATGACTCGGGAAGGTTGGGCGAAGGCCAAGAAGTTCCTGACTGCTGTCATGGGATGGGGCCGGTTCTGGTTGGCGCTAGCAGTGGGCATCATAGCTCAGGTAGGCCTGGTGATCGGGTTTGTGAAGATTAATCCATATGTAAGCATTTCCGCGAATCCTGCGGCGCACCAGTTCATCCGTTTGGGGGTGTGTAGGTCGTCCACTCGCGTCCCCACCTTGTCCTCCTTGCCTGCATGACGCTCTCTTATCTCGCGATCGTTCTCCCACTCCAAATTCTGCAAACCCTCCTCCCGTCTGCCCCGGTTTCGCAAAAATTGGCAGTATCGCTGGAGCTCTACTTCTTGACGTGGATCTTCCTCCTGGTTTCGACCATCGCAATACAGAAGCGACATATCGGTGGCGTGTACTGGGTTACAGCATGGAACATCAGCGCCTGGATTGTGTGTGGGATCTCGCTGGTTGAAGGGGCGGTGCGAGAGCTGAAGGATCCAGAGACAGGTAAGAAGGCGGGGCTGGATCTGACCGTCGAGGACGAGCAGGAAGAGGCTTCAAACAGAAGGTTTGTCAGAGGCGTATTATACGAGGCCCCGGAGCCTCAGGATACAGACGGTGCAGAGGCAAGTGAGGAACACGGAGAAGTCGTAGATACGGAGCCGACGGAGATTACTCCCCTCATGCACCAGCACCGTCGGAGGTCCTCTAGCGGGCGCGAATACGTCACTGTGAATGGCGTTGTTGACCAGGCAGCGCTGGAGGCGAAGTACGAGGAGTTCGGATGGTGGATCTTACAGCTGCTGGTGTCAGTGCCCTTAACGGCGCTGCTTCTCTTCCAGGTGGTTTTACTCCTGCTACACGCTCTGTCGAATACGATGGTGGATGGGAGCAGTCCATGGACGGGTACGTTTTTTCGTGCTGAACATCACGGAACCATACTGACAGTACATCAGTGTACGAAGGCCTGGCAGCCTGCTCGCTTCTCATTTTCGTCCCAATTATTCCCTTCGCCCACAGACTACACAGTTGGCTCACCATCACCGTCGCAGTCATATTCGCCCTCTCCCTCACAATATCATGGACCGCGTTCCCCTTTACACAAGAACGCCCCTTCAAGGTGTACTTCCAACAATCGATCGAGCTCGAGCCACCATCCACCGCGCTAGCGCGCGTGTACGCGTCCAGCGCTATAGGCCCCTTCCCGCGAGCGGTAACCGTTCTCACGGGCCTGCCCGGCTTCGTCAACGAGCGGGTCATCCCCGAGCTGCCCTCTTCTTGGGGAAAAGACCTCTCCTGCAGCGAGGACCCCGTCGTCCGTCCGAATCTACTGACATGCCGCTGGGAAGGGGCGCTCCTAGCCAACCCGGGCGGGCCCTCCTCGTCCTCGTCGTCCTCTCCGGCCACAGAGGACTGGCTCGACCTCGCCGTCACGCGCGTGAACGCGAGCGCAGCGCGCGTGTCACTCGGTGGGCGGAACACACGCGCGTGCCGGCTGTACTTTGACCGGCCCATCGCACACTTCGCCGTGCGCGGCGCAGCGGACGGCGGTGCGCTCCTCCCGGGGTACGCAATGCCCCCGGAGGGCGTGCGCGAGCTGCGGCTCTGGAGTCGCACGTGGGACCGCGTGTTCGAAGTCGAGCTCTGGTGGGAGGAGGCGGAGGATGGGTACGGAGAGGCGCCATTCGAGGGGCGCGCGGCGTGCGAGTGGGCGGAGTACGCGAGCGGTGCGGCTGGCGGGGTCGCGGGCGCGGGCGGACGGATACCCGCACTGGAGGAGGTGAAGATGTTCTTGCCGGTGTGGGCGCTGCCGACGAAGACGGCGGACGGGCTCGTGGAGGCGTGGACGAAGTTTTCCGTGTAATTTTCACTCACCTGTGTTATCGCCTGTTCGGTACTCACGAATGTAATTATTGGGCGTTGGCTTGTATAAATATATCTGGTAGGAAGTACACCGCCGGAGATGAAATGCACACGAGAGTGATAACGTTGATATACAACACGTACGAGTACAGTTGTGCTTTTTCCGCTTCCATTTCGCATCCCATATCCTACATTGACCAACTCGAAGCCCGCCACGTCCCGTCCTATCATGCATTTTCGGTCGCAGAGCCGCGATACTCAGCACTGCTTCGCGTAGGTGCCGTTGGACTTGCTTCCTGAGCCATCCGGGAGCTTACCACGGCGCCCCTCTTCAGTCTTCCTGCTCTCAAGCTTGCTGAGCGCGCTAGTCGGATTGTCCGAGTCCCCGAGGCCCTCCGCAACCTCTACCTGCTCAAGCAATCAGCGCCTCCCACACAAAGTACTAATAAAGAATATAAGGTGGAGGGACGCACGATGTCACCGACGAGCCGGTCGATCATGACCGCGGACGTGTTCTCGCGGACGACGACACGGAGGATATCGACGCTCTGGAGGTCCGGCGCGAGCTCGTAGTTGGGCACGATCCACCCCTTAGCGCGCAGCAACGTCTGCACCCACTTCTGCTGCACCTCAGGGTACTTTGCGCGATACTTGTCTGAGAAGCGGAAGGATACCACCGGCAGGCCGGGGACATAGTTCTAGGTGGGGAGGAAAATGGGAGGTTCAGACGATGTCCGAGGTAGCGGAGCGGCTTTGAGCAAGTGAGAAGTGACACGCACCTCAACGTTCTCCTCGTCGAACTCGATCACCTGCTTCCCCCCCGGGACGACGGTCGAGGTCTCCACAGGGCGGTGGATGTCACTGAGGACATCAAAGTATCCGCTTTTCTCAAGCGCGCGGCTGAGGAGGCGCGCGTTCTTGAGATCCTGCAGCGCGACATTGCGGTAGCCCTCGAAGCCGAGGTGTATGAAGTTGAAGTACTGCGCAATGATTGGGTGTGCGGGTCGCGAAAAATTGAGTGAGAACGAGTACTCGACGCTGCCCAGGTAGTGCAGCTCGAAGATGAGGTCCTTCGGCAGGTACTTCTTCGACCGCCACACGACCCACCCGACGCCAACATACGAGAGTCCAAATTTATGCCCCGAGGTGTTGATCGAGACCACGCGTGGGATGCGGAAGTCCCACTCGAGCTTGGGTGTCGCGAAGGGAGCAATGAACCCGCCCGATGCACCGTCGACGTGGATCGGCACGTTGTTCCCCGTACGCTCCTCGTACTCGTCCAGGAGCGCAGCCATCTCCTTCACAGGCTCATAGTGCCCGGTGTATGTACCTGAAAGCGCGCTCAATTTCTAGACCCAACAGGAACGCGAACAGTACTCACTTCCCAGGATGACATATACGCCAATGGTGTTCTCGTCGACATATTGCATGGCGCGCTGGGGATCAAGACAATAGTGGCTCTCCTTGGAGATGGGAACGAGGCGGCACTCTACGTCGAAGTAGCGGGCGAACTTCTCGAGGGCGACCTGGGCATTTGCACCCATAACGATGTTCGGGCCGGGCTCGTGGATGGACTTACCAGCGGCCTTGCGACGCTCCTGCCAGATGCGCTTCATGGCCAGCCCACCGAGCTGAATAGCCTCGGAGGAGCCGGTGGTGGCGGTGCCGATGGCCTCCTGGGAAGAGTGCGCGTGCCATAGCTCGGCGAGAATGGAGACGCAGCGGGTATGCAGGACCTCTGTGGGGTGTGAGAGTTATGACGCGCAAAGAGAGGGGGACGCACGGGTCATGGGATATTCGTCCTGGTCGATGAGGTTCTTGGAGATGTTCTCCATCATGAGCTGATCGGCCTCCTTGGGCATCCAGGTGTGGACGAAGGAGGCGAGGTTGAGGGCGGGGGTGCCATCGAGGGTGAGTTCATCGTGCAGCAGCTGATAGGTAGCCTGGGCGTCGACACCCTGAGTGCGCACGAATTAGACGGTAATCATGGGAGAGTTGGGGGGAGGGCACCTTGGACGGGATTCTGTACTTGGGGACGGGCTCCGTGCCATAGCGGGCTCCATAGGCGTGGGTCGCGAGGTGACCAGTGGAGCTATGGATGTGCTTGTGGTCCTAGGGATAAATGTGAGCAAGACGTAGTTTGCGCGAAAAGTAAAAGCGTGCCTGGGAAGTCCTGACGAGGAAGTCGGTGTTGAGGTGCTGCGAGCATAAATAAATTGAGCTGGGTGGAGAAAGGAGGAACGAGACAGCGTACTCTGGCGAGAGGCATGGTGGGGGAAGAAGAGGAGGGTACGGCAGTGAGCAGTGGAGGACGGGGTTTATATAGTCGCAGATGGCGACGATAGTGAGCGCGGATGATGTCATCAGCGGCCTCCAATTTGATTTTCCAAGTGCGCCCTATGTCACCCGCCAACTGCCGCAGCGTCGCCGCCGTCGTGTCCGGCTTCCTTTCTCCCCACTCATAGACTCACCCGACCTTCCCCTTCGGTCCTTCGAAGCACGCGAAGCCTCTGACGCGTTCTACATCTGACGCGTTCTGTCACATCACGTGCCTTCCTGTGACGCACCTCGTTCCTGGTTCCTGCACTGTCTGCTCCTCCCCATTCCATGCTGCTCTTCCTTCTACCTCATCCGTGTCCTCGAAATCGTCTCCGTTGTGCTGTGCAGCGTCGTTCATCGTCTCGCTTGCTGCGGCGGGAACGCGCTATCAACTTGCTCATCTCCATCATTTCTACCTGATTCAACACGCACCCCACACACCTCGCCGTTTCAAATCAAACATTTGCCCCCCTGCGGATAGCTCTTCTCTTCCATCTCGCCTCCACGGTATGAACATAACATCACAGTCGTTTCAATCCGAGATGGTCATGCGGTCTCCACCCGTGAATCGTACTGTTGGCCGAGCGGCTCTTGTCTCCCACGTACATGCCTCGCTGCTAGGCCAGAGCTTGAAGGTTCGCTCCCAGTAACGGCGCGTGTTCTTTGCGGAGTGAATGGACCGACTTAGATGAGAGTCATGGCTTGATTCATGCCGATTGCGAAGTTCAGAAGTAATCACAAAGACAAAGAAAACATGTTGACCATCTGACTGGAAATGAAGCCCCAGGCATGCTGTGAGTGGCATGTTCACGATCTATGTTCATCTATTTGAAGATGTTGTGAGCTCATTCTGATGTCCATTGTGAGTCCTCGATGCACATCTTGAAGCTTGAGCCATGAGAACATCCTATACAGCTTCTTTTGGAGTCGGAAAGCAGTAAAATCTCCGTATCGCTATGTCAATGATGGCGCGTACCGTCACAGTTACTTCGCCCCTTTGAGCTGCTACTCGATCCCCTGCTTCTCTTGCAACACACCTTTGCCTCGCTGCATGTTCTGGAATCGAGAGATTGGGGTGTGGTGCGCAATCTATTTTTGCTTATCGTGAATCGTGCTTGCCTTCTGAGTTTCGCTGAGTTACACACGAACATCTGATCTACTTGGAGCAAGTCCGACTGGTTAATCAAGTACTCTATGGGCAGCTGTTGGGCAGCTGGCCTGTATGCGTTGTGCGCAGTTGGCGTCAACGAATTCGCACTTGACCATAGCAAGATGGAAAATATCTTCTCATGTTGCTACTTAGAGAATTTTGGTCCGAAAGTTGCATGCTATCGACATGGCAATATTCCTGCATGTTCAGTAGGTGCATCGGCGAGTTCGGCACTGTCGTCAACTGGTCCATGTCCAAGCCGTCGCTGCCGTGCCCTCGGTTGTCCTACTAGTACTGGGCTGGCACTTGTACCAGTGTTGGTGCAGTGCGGGCAGTGATCTCCAAGCCCCTCCGGGCCGGAAGCCTGTGCGGAAGTTCTATGCTTGCATAGGCACCATGTTTTTATTTGAACCCAAGCTAGCTCCCTACATTAGATAGTTACAGTAGCTGTTATCTACCATAGGGCTTCGCCCTCGAGGACAAGAAACAGGAACCCAAAAAAAGCCTGTGCATCTATTTGGGAAGATCCACCAGCTTCCTCTGGGCGACCAGTAGAAGATTTTTGTGACCTGGGAGCGTGATAGGGTACCATTCTTCACTGGTTGCGTTCATTTCGGGCTGAACATTGTCTTGCAGGTGATGTGACTTTGTGCGATCCTTCCGCAGGTCTGTGCTCATTATCAAGTCATTGCTAGAAGCGAAGCTGTTACTGTACTCATGAATGGGGCTTGTCCAACATCTAGTTCTCGAAGTAACAGTCTCTGAGCTAGATGGAGTTGTACTATCATGAAGGGGGTTCTTCAAATTGGTTTTGGCTTTCAAAACATAGAAATTAGCTTCCAGTTCCTTCCACAAGCACTGGGTCCTTCTCGGCTTTTTAATGTACACTAATAAGGACCTATTAGATGTCCTCAGATACTCAGAAAGAAATTATATGAAGTGTGCGAAGTACAGGATCCAGCAAATGCTGGCCATACTACAGAAGTGCCGTGTGGGTATTTGGCAGATCTTGAGACTTACTTGCTCTGGAAAAACCTACGCAAGGCATAGCTATACATGAAAACTATAAAGATGAATGATTCGCATGCCAGATAGGGAGGCGGACCAGCACGGCGAATTTCCGAGGGGAAATAACGGTTTGCGACGGTGACAAAAGGCGCCCGCCTTTGACGGGCGCTCTGGCCTTGAAAAACAGGGAACCCACCCAAATCCGGAATGCCGTGGCCGCATGCCGTTGTGACCGGCTTGTGACTGATTTTGAAGAAGACCCACCAGTGTAAGCAAAGCCACCATCAATTCAGTATTTTCGTGCCGATTCAACTTGTGCTCCACCATTCGTTCCGATTTTAAGTAGAGCAGTTAGACCATCAATGGTTGCATAGATTGGTAAAAAAAACTAAGAGGGTAGGGTATCAGACGATGGAGCTACAGGCTTTGCACCGGTTTTGATTGAAGAACCCCCTTCGTGATAGTACCGGCCGACCGGACGTGAACATTTTCCAGAGCTGCGAGCTATGCTCTCATCAGAGGCCACGACGCAATCCGGAGGTTCACTGACTACACCACCAGCCAATCCCGATGTTTCGACGTCTTAGCCTTGATATCCGAGAATAGTTACCACGGTATCCCCAGATGTCTCAGTGATATCCTTCTGATATCAAAGGCTAGATATCTGCTGACCGTTGAGTCGAGTTGAGTTGACTCGGACCAACTCGCATAACTCGGTGGTTGGAGTTAAAACTGTGAGCCAATCAGAAGCCAGGACTCGCATCAACTGCCATTTCGGAGTTACATAAGCAGGTTGATCTCCGAAACGCGTCCTGTCGATCTTGTAGAACGCGACGCGTCGCCTACAACATCCACGCCGTGTACTTTCATTCTAATTGTTCACTCTACTACCTCGTAGTGCAGTAATGAATGATACATTTATTGGCCCATACTTCTTTGAGTTCAGTCCATTTGAAAGTCTCCTGTGTTGTCCAAACCTGGCTAAATATCTGCCCTACAGTGCCCCCAAGGATTTCAGCTTGAAGGAGTAGTTGCAGTAGTGAGGGACTGGTGTAGAGGGCTCAATGTTACTGACAGGACTGTGGTACTGGTACATACTTCACCAAGGCATTCAAGGATGCGCGACAACCCGAGGGCCATTGTCTCGCGCAGGAACCCGGGGCCGGCAACTCGGCCGGAATGCCGGCATTGCTTCGGCATCATCGTTCACGAATGAATTGGCTTGCTACGGCTAAAGAGGCGCGTTTGAAAGCAAACCTATATCAGTCCGTCCTCTCACCTCTCATATAGGACTGATTTTGTAGTCTGGCTTTGGGAGACTACATCAACTCGGTCGAGTCGGTGCGAGTTGGCCAACTCGACAGGCGAGGTGAGTTGAGTTACCGAGTTGAACTCAACTCAGCGGCAACACTACCTGAGTCAGGTCTTTGATCAAGTTGGCGGTGTACTACTTTGGTCAAGGCAAGGCACAATAGACTCAACTCAACTCAACTCAACTCGCGGCAACACTACCTGACTGATGTCCAAGGCCGGATATCAGAAAGCCGGACTCATCAGGATGATATCCGAAGGTCGGCAGAGGTCACGGACAATTGACGCACAACACAAATTTCCCCTAGCACAATCCATTTTGTGATGGTTACTTTGACTCCGGTCAATACACAAGGGTTATGAATTAATGGCTGCAAGCTACCTTCACTAGACGAAGAGGCGCCTCGAATGATTTCGGAACGGGAATCTATGGCGCGTTCCCTGGCACTTCCACACTGAATTCACCCGGTTGGATCGCATGGGTTTAACATTAATATTGATGCTATGGAAGGCTTGTGGTGTACAGACGGCGTGTGAACACACCATGGTATAAAGTCAGGATCAGCCTATTTCACTTTGTCGGCCCTTTCCCCCATAGAGCCACCGGGACATTATGACTTTCCTCGTTCAAGCTGCCTTGCTTTCATTATTCACCCTTCTGCTCGTGTATGCACGCAGACTTTTCAGATGCTCTCTCCGACTCCCACCGGGTCCTACGCCAGTCCCCCTCCTTGGCAATATTCACCAACTTCCCAAAATTGAGATATGGAAGACCCTAAGGGTGTGGGGTGTGCAGTATGGTGAGCATTTTCATTTATTGTTTTCCTTCTCTAAATGAAATGCAGGCGATGTGGTCTTTGCTCGATTCTTTGGCACACGCGTGCTCGTCGTCAATTCCTTACAGGTAGCTCAAGATCTGATGGACAAGAAGAGCTCGATCTATTCTGACAGACCAAGGTTCACCTTACATGCCGAATTGCAAGTATGTCAATTACTCTGTATCTATTAGGCCATTCAATGCCGCATGACTGACAGGATGGGGCTCCACTCCGTGACCTCTCATATGCGGTACGGCGAACGCTTCCGCAAGCAACGCCGGTGGATCCACAATGCCGTGCAAGATAAGGACGCGGTCAGGAACTTCCGTCCGATGAGACAGCGAGAGACGTACATACTCCTGTTGAACCTGATCGAGAAGCCTGACGACTATGTCGCACACATTGAGCAGCAAGTGATATCCTCTCCGTCCGCTCGAGGAGGCTGACCTTCTTCCAGGTTCGTGGTAGCCTTGGTCATGGAAGTAGCCTACGGGCATACCGTTCGGTCGTCCGATGACAATTATGTGCAGATTGTTCGGCAGGCGAGCACCGCAGTATCAGATGTCGGAAGCCCGGCCGCAAAGTTAGTGGACTTCTTCCCTGCGTGTAAGCCACATAATACTCTGGCCGAATCAGTGACGCTGACGAAAGATCGTAGTGAAGTTCCTGCCTTCCTGGATGCCTGGTGGTAGCTTCCAAAAGGAGGCAGCTAGGGTGCGTATTTTAGTACGAAAGCTGCTGGACATGCCATATGATATGGTGAAGAGTGCGTTGGTGCGTGTCTGGAACGGCTCCCCGAATCACATGTGAATGTTTGCCTGCAGGCCGCTGGTACTGCGGTACCATCCCTCACATCGTCTCTACTGGAGCAGGCAATCACTGAGGGAAAACTTACGGATGAAGAAGAAGAGGATATCAAGGGTACCGCAGGTGTCTTGTTCGGAGGTGCGCATTCACCTATCTACTTCAACCAATCCACGTTAACCTATACGCACCAGCGGGAACTGACACGGTAGACAATTATCTGGACGCGATTCTCGTGCAAGTTCTGATAAATCTAATTACTGCCGATCACAGACAGTTACCACGCTCTCTGTGTTCTTTTTGACTATGGTGCTTCACCCAGAAGTCTACAAGAAGGTGCAAGAAGAAATGGACCGGGTAGTCGGACACAGTCGTCTTCCGGACTTCGATGATCGCGACTCTTTGCCATATCTAGAATGTGTTCTGAAAGAGGTCTATCGGTACGCCCGTTTTTCTCGGCTGTAATGCATCATGTAATATTCTCGCGGGCAGGTGGAATGTTCCAGTTCCTCTCGGTGTTCCCCATCAGCTAATGCAGGACGATGAATACTGTGGATATCACATCCCAGGGGACACGATGGTTTTCCCGAATATATGGTTCGAACGTGCATCGGCTACAGAGAGTGTTTACTGATACGCTATCCTAAGGGCGATGTCACAAGATCCAAAATTCTACCCAGATCCTGAGAGGTTCCGTCCGGAACGGTTTGAGGAAATGGACGCGAATACGGCGGAGTTAAGAGACCCGTGGCATATCGTCTTTGGATTTGGTCGACGGTACGATCCTCAACCGCTCGTCCCTTCGTGTACAGCCTACCTAACCTTACCTCCTCGAACAGAATCTGTCCTGGCCGTCGATTCGCGGATGAGGCAATATGGATTGCCATAGCCAACATCGTAGCAACCCTAAACATTTGTAAGGCTCGAGATGCCCACGGCGAAGACGTTACGCCTCCACTGGCCTTCAGTGGTGAATTCACCAAGTATGTGACGCTCATACTCCTAGTGCGGGTACTGATCTAAGAGTGTCAAGCTGTCCTGTACCGTTCCAATGTTCGATTTTACCGCGATCTATGGCGGCTGTGGACTTGGTGTCGCAAATGCGGGCAAATGTTGCTGCCTGATGTACGATCCCGCTGATTTTATTGGTGTTGAGTTGTTGCCGTCACTCTATGCTTTGAATATACGTACCTGTAATTTGCGTGACACATGGCATTCAGTGTGTCTTCTAGTATCAATGAGATGGCCCGGCGGCGGCAGAGGTACTCTTAGGCGTCTATTGTGCAAATAAAGGCAAATATACGCGACGCGACGCGTTGGCCTCGCGTTTTGTAATCAGGTCATCCACTAGTACTGCGATTAACTTAGCCTTTTGCTACATCCAAATGACTTCGACTATGCTTGAGCCACTGTAAGTCCCTTTTGTTAGCCTACCTATTCATACATGAGATCGTCCGAAAACTTAGCGCTGTCCCGGCTACACCGCTCACAAGGCCACCAACCTGTATCCTCCCATTTTCGTCACGAACACCGTCATTCGTTTTGTCCTCCGCGAACAAGTCTTACAGACACCAATATGCAAACATTTACTTTGTGCGCTTGCAGACGCTGCGGCCTTTTGTAGAAGAGCGCGCAAGGAGGCGGTGGAAGGATGTTAAAGGTGTGCGCTATCTGACCCATGGACTATGGGATTCATCGTTATTGTGTTCTTCTCTAGGTAGCCCCGAGTTTGTGCCTCGTATGCTAGATGTTGTGAAGGGACAACTATGTTTCATCATTGGGACAGTATATATGGACATGCCCCTCAAACCCAACGTTCTCGAGGATCTCGCCCGCGATGTAAGTCTCACTATACATGTATACTGTGACTCCATTACTAAGTGATCGCGTATGCCCAGCACTCGATACCCGCACCCCCTCCGCGCGAGAAGTTCTTCTCTTCCGACGACGTCGTCACGCTTGAAGATGAGTCAGGGCGTATCTGCCTTACTGGAGAGAAAATCCGTAGTTCGTGTCTAGTAACCGGCGTGATACTTGGTGCACTGGGCCTGGAGAAGAATAGTGGAGACTTTGAAGTTATCGATATCTGCTACCCGGGGATGGCGTCACAACCAAGTGCGGGCTTAAGCTGGGGCAACCTTCAGCAGGCAGTTAATAGCGAGAGCATGGTCGTTGACGGTATGTGTCGCCCAGTGTATTTTTCGGCCCAGACACGAATCTCCTTGCAGAGTCACCAAACGAGCCTGGCGATGAGTGGATTGCTCTTGTCTCGGGCCTTGAGATTGGCGCGCCCTCTCCATCTGACGGCCAGATCGAAATGCTTGTGGAGTATCTCACAGGAGAAGCCGGCGGGCCACAAGACCAATCGGAAGCGGCACATATCTCGCGTCTAGTCATCGCCGGGAACTCGCTCGCACCTGTCCTGAGCACAAACGGAAGCGTGAACGAAGAGACCGACAGACGAGCTGTATGCGAGTTGACTTCCCGCCGACACCGCTGATTGACTAATTATTTGTGCTGCAGAGGCGATATGGCTACGATGCGGCCAACTTCTCACCACACCCCACGCTCAATCTGTCCGCGTACCTCCTGGATATCGCGCGCACAATGCCCGTGCACATCCTTCCAGGCACGTCCGACCCATCAGGCATCATCCTACCTCAACAGCCCATGCCGCGAGCCATGCTCGGCGGCGCAGCTTCTTTTTCCTCTTTCTCCTGCGAAACCAACCCGACCTACATCCGACTCGGGAGCGGGGACGCGCTCAATCAAGCCCAAAACGGAGACCTCACGAATGTCGGTTCCCAAGGAAAACTAATAGCCTCCACCTCCAAGCTCGCTGCGAAGCCGGCGCCGGAGTCCCAGCAAGCGCGCACGCTCCTCGTGTCCTCTGGCCAGCCGCTGCATGACATGTTCAAGTACGTGTCCTCGCCGCCCTGGACACGGCTCGGGATCGTGGAGGCGACGCTGCAGTGGCGCCACATAGCACCGACGGCTCCGGACACGCTGTGGTGCCACCCGTACTTCTCGGCGGACCCGTTTGTGATCGGAGAGACACCCGACGTGTATGTTGTTGGGTGTCAGCCGGACTTCGGGACGAGGCTTGTTGAAGAGGGCGGGAAGAGCCGGGACGGAGGAGGGGAGGATGTCGATATGGATGGGGCGCATGAGGGTCGGAAGAGATGTCGGATCATACTGGTGCCAGGATTTAGGGAGACGGGAATACTCGTGTTGGTCAATATGCGGACATTCGCGGTGCGGACTGTGCAGTTTGCGGTTACAACTATAACGCCTTGATCGCCAGGCACTTGGTGTCAACATGTTTATAAGAGTACTATTTGGTGAGTGTGATAGAAATTTTCCCGTAGCAAGATTCCGCGATGACATTGTTGTATATACTTGAATTCCTGTCGTGTCTACAGCGTCATGTTTCGTCTATCATGATAATTATCCGTGCATCTAGCAAACGGAAATTGAACTAAACATACAGCGGATCAGAGACAAAATGATCAATGCTCTGGAGTCGGGGAGTCGCCGGAACACATGCAGTCACGCTCCGAGACGGAATCGGCGTAAACCCACTGCTCGCATGCGAGGCTCCACGCGAGATTGAAGGCAGCCGTAATAAAGCCGTCCCAGATAGAGGAACAATATCCTGCTCGTTCCTAGGCATCGCGAGCCATTCGGGCTCCTCAATTAATGGGATGGGGGTCGAGAGACCTGGGGGACGAAAGGAATACATGATGGGTGTCCCGTCGGACTCCACGCGTTGCAGCGAGCTGGGAACCACTGGAGATCGGGAGAATGAGAGGTGGAATTCCGTGCCGAGGCCTAAGCCAAGGCCCGCAGGAGCGCCACAACGAGCTGAAGACTGCACCTCGTTGAGTGGAGGTGGTTCAACGTAGAGGGCGGGGCCGGCGACTCGTCTGTGCGTGGGACCTTCTATATTTGTGGACGATCCGCCGTGCCCGAGGCTAGCGCAATCTTGCCGTTGGTCGCAAGACCTTTCGATTCTGGAGCACGATGCTGATGACAACCCTTTAGGACCTCATAGACGTAACAAAAGAGCTGCATTTACTTATCTGTGAGGATGCGCCATGCGACCCAACTGTGTCATGAATATTCGACTCTAGACCAGCTAAAGAGAGAGTGATGCGGCTTTGCGAGGTTGAAGACATATTGATGTGAATGTAAGTCGACGGATAAGAAGTATAGTAGGTTCAGGCTGACAGCTAGCGTGCTTTTATACAGAATCCTGCGGAAGGGCTGTACCATCCGCTCTCGCCCATCCGTCGGGTCCGCCACACGGATGACCTTCAGGAACTGCCTTTTTTGGATCGACACCCGTCGGACGGATGTTTGCTCCGCGATTTTCTCGCGGATGTGTATCGGTAGAGTGGACGCTAGTGATGCCGCTGAGTTGAGTTCAACTCGGTAACTCAGCTCACCTCGCCCGTCGAGTTGGCCAACTCGCACCGACTCGACATCACCGAGTTCGACTAGTCCTGGCTTCTGATTGGCTCACAGTTTTAACACTCCAACTCGCTCCACCGAGTTGGTCCGACTCAACTCAACTCAATTCAACTCGCGGCAACACTACACCGCCGCCGCCGCCGCCACTGGACGCTGCCCGCCTAAGATCACACGCCAACAGAGATCAAGTGTTTTTTCAAGATTCTGACGGTGTTGATCCTATGGGCCGGTACACTTGCTGATGTAAACAGAGTCAAAGTTACGTAATGTTTGACTGCCGATTATAGCATCAGTAGCTACTACCGCTGTCTCTCGCCGACTTGTCAGTCGAGCTTGTTGTGAATGAGTCTCCTGCGATTTCGTGTGCCTGTAGCATCTATATGTCGTTCGTTCAGCACCACGTCAATAATTTTCTCTGGTCACAACAAGGTGCTTCTCGGACAGCCTTGACATCGTTCGTCCTACCCACTCACTGACTAAACTTTCTAGTGGTCGAAAATCAAGCACAAGAAAGGCGCGAACGATGCTCAGAAGGGTGCAATCTATAGCAAAGCTTACAGGGTAATTCATTCTCATTTCGGAACCTCGCGGTGACTGACTGGTTGTCTCAGGATATAGTACTTGCGGTGCGAAGTACGCCTGCTGAGTTCGTGGTGGTGTTGAACGAGCATCCCGATGACGGTTACCAGATGGCGGCAATGCGGATCCTGACTTGAACGCGGCGCTGGCTGTAGTGCTGAAAAAGGTGAAGGCGCAGGGCGTCCCGAAGGAGAACGTCGAGAATGCGCTGAAAAAGGTCCGCCCGCTTATCATATTGCTTGCTTCCGTGTCTCGAACTCCTGCGCAGGTTCGGGGTCTAAAGGACAAGGGTGGTGATCAGCAGCTCACGTATGAATTGCTTGGGCCTGGTTCGGTCAGCCTGATCGTGTAAGTGGAGATACCACGCATGTCTGTTGGCGTTGCTGACTCTGCGAAGCGAGTGTGTCACTGACAACACGAACCGCACATTGAAAATGATGCAGATTTGCATGAAGGCGTATGGGTGCGATGCTATTTAGTACGTCCTGACTACGGTCCCGCTGACGCTCCACAGCGCACGCTTCGCGAATGTGTCCTATCTCTTCCATCGGAGGGGACGCGTCGAGGTCGCAATCGATAAAGGAGACGACGCTGAAGTAGAACAAGTGATTGAGGCAGCGCTGGAGGCGGGTGCAGAGGACTTCGAGCAGAATGAGACCGAAGACAGTCTCGAAATCGAGGTACGACCCTTGGCGGCCAATGGTTTTCGTGACTGAAATCTCGCTTCCAGTTCCTCTGCGCCCCAAATGCTGTTACGAGATTGATCGAGGCGGTCACTGCGCCAGGCATGAGTCGGGAGTTGATCAACTCGGAACTCATCTATGCACCGCTGGAATCCTGCGATCCGCCTGAGGATGAGGAAACACAAACTCATCTGTCCGATCTCATAGAGAAGCTAGAGTCTAGTGACGACGTGTTGAATGTATGGACGAGTGTAGACGGTTAGATTACTCGTCCTTTCTCACTACATTCGCATCGCCGAAGCATAAAGCATGGCTACTGCATCTGCCACTCGTATGTACATCTGGAACTGTCACCCAGCTCACTGTATGCTATTGACCAGGGAGTAGCATTTGGTCCATCACTAATTGATACAACAATGGCCCATTGCGAGATATACAATTGTACAAAGTGGTGCAGACACAACACCGCACGACGGGAGCACGATAGCTTAGAAAACACAACATATCCAGATAGCGAGATTATAATGCAAGACAAATGTGAGATGGAAAACTGAAAACATGAGACGTTCCACGCAGTAAGATCACACACCGACAGCCTTGCCATACCAACTGGGCGACAACGACATCCACGCGGACGCCTGCGCACCGCCGAGTGTCACCATCCCAATACTCTGCGCATATGTTGTATACTGTTTGAACTTCTTAAACCCAGCGCGCTTGTAAGCGTCCGGATCTTCCTTCATCAGCATCATCGCAACATTATGCCGCGAAGGCTGGAGATTTCCGATCATCCTGCATCTCTCGAGCACTACAAGGAGGACATTGTAGTGAGCAGGAACAGGGGAAAGAACTTGCACAGGAGGTGGTGTTGGTGCGGCCGAAGGAATAGCAGGAGAAACGACAGAAGGATCAGAGGTGTTTGGAGGGCCAGGCTGCGAGATGCTGGGCTTATCGACAGAGCGTAGAACGTGGACAGTAGATAGCTCTGAAGAAGACTCGGACTGCACTGGAAGAGCCGAACTGTCACCACATGAAGCTGTTGCCTGCGGAGGTGGCGAGACGCCGACCACCACCTTCACAGATGGACCAGAGCACTCAGGAGCGCCTGGCTGAGAATGAGCCGGTATGGAAGTCGGTCTGGGAGCAGTGGTAGTAGGAGCCGGAGGGTCGACTGGTACAGCGATGGGCTTCGGAGCCATTGGCAACCCAGCGCCGTTTGCGTTGCTCCCCTGTGTAATTGGTGTATTCTGCGACGGCAGTGTCAACTGCACAGGTGCGGGTTGGGTAGCGATAGACCATCCAGGGGACAACATTGGCGGTTTCAATGGCAAAGACGAAACGCTCCCAACCAGCGAGGACGAGTCGTCTTTCAGTACTGTCGGAGATATCTCTGATGTCCCGCGAGTCGAGTTGGGACTGACGGTTTTGGTACTGGCAACCTCATGGACTGACCTGGCAGGCAACTCAATCCCAGCGGGTGGCTCCCTGGAGGGCTCTTGAACCTGATTCAGAGCAGGGCTTGGAGTGGTTGATAAGGTGAGGGGCGTGGACGTTGCTAGTGCGGGGGACGAGCAGTTGCCGTGTGCAGCGGGCGACGTCAGGAATGCGGGAGCATCCTTTACCGATGTCTATGCATAGTTGGCAAGTTGATTGGCACGTCAGAAAGGCCTACATTCCTTGGGCACAAAACTTACGACGTTCTGCGGGGTGTCAGCAAGAGGCTGCAACACCACGGGGGTCTCATTCTGTCCGGTTATACTAGGGGTAGAGGGAAGGGACAAGCTCGATCCCTGGCATACACGACTCGATTGAGTACCGATGAAACTATTGAAGAACGAATAGTAAACGCACGGATATGGACGAAACGTCCAGAGATCGTTCCTGGAAATTCTTCAAATGTACGTTGAGGTCTGGAATCGGCTCTGTATCCTCCAAAATCGTCTCCTTTATTTCCCTCGTTTCCACAGTCTTAGATCCAGGGATGAGAAGGCATCCGGACGAACGAACAGGCGTTTGTGGGGCAGATCTCGGCACGTCGACAGTCCTGCTCGCGAATCGCGGGCTCGTGCCACGATCCACAAAAGTAGAATGTGTACGACCGCTCTCCTGCTCAGACGTCAGAGTCGCTCCGCTCAAATTCTCTCGGAAGGATAGACGACGAGGGTTTCGCACACCAGACTGCGAGGTCTGGCCGATTAACACGCTGGCCGATTGCGTCCTACGGTGCAAGTCGACGCCGGGCCCTGGTATCAGCAGCCCTGAGTCATCAGTAGTTGAGTGTGCGTCCTTGCCTGCCTTTCCGAGAATATCGCAATCCCAGTCAAGGACTTCGGATGCTTGGGACTTGAGGCTAGCATGCGTCGCGTTGGGAGCCACGAGAACTACGCGATACCTCCGCAGTCGAAGAACTGACACAGCGTACACAAAGTCGCGGTCGCCTGTGATGAGGAGAAGAGTGGCTGGTGCAGGAGTGTCGATCGCATATGTTAGCATGTCGACTGCCACTCAAACTCAGAACTCAGGATGCATGCTCAGAGAGCGCGAACGACACACCCATCATCATCTTGTCCGCGACCTCTTTACGGCCATTGTGTGGGCAGTCTGTTAGCGAAACTCCACAAGATTGGAGCTCGGACCGCAGGTTCATAGACTTTGGCGAAGACTGCTCAGACAGTTCGAGGTAGGCCTTGAACTGTTTCACGCTTCCGAATCTATGCGCAATTTCTCGTATGTTATTCATGATATCATACCCGGGAGCCGTTGAGGGCGGTGAGCAGTTCTCTGGCAGAAAAATTAAATCATAGCGGTGGAAGATCTGCAAGAGATGGACCGACCGTAATCCCAGAAAATGGCGACATGTTCGTGCTCGTGGATAGCAGCAGACATTGAAACTGAGAAAGAGAGCGGATGCACCACCAGGGTGGCTAACAAAAGGCTGAGAGGCGAATAGAGTTTAAGGGCATGCAAAGGTACAGCCGCTTCAAAGGCGGTGCACGATTCAGAAGTCCTGTCAGACGCCAGTTGCCTTTTGCGTTCAAGAACAACACATCGTCCAAGATTTTTGACAAGCCTGAGAGCGTGTAGTCCTCTAAGTTCAAGGCGAACAAGGTCTTAGCACATCCAGTAACAATAACCAACGCAGCGCGGAGTGTCATCGAAAATGCGCATTCAATGTTCATGTCAGACGGAAGTCGGCGAAAATTTTCACCGTTGTCTGGCCAGACGAGGCAGCCTCATGTAGCTGGCCAACCAGAGTCCAGAGTCCAGAGGAGATTCCGAAGGAACGTGCGTATATATGGCAAGCACTCAGTGAGGGTTGGAGAAGTGAAGCTTCACCTTCGCTGACTTCAACTGGCGATCTAGATTAACTTGTACCGACCATAGGTAAAAATGCTGCAGTACCAACAGAGCACAGACACTCCAAAGAGCATAACACTAGGTATGTTGTATCAATACAGAGGCTTGCGCCATACACTGCGACTGCTAAAATACAATACCGCAAATAGAAGTAGGGTGGGCCATTCTCTTCAAGTTCAAGTTTCATGCACCTACTATGACCCTACCATACCAAGCCGGATTCAGCGATATCCAGGCTTGTCCGGATACTCCCCCTAAGGTAACCATCCCAACCTTCTCTGCATGCGCGGTATACATAGTAAAATTCTTGAAACCCGAAACCGAGTACAACTTCGGATTTCCTTGCACAAGTGTAAGTCCAACGATGCTCCGCAAGGGACGGAGGACCCCTGCCCTTTTGCATTTCTCCAAGATTTGTAGGAGGGACTTGAAATGTGGAGGGATTGGAAGAAGGTTAGGCGAATTCGAGTTAGTCGAATTCGCCGACGTTGGGGCATTTGCGACAGGGTCCCTGTCAGAAGGTAGAGTTACGGGGAGCACCGAAGGAGCCCGAGGTATCGGTGAAACGGGCGGTCGTATGGGTGATCCAGCCTGCATTGAAACAGCGGCTGTAACAGCTTCGGCAACTGTAGGTGGAGTATTCGCCCCTCCGGATAATCCATTAAATGTCGAGGGAGGGGTCGAACTGTAGTTATCCTCTGCGACACTCGAACAAATCGGAGAAGCTGAAGGGAGTGGCTGTATATTTGTCTGTGCTAATATGATCTCCGCGAATATAGAAGGATTGGCGTCATTTATCGAAATTTTCTTTTGGGAAGATGATGAAGAGAATCCGGTATCAGGAGACGTGGTGCGTGCCATCGATCCTCCCGAACTACTGGCGATGGTGGAGGTCAAAGTTTCGGAAGGTTTGTCGTCTGGCAACGATTGGACCGGTGAATGATGTAATGGCTCCTCGATCAGAGCGCGACTCGGGGAAGGAAACGGTATATCGCTTGGAATTACAGCCGGTGTGCTAGGCAAGGGTACTACTTGTGTATCCGTTGGTTTCTGTCAGTTCCAACCGATGTGCAAATCAATCTCCTTTTGTTCCCACAGCGATAGATTCCACAAATCAGGGCCTACCTCATCTTGCATGACATCAGACTGTATCTGCTGCACCACATATGGTCCAGGGCACGCCGCTACGCAGCGCATTGAAGGGGTGAGCATTGAAGATGGCTGGCATCAACAAATGAGCCTTTGACATTTGTTATCATGAAAATAAAGTAGCGCACGTCTACGGTGGACGACTCGCCGTCGGACGAAGGATTCTGCAATTTCTTCAGGTACACGTCGAGATCCAGGATATGCTCGATGTCTTCTGATTCTATGTCGCTGTGTTCCGTGTCTGCGACTGCTTGCTGAGAAGACCCACTTGCATCGACGTCTCGAGTCAGCGTAGTTCTGATAGAATGATGCGAAATTGGGCCTGTATCCATAGATGCACTGCGAGAATGACCATCGTCTCTAGTGACAGTCAGTTGCACCGTCTCGGATGAATTATCTCGAAAAGATGGACGATGGGGCCTGCGCTGGGCTGGTGGAGACGAGCACATCAGAACGCTCGTCGATTGCGTCCTGACGCGTGATGGGTCAACCCTCGTGTGCCGCGCATCCTTGCTCGTCTTTCTGAGAACATCACCGTCCCAGTCGAGCACCTCGGATGCCTGGGACCTGAGACTAGTGTGCGTCGTGTTCGGTGCGACCAGAACGACGCGGTACTTCCGTAATCTTAACACCGAGACGGCGTACACAAAGTCGCGATCGCCTGTAATCAGTACAAGGGTGGCCGGGGCAGGTGTATCGATCGCATAGGTCAACATGTCGACTACGGTGAACGTCCTCGTTACTCATTATACGCTCAGACTACGCTGTAACATACCAATCATCATCTTGTCTGCCACTTCCTTTCGACCATTATGGGGACAGTCTGTTAATGATACCCCACAAGACTGGAGCTCAGAGCGCAGGTTGAGAGACTTCGACGACGATTGTTCGGACAATTCTAGGTAAGCTTTGAACTGTTTAACACTTCCAAACTTGTGAGCGATCTCGCGTATGTTGTTCGTTATATCATATCCCGGGACTGTTGTAGGCGGAGTGCAGTTCTCTAATAGAGAGGAGGAGCTCAGATTCTGTAGAAGAAAAATGTACACGAAGCACTGACCGTAATCCCAGAAAACGGCAACATGCTCATGATCGTCAACGATAGTAGACATTGAAATGTAGAAGGACAGTAACTGTACCACCCGGATAGCAACCGATGGCATTTAAGTGAGAGGCAAACACGATTAGGCGCGATAAATGCGTGGTGCAGTCGTTCCATGAACTTCCGACTGGTCACTTGCCTTTTGTGTCCGCCAGCCCACGCAAGTCGCAGTCACCCGAATCGGATGTGCAAACAACAGCCGTGTTCAGGATAAATATTGTATTCGGTACTCAGTCAGGAATGCGTTGTCAATGTGCCAGAGGAGGAGCATCAAGGCTGGAGATGTGGCTGAAGCAAGCAGGCAATGATGGCGCCTGCAAGGTGCAAGTATGACTACAACAACATGAATATGACCGCAGAGTCTACCAAGTCTCACAGGATGTCCAGATGTCACGGGTGACGGCACATGGCTCTGTAGTCCAGAATCATACACAAGGAGCAAAACAGTAGGGGTCAGCCACAGATTTCCGTTCCTCGCGAGCATGCAGCATGTATCATGGGTGGTCTGTCATAGTGTCGTGCAGATGGCATGTTGTTGCCTTGCCGCACGCATCCTGCGCACAAAATTCAATCAGCTCCGCTAACTCCTGAAGAAAATGAGCGCTCAACAGATATTTAGGATACTCTGATCGAATGGCAGGAAAGACTGCCCAGTAGGTAATGGCAGCATTTATCCGGAATGAAGGAAATTGAAAAAATTGTACTTCAACGAAGAGGTGTCCGGCACGACCGCTGAGTTGAGTCAGTCGCGGAGCACGAAAGCGTGTCGCGACGCGCCCGTAACGTGCCACGTTTATAGCTGAGCACTATACGCACCCACTACGTGCAGCGGCCTGCACGATGCGACTTCTGTGGGCTTTACTACCACTTATACCTGGCGTATTGTCTCGACCAACAAACGACTCGGAGTCGTTAATATGGGGTGCCTATCGACCGAACTTGTATTTTGGTCTCAGACCTAGGATACCACAGTCACTTATGACTGGCCTAATGTGGTTTGGTACTCATGATTACCAGTCCATCGCGCGTAGGTTTCTTCGTCTGTTGATCTGTATGCATGCGGAACTAATGCACTGTACCAGGTACGCGCCATGCATGCGAGCAGGAGGACCATCTCAATTCTTACACATGGACGGAATACGATGCACGCCAAGGAGGATCACAAATCGTGAAGGATGGGATGAACAATGTTATCCTCACCACGGAATTTCTCAAAATTCCAGGCGGTCAGCATGGTGGAAGCTGGGCTGCTCGCATTAGAGGGGAGCCCATGAACCAAGGTTTGCTCAACAATGTTCTTGATTGAAAATTAACACTGATTCTTGCAGTGAAGCTCTACCTTCCCGTATATCCACGATTTTCTATATGGGGCTGGAAGGTCTAGGAGGATTGGACATGGAGTCTGAAGAAGCCGAGAACGTATGACCCATTTCGGCCGTGTCACAGAACACTGAGACTGATATGCTTGCTGCACAGGGTCTGGAAGGACCAGTAACGTTCTCTGGATCGTCTCCGGAATTGGATGAGTTTACCATTCGCATTGTTGATGGTACGCCCACGCTGTGAATACCTACGAATGACGTCACATTCCATCGACTTGATCAGGCCCGGACAACGAAGCAGTAACCGTTGGCCCGCATTCAAGCGTATTCGCTGATAGAATAGGCAAGTCTCACTTTGCTGGTCTCCGTGCTTCCCCAGGTAGAATATGGCAAGCGAAAGGTGTGCCGTAGTCGCGCGAACGAGCAGTTCCACTAGCTCACTGTCGCTCCACCAGAATTGCTTGTGCAGAGCTTACTCAAACACGCACAGGATGCGGCTCTGCCATACAAAGACCAATCCAACGGCATGCCTGACCCATCATTCGTCTTACAGCTGCCAGACGAAGTGTATTCTTCGAGCAATTTATTCGCCCTTCAGAAGTCCTTCGACGGCCCATTCCAGTTCGATGTCTTCTTTGAGAGTGCCAGTGCCAAGCAGAAGCTTAGTAGTATGTCATAATCTGTTCGAGGTCTGCTCCGTGCTTGACTTGTATCCCAGCCGCCACTCTAGACGAGGGCTTGCCTGCTCTGAAAGCTTCCTATGAGCAACGCTTCGATAAAGTTTTTCCTGTTCCCGTCTCATACCCTACTACCAACTTTGATTCCCTGAGAGCGTTCTCGAAAGCGATCACGTCAAACCTCGTTGGAGGTGTCGGCTACTTCTACGGTCCATCAATTGTTGATAGGTCATTTGCGTTTGAATGGGACCAAGAGGACGGTGACTTCGAAGACTCTGATGACAATGAAGAGAAGGGTGCTAGGTTAACGGAACCCCAAGAGCTCCTTACCGCTACACCGAGCAGAAGTTTCTTTCCCAGAGGATTCTACTGGTGCGTCGATTAACTTTAGCCTCATGAGTTAGTTCATTTGTGTCTCTTAGGGATGAGGGATTCCATCTGTTGCACATTGGCGAATGGGACAATGATCTCAGGTCAGCCATCCCGCTGTTTATTTACGTACATTGCTCTAATATAGCTGGACAGTCTGGAAATCCTAAAAGATTGGATTAACCTCATTGATGAGGACGGTTGGGTCGCACGCGAGCAAATTCTGGGTGAAGAGGCCAGAAACAGGGTACGTAGTAGTGTTTGAGAACGTCATTCGCCAGATGGCGTCTGAACGTCACCTGTGCCGTGCAGGTTCCTCCCGAGTTCCAGACTCAAGTGCCATCCTTTGCAAACCCTCCGACACTCACTATGGCAGTCACAGCCTTCATTTCCCGCCTCAAAGCCTCATCTCCAGAAATCACAGACAGGGACCTGGGAATGGACCTCGGCATGGGAGCGCAAGTGCCCATATCAGAAACACATCTCGCGCCAGGCAGCCGTTACCTCCAGTCTCCTGAGCTTGCACTAGAGTATCTGCGCTCCATCTACAAGCCACTGAAGCGCCATTATGACTGGTTCCGACGCACGCAACGCGGGCAGATCAAGCAGTACTCGCGCCGTGCCCGCTCGCGCACGGAGGCGTACCGCTGGCGTGGGCGATCGCAGCAGCATGTGCTCACCAGCGGCATGGATGATTACCCGCGCGGTCCGCCGCATGTGGGCGAGCTCCATCTGGATTTGATCTCGTGGATGGGGTTTTTCACGCGCACGATGAAGGAGATCGCAGAGTACGTTGGCGAGGCCGACGATGCTCTGGCTTTCGAAGAGATTGAGAGAGCTATCATCGACAATATTGATGGTAGGTGCATGCGGGGGTGATAGCCTGTCATTGATTAACTTTTACTCACTAATGCACAACAGACCTGCACTGGAGTGAGGAGAACCAGATGTACTGTGACGCCGACGTCGACGACGAAGGTATGCGCCCAGCTATTACCCCCGCATCGAATTGCGCTGCTGACGACCTCGGAAATTCCTACAGATGAGTCCTATCACGTCTGCCACAAAGGTTACCTCTCGATATTCCCTTTCATGCTCGGCCTCCTGCCTGCCGACTCCCCACACCTGGGCGCGATTCTTGATATGGTCCGCGACCCGAAGCAACTCTGGTCGCCATACGGGCTGCGCAGCCTCTCGGTCTCGCACCCGGAATTCGGGCAGGGCGAGAACTATTGGAAGGGCCCGATCTGGATACAGATGAATTACCTGGCGCTGCGTGCGCTATACAAGGTGCGAAAAAACCTTCGCACCGTACTACCGAGTAGTTCTGTGCTGAGGTTGTTGCAGACGTATGGCGCCCAGGAGGGACCGTACCAGCAGCGTTCAAAGGAGATCTACACGGAGCTGAGGAGGAGTGTCATTGACAACGTGTTCAAGGTTCGTGAGCGTGCGCGCAGGCGTATTCTGCTACTTCTTACCTCACCATTAACAGGAATACGAGAGGACGGGCTATGTCTGGGAACAATACGATGCTGTCACAGGAGAAGGCAGACGAAGGTTCGTCATTCGCTGGGCTGTGGCGGTTCTGGCTGACGTTTTCCTGGTAGTCATCCGTTCACTGGTTGGACCTCGCTGATTACCCTCAGTGAGTTGACTGTTGTACCATCGGGTGAATACGCGCTGACGAATGATCCAGTTCTATCGGAGAAGTACTGAAGACGAATGTGGCTGTCACACTCGTACCTCGACTGAATAAAAATGATCGGTGATCACCAGTTCACCTTATGTATTGTACCACGCCAGCCAATCTATGTCCATGATGATTGGGTTATTGATGGAAGTAAACAACGGCACGGCCGGTATGAATTATGCATGACTCGAAAGCAAATGAGGTGACGGGGACGACATAAACGATCCGTTAAGCCAAGAAAGACGTGAATGCAGGTGGTGATGCATGAAATTGGTGCGAATATATAGTCGTGAACAATGTGATGCAAGGTGTCGCAAAGCACATATGGTAGCATGGTAGGATTCTCGGTCAACTCTGTTCCTCTGGTCATCACGAGCAGAACTCGTCCGGGTCAAAGTGCAACGAGTCGAAATGAAGCGAGTCAAGCCTCATCTCGGTATCTGTGTCTATGTGGAACGTGGATGGCGAGGCGCGCCCGGAGATAGATGAACTGGAAGCGAAGGATGAAGGAGTCGACGACGAGGGACTTAGGTCCGACGACTGCAGCGAATATGGGCGGGAATCTGAATTGGAGAAAATATCGACGAAGAGCTCTGGTGGCCTGGAAGGAGATGTGGACGGAGGGGCGTGCTCGTCTGCTACACTTGAAGCGCTATTCGAGGTGAAGAGTCGTTGTAGGTCCAGGACCGACAAACGATGACGGAACGATTTTCGCTTGGAAAGGGTCGGCGTCGGAGACGTCCTTCCGCTAGGCTTCGAAGTGTCGATGCAGTCCTCCAGAGAAGGTGACGGATGTAAACGTTGGGCATGAGAAGACGAAGACGTGGACAGCGATGGAGGTGTGCTGTTCAGACTGTGCATGCTATTCACACTGTTCCGGTGCATTGACGCGCTCGAGGTGGGAGACATAGGTGGTTCTGCGTAGTCAGCAGATGGAGCAGTCGACTTGTTGTTCTGCGAGAACGTGAAGAACTGCGCGAAGACGGCAGACTTGCGTCTCGAGAGATTCGGCGTGCTAGGGTGGGGTAGTGTTCCCCGATCCTGGATATCTTCTGAACGCGACTGACGAATATTCTCTTGCGCCGTCCAGGTGTCCGTCACTGGTCTGCGAGTACCCTTCCCCGCATTCAAGTTCTTGATTGACCTGAAAGCCTCCGTCGCACGAGCCCTGAAGGTCATAGACTTCTTCATTTGGCCCTTCACCTCTCCTACGTCCGCCATACCCTCATTCCGCCGCACTTTGACCACCTCCACAATCTCCTCGTCCAGCACCCTGATCCGCACACCATCCTCCCTCTCACTGCCCGTGAGAGATTCGGGTCGGCGCAAAGCCCCGCCTTTCTTCGGCATGACGACAGTCTCCTGTGAATCATTGCCCAGTGCACGGTGGAAGGCGGGTGCGGGGTTGTGCGTCTGCTGGTGGAAATCCAGCGCGAACCTGAGGGTGTCAATATCCGGGGTTGTCGAGAAGCAGTCCTTGGCCGCCTCCGCCGCATCGAAGTAGCACCACGGCGGGTTCTCGTGCTGTTCTTCTTCCGGGGGGGTTACAAACACGTCAGGGACCAAGATATGCCGCATGGAGGGGTCCTGCGAGGGTGGAGGTGCATAAATAGTGGGGAAAGAAAGCGAGCTGGACGCTAAAGAGAGTGAGGACGCCATTTGGCTGGTCGTAACGAGAAAAAGACAGAGAGAGGTGGATAGCAGGACAAGTGCAGGCTACGAGTCTCGCAGCGGCTTCGCGCTCTAGCTCGGAGTTTCTCCGACGCGTTCAACTTCGAACATCGTCAGCCGTGATCGAGCTTCTCTTAGTCATCATGATGGTGGTTGACCATTACCCCCTAAGGAAGGTCCTGTAGTTCGTTCCGATTGATCCGCACGGAAGAAAGCTCGAAATCATTCATTGCATCTACAGGAATAATCCAGTGATAACATTTGGTACCTTCAAGGCTCTCCCTTCACGGTACTGACGTTCACTGTCGACGTGAGCTTGGCGTCGATTTCCACATCTCCAGAGCGGAGCACGTCATCTTTGTATACCCATCGAGATTTGCTGCGAACCCAACGGCCATATTTCTGGGACACATCCGCCAATACATCAATATCTTACATGGTTGCAATGGCGATGAAAATACCCACAATAAATAGATAAGGAAGCGGCATGCATGCTACAGCCAGAAAACCAAAGATGCTGCATGCCCATCCATCTCCGAGGCGCCTATACATCAGAGGAGCAACTAGGGGGAAGAGGGCGGCACCAATCGAGCGAAGCACGACTGTGGACGCAATAGCACTCGCGCAGTACATCTGGTAGGCATCCATCAGGTACTGTGTGATACCCTGCATAATTAGCGCAACGCCCGTGCCGAACGGTACACCCGCAAGGACGGGAACAATCCAAGGCACTGGATCGCGACTAGTCCCGCAGCGCAAATTTCAGCTTTCACATTGCCTAGGCAGTATATCGCGCGACCGCCCACCATGCGAACCAGAACAGACCAACTGGCAAACACACAGCACCGATTATCGCCATGTATAGGCGCCTGTTCCTTCCAGTGAATCCATCTTCAGCAGTGCTTCAAACGCAAGACTTACGCTTCCGGAGGAGCCCTCCCATTCGGACTGCGATCCATCTCTCGCCAATACAATCTATTCTGCACGGGCGCCAGACATAAACCAAAGCTGACGCCAAGGCCGACTCCAAGGAAAGCGAGGCCTCCTTGTCCTGGAGAGAAGTGTCTCTGGTCCTGGAATACTATTGGGTATGCGGCGAAGAATGCGTACAGCGTTGAATAGGCTACGGCTATATAAATCGCAAGAAGTACGACGATGGGCTCTGTTGCGAGGAAATCTGAGAGGATCTCACCATGACATCGACAGGTATGGAGATGATAACATACAGAACGGTCTCCCCATGTTGACCTTCAATATATCGCCGAGGGATTTTGAACGACCGACATCGTATACGGAGGAGTATACGACCAGGCCCTCCGACTCCCTTCGTAACTTTCGTGCACGCCAGCGTAGCAGAACCGGGCCATACTAAAACGCGTGAGAAATCGAGCTGGGCCATGGGATCAAATGATTAGAAACGTACAGTCTCCGGAGTTACGAGAAACCCGAAAATGAGAGACATCACGGACAGCATGAACATGATCCAGAAATTAAAACGCCAGCCAAGATATGTCTGTGACACCCAGCCGCTAACAATGGGCCCCACGACTGTCGCAAGATAAGAGAAGCATGAACGTCGTCGGATGTCAACTCACCTGGCCCCATGAAAGGTGCAGTGGCATACAAGGAGGAAGCAAATCCTCGTTCGCGAGCAGTCCAGATGTCACCGATAGCACCGCCAGCATTTGTGAGTGCTAAGAACCAGAATGAGTGATTTCATGCTTAAAATAATTTTTATTAACGAACGTGAAGAACCAAAGGTTCCGGCGAGAGTCCGGGTGACGAGCAGCGTTGGTGTATTGTGACCGAGGCTGCCACCCAGGTGAAGAAGGGCGAAGACACCGAAGGTGCCCAGGAAGACTATACGCTGTGTAGAGTCAGATTTTCTATACTATCACGCAACAGCGCAATTACGCTTACTCTACCGTACGTCTGCAATATGAAAACCGTAAGCTTTATTTACTTCCTCTCGATTAGCTTTACTTGCCTCTCCCAATGGTGCAAATATCAAAGGTCTACAACAACTCGATTACGTCGATTTGAACGAGGGGTCGTCACACATACCCCATGCCAAATCCTAAAACATATAAGGAGACGCCCAGGATTGCGACCTCCTGGGACATGTGTAGATCTTTCATCGTCAAGGCTAGACCTCCGGTGTAAGAGCTGCTGCAGAAGGACACAGTCCACGTAGACATAGCCAGCTATTCCACGGATTTGAAAAAATCAATGTTTAACGCACTATGCACCGAACTCACTTGAAAGGTTATTAACCACTTGCGGTTATTTCGCCAATTGTACGGGTTTTCGGGATCACCAGCTTCCCACTCGACGAGATACGGGTCTTCGTGGGTACCACTGCCAGCATACTTCACGTCCTTTCTGCCATCGAGAGCTGTTCGGACTTCGTCGTCCGAACATGCTGGGACAATGTCAGGTTCAGGACCTCCGTGACATTTTGTTTCTCGAGACATTTCCAGTCAGTCGACCCCAGTGCCCAATGCCCGTACGACAGGAAAAGACAAGAGCTGCGAAACCATATCCCCGATAGTTCGAACTCATAGGCGTGATTCGGCACGGACGTGTAATAATATTCGTGCTCCCCGCGTCGGAATTTTTGGACTTGATGGAGAGTCCGATGAGCACAGATGCCGCGGCACCGTAACGCGGCACGCTCACGGGGTACGCGTCTCGCCACAACTAGACTGAGCGCATCTTTCGACAGACCTAGTGGCTCTCTGCCAAATTCCTTTACATGTGTAGCATATGAGACAGAAGGGCGAGCAAGTCAGAGCGTGAACAACTGCTAGGATGATAGATTACATGAAGTGTTGTACACCCTTTGTCACACATCACGCACCATTGTGTCACAGTCACAGGCGGAGGGGGCGTCCGAGTAGTAGCGCTGGCCTGGAAAAGACAACCGCCACTTGGCAGCCAAAATTCGTCACACTGGAGTCCGATTTCAAGTACTAGTGCTAGTTCTGACATACTACTGGCATCGCAGTCACCTCGAGCTTTATTTTGACCAATTACAAGGGTCTCGAATTTCGGAATACGCCCGCAACATTGTCTCTTTACCACCGTGGCTTTAGCCTGCGCTGCAAGTCTTTGTACCTATTGTACCATACTTGCAAATGTCCACTGAATTCGCCGATTCCGCTCTTGCCCAGATTAGAGACACCATTGCGCGTCTGCAGTCTCCAATACCGGATTATCGAACTGTTCTCCAGCTGCTCAGTGCCCCTCTTGCTTGCCTCGGGCTGCTTCCTCCGCGTTTTGTTCAATACAATGTTTCTCCACTTCCAAAGGAGAGTTTCAGCATCCCTCGGCATATCCCCCTCCTACAGAGGGCCCTCCTTGAGCATGTAATTCCAACTTGGGAGCCGGAATTGGTGAGAGAAGACGCGTCTGGCATTGTGGAACAATACTTCTGTCCCGATGCGTTCTCTTTCGCATCGCCTGCGGCAGGTCAAGTCGCTGTCCTCGCGTATTCGACTATACTGTCGTCACCGATAACGGAGTATTCCGTTCGTACTCTCGTCCGACTATGCAAATCCTACCCAATAGATGTTCTGCATTCTGTCGTCTTCTCTGATCGAACCAGTCATGTATCGGGGAAACAAACGATCACCTGGGAAGATTGCGTGCGCAATGCAGCCGCCATACCTGGCAAGGTGGCAAACGCTATGGGAGGAACTGGAAACATCCCGCCCGAGCTAGAGCATGGCACATACTTCAACGATCTGAGCGTGCGATTTGAGCGTCTCGTATACTCACTCTCCACCAACTCCTCCAGAGGTCAGTTCCCTGTATGAAATTTATACCGCATCTCATTCAACGATGCAGACAGGATATCTTCCGTCACATATTTGTTGACCAAGCTCGTGAACATCGGTGTATTCAGTCTGTTCAAGCCGTCCTCTCCATCCCAGCCGTCATTCTTCAGCGCTACTCTACCAGCGATTCGCGCTTGTTTTGCGGGGCCCGACCATGCCTCCTACTCCTCCTCGTGGTCGAAGGTCCTTTTATCTTTGTCATCAACCGTGGTGCTCCAGTCTGTTATCGCTTCGCTATGCTCTTCTTTGGCCGACATTCCTCGCGCATTGGATCCAGACGCTCGCTCGAGGGCTCTGGTCAAGCGCGAGGCGCAGTTGCTGAGAAATGTACTAGGTAACCTGCGCAAAGATCAAGGTGAGATTGTTGATAGCGTCAGCGCAGTAGTTCTTGGGCGCGAGTGGAGCGAGGGACATGCACGGATATTTGCCTGCTGGGCCGCTGGGGCCGAGAAGGACAAGATAGATGCTGAAGGTGAGATATCCGTTTAGTTATAGATATACTTCCGATTCTTATTTGCTACTCTGTAGCGCTGGGCATCTTGCTATCTAGGGTGGTAGACATGTGGAGTACTCCGGACCACATCAAACACTCTCTGCTCTCTCGGCACCACTGTATGTCTCACCCACATCTTCTATTACCCCTCACTATTGAAATGACAAATAGATGTCACCGCTCTGCTCCTTCTCTGCGTCTCATCATTTCGCTCCTCCGAGGTCAATATGCTTTCTCACGTAAACGCGCTGGCGCTTTCCCCGCCTTTCATTACCGCAATATCAACGTATATTTCTCACCTTGATCCTAGCGTTCGTCGGTGTGGGATGCTGGTCGCTGAGGAGGTCGCTCGCGGTGCTGGTAAAAAGCTTGATTTTGGTGATTGGGAGGGAGAAGATCAAGGGAAAGCGTGGTGCCGGCAGCTGCGCCAATTGGTCAAAGGCAGAGATGCCGATGCCGACGTGGACATGACAGCGGATATCTCGAACACAGAGGGAGCACGTTTAGAAATCCCTCTCGAGGCAGCGGTAGAAGCCCTGTCTATGGAAGATACGTCGGAACCAGGCCAGCCTCGCAAGCCCACAGTGCGGGACGTAGGTTACGATTCGGACGATTCGTTGACAGGTTATGCGTCTCCTTCTTCATCCCGCTCACCGTCACCTACACCTTCAGAGCTGGAGGAGATCGAGAAGGATCCGACGCTCAGAGTGGGGAAGAGGAAAATACTGCGACCGGTGTATCTGGCACAGCTTGGTAATATGGTCCGAAGCTCTGGCGGGCTGAAGTCTGAACAGGAAGAAGCGGAAGCCGAGAAGATTGAGATTGCGCTCAATGTGGCCGAAGAACTCATCAGGCGGAAGAGAGGGTACGGCACGGAGCTGGGTGAGTCGTCCATTGACCGTCCTACGTCACCAGCACTGATTACTGGTCAGAGGAGAACGCGGTGAATCTTGCGTATGGATTCGTGGGCCTTCAAGACAGCTATGAGATCGAGGGTTTCGAAGAGAAGCGCCAGGCGGCCCTGAATGTGCTTGTCGCTTGTTGCCCCCGAAAGACTGCGCCGTGAGCCTATACCTTCCTCGCTGTTTATGCAGCGTCATTGAGCCAGACTTATTCAGAGCGATCATCGAGGAGTTCTTTAGAAACCAGTATTCCACCAACCAGCGGTATGTCATACTCAACGCACTTGTTCTCGGTGCTCGCGAACTGGCCTCCCTGCCTATGCTGCCATCCTCTGTTCCTGCGAATCGTGTGTCCTTCCCGAGCAAGCGCTTGCCACCTGCGCTTCATGAAAAGTACATCACAGCCAGCGATCGAAACAGTTCCAACAATCCAGCTCAACTTCTCCTTGAAGGCATCAGTCGAGAGGCGATTAAGAAGGGGAAGGATGCAACAGCTGACAAGGTCCCCGAAATCGTGCGCGAGCGGCAGCTGCGCATTCGCAAGCCCGCCAAAGTCACAGAGGTCCCATCGAGCAGCTCCGAGCTAGTTCGAATTCCAACAACACAGATTCCGCCGAAGTCGACGACGTTCACCGAAGTCGCCGCGGAGTGCTTCATCTGCCCGCTCATCAATCGCTTCTGGCTTTTCCTGCGGGACGAACAGGCGCGCGAGGCCCGGACTGCACGTCAGCCAGCGCTGCACCGTTATCGCGGTGCAGGGACTGGCCTCATCCTGAATCCAGTGGTGCTTACACGTTTCTTGAGTGCCCTGGCAGTTCTGGTGCACACCGCGCGCAACGCGCCGGAGTGGCTCGCGGTAGTCGCACCAGACGCGCTGGAGCTCGCAGTGACGCTCGGCACGCGCCCTATATCTGCCGCGGAAGGAGAGGACGAAGACGAAGATGCAGACGGTGTGCGCATGCGCGCTGGTGAAGGCGAAAAGACTGGAAAGAAGGGCAAGGAAGCTGCGGTGCTCACGACAGCACTGGAGCTTGCGCTCGTCGTGCTGGATGGCTGCCTAGAGGTGGACGGTGGACGATCCCTCGGACTGGAGCACACCGCATTGCTATTGGGAACGGGAGAGTGGGCTGGACAGGTCTTCTCTCGCTTGGAGAAGGGCATCAGGATGCTGGGTGGGGGCGGCGAGCAGGAAGCACGGCTGCAGAGTGCTGCGGCCGGTGTGATCTTGAAGGTAGATGAATTGTCGTCGAGATGGAGACGGTCCATGATTGAGGTGTGAGTGAAGCCCTTCTTTTTGTCGAGCTACGTGACTGCTGTGGAGCCACCTCCGCCGCGTAAATCTACTTCGCGGTACTCGTATTCTCCGCTGCTGGGTACGGCGTCGCCATGTACGTACAGTGATCCGCAAGTGGTGCTCGGAGTCTCTAGTATCTTCGTGCTATTCAAGTGTTCTACATATACCAGATGCCAGTGAGGCGGAAGAAGCACTGGGGTCGCAAGGGCAAACTGACACTAGAATTGCTTCAAATTTCGCTCAACCTGACCGGCGAAGTGCCACTGATATGACGCGTGCGGTCACGCCGAACGCGACACCACGCGCAGAGTGACTTGCATGCCAGAGGCCTCAAGCCTATCCCTCCTCCACTCGGCCCACTTCCTCCAGTAACAACTAAATTTGACCTTGATCTGATAGAGGTGCTATTCCTCACTGGCAGGATGACAGACGAAACGGCTGTAGTAGCTGCAACAGCACAAGCACATGCTGCAGACGTGGAGTTCCTGGTGCGACGGGGCATGACGAAGGGATACCAATACCTCTCGCTCTTGACGCCCCCTGTGTATGCTGCTTTCACAATATCGCGTTACGGGAGGGCCCATGTGTCTGTCAACCGTCTATTGCGCGCGACCTGGATTGGCGGCTCTGTCGGTGAGTTTTGCGAAGTCAGTGAGGGTACCAGACTCTGATCGGAGTAGGCATCGTCGGAGGGGGTGCGTTCGAGTATGTCAGGTCGGCGTATTCCACCCAGGAAATCGTCAGGGCTAGACGGCTCCGTGCAGCATACAACGTATGTTCACTATCGCAAACAACTTCCGTCGTATGATGTGATGACCGCGCTTCCGCAGACCTCATCCATACGAGAGGACGACCATTCCACCATAGGCAGCATACTATTTGCTGTGTTGACTCCTGCTGTTCTGTGGAATCGCGCGCACCCGGTCAACCGTAAGTCATGTCTGTTACACTCCGGACGAAAGGATAACTAAGCACGGCTCTGGGTCCAGTCGTTCTCGGTGGAGCAGGCATTGGTTCCGCTGTCGGATTCCTCACCCATCATGTCAGAACGGTCTCTGGAGATCCACCACCTAAAGTTCCGATTCCCGACATACCTATTCCTGTATAAACGTGGGTTGCGGATGACGAACTATGGGTTGAAATTTGAGCGTAGCCACGCCCCGTCCGAGATCTGAGTATCATTCCAATGTAGCATACAACTGTTTTATTTTGCCGTTCGCAGTCCTGTCAACTTCCTCGCTCTAATCGCATATCCACTTGCAGAGTATCTTTCGCCTGGTCATCCCAGTTGGGGTCGCCGACGAAGTACTGTACGAATAGGTAGGTAATCGCACAGCTCCTTCTGCTTATATGCGCAAGCTCTCCTCTCGAGTCAATTCCACGGCCAGATATTCGTAACCTGGAGATCGGGTGATTTGGCGCGTCGTTTACTCCGTGTTCTCTGCATCATAGACCCACCCTTCAAGGGACTGTGGCGAAGAGACGTCTGTGACACTTAAACTGCAACGGAATGAGCTGTGTACCACACTTCTGTAGGAAAGACACTCACTGTCCGTGTCTTCATGACTTGACCGCTGTCCCAATTTCCATGCCGCGCCGCGTATCGGGTATAGGCCGCAAGGGCACAGGACGGGTGCAGTATGGCATGGTAATCACAGGAGGATGACGAAATTATTTCTCTTTCCTTGACGAAGCACCGTTTTCTTTTGATAGGCTTCGCAGTCCGGTCGGCGTTCTGCGGCGTTGCTGGAGGACTTGCGAAGAAGCCAGTATGCCATCTTGCCGCCTTCCTTCCATCTTGTGTAGACTATGGCCAGGCCAATCGCGTTCACAAGCCCGTGGAAGTGCTCCGGGGTAAGGTAGCGGGAGTTCAGGAGGCATGGGAGCGGTAGCTGGCGAGATCGAGGTGGTAAGGCATTGAGATGGAGAGAGAGAATACCAGGAGTCTTACAACTAGAAACAAAAATCCATCCGGACGGAGCATCGAATGCGCAAGCCGCAGCATTTGGCCTGCCAGAGTCTTCAGTGCGCTGGGATGGCGAGGGTCACAGTAACCCACCTCGGTCCTTGGCATCCGGCACGAAATTGAGCACGAGACTCAAACTGATCACGTCCCACCTCGCGTGGTGGGCTTTCTCGTCCATGAGCAGGAAATCCTGTTCCGCGATGGCAGGGTGCTGCGAGCGGAGGTCAATGGGGTTACCTTGGATCCACGAAGCACAAGACGCGTAGTTGTCAGGTCTGAGTGCACCCACTTCTAAGAGCCTGTAACGGACCATTCCGCACGCGTACAATGTTGATTAGACCTAGATAAGAAACGATACTGTCGTGCAGAGTGGAAAGGCATACCTCAACACCCTCTTCTCTTTCTGGGCACTGGAAGCAACGCCTAGCTCCTGCAGCCACTCAATCAAAACCTTCTCGCTCCCTCCTCCTCTGTCTTTGCCCTGCCCGATGCTGGACATCCTCTGGTACGCGCCCAATCCACCCATGTCCTCGATCTCGCGTTCCACATCAGCGAGAGCGCGTTTCGCGTCCCCGGTGTCACCGATGGGGCCCTGCAACTGAGCTCTGCGCTTGAGAAGGACGTGGAACCGCCGGATGAGGGACCGCGTCGCGGCGGGGTTGCTGGACGAGCCCGAGGGAGCAGGATGCGCAGGAGACGCTGCTTGCGTTACAGGGACCTTGCGTCTGCGTTTCTGAGTTTTCGGCATAGCAGCTTATGATGAAAGACAGGGATGCGTATCGTACCAGCGTACTGGCCTGTGACAGGCGAACTGAGTGACCACCACTGGCAGGCCCAACTGGTCGGCCAAAGGCGGGCCGCCAATTTGAAAATACTTGCCCTTTAGCGCCCATAATGATACACGGTCTGAGCAAGTGTTGGTGCAGATGCCTCGCAAACCAGCGAGTACTATAACTTTAAGCAGAGAGCACATGGTTACGTTATAATCATCCTGCACATTCTTATGTCATAAATAATTATCCTGAGTTATGCCGACAGTAGTTCAAGATGACACCCAAATCTCTGCGACAACATCCCATTCCTTCAACGTCCGTGGCTCCATGTTAAACCTCCTTGGACCGCCGTCAGCACTGGCATCAACACCGATGACATCCTCGTCTATCATCCTGTCTTCCACTAGTAAGATGCGCAGGCCGCCCACCTTCAAGAACCCGCTCTTCAGCGGTAAATACGTCAGCTCAAAATCTTGCGATGCGACGACCTTGGTCGACGCGCTTCCGCCTGTATGGTTCGTCTCGCTATCCGCCTCACTGTCCGTCGACATGTTGCTCGAATATCGGCCATGTGCAAGCGCGTGTTCAATATGAGCATGAGCATGAGCGTCCAAAGGGGCGACAAGCTTCAGTTGAGGGAGGAATAAAGCAGAGTTGCCAAGATGGACTACGTCCTGCAACTGCGACTTTGGGCCTTCGCCTAGCATGACGTTCGCAATAGGCGGAGGTAATACTACAGCGCTAGGATCCGCACGAGGACCAGGCGTGTCTCCACCACCAGCCGTGTCCGGGCTGGTGTGGTCATCCCCATCGACATTGGTTCGCCGTGGAGAGGCGACGAGCAGCCGCTGGGCCAAAGTATCCTGAAAGTCGCCTCTGTACGGGGTCCCTGATGGTGATGGCGTTGAGATCCCAGAGGAAGGTAAGCGTGGGCTCCAGGCTTCCCGGGCCGCCGCCGCTGGACCAGCCACGCTGGAGCTGGCTATAGGTGGGCGTGGGGGCTGCGCGTGCTGGACGATAAGCGACAACACGCGCTGTCTGCGAGTTTCGCCTGGGCGGGCAAGAGGGATAGGCGCAGAAGCAGTTACCGTAAAGGCCGCATGGAAAGGCTTCTCGACGGCGAGTGCTTCTCGGGGGATATTGCGGACGACCAGGTCCACCTCCACGTCTTCCGGATGTCGAAAGTTTGGGCTGGGTGAAACTGGAGTATTTGGGGACTGCGAACCAGCAGAAGCCGGAATCGTGCGGTTGCGGAAGGGTGAACCTGGACGGTAGGGCATGACGCCTGCCGGATTGACTGGTGGACTGGTGGGCCGATTCAGCTGCGGAGATCTTGGTCGTGGCGGCGCACCGCCAGCCAAGCTGGCGCCTCGCTGCATATGTAAGGGGATAGCTGATGGTGCTTGTTTCGGTGGTGGAACTGGTGCGGGGGCTTGCGTGACTGTCGGTGCTTGAGGTGGCGCCTGGATCAGAGGTATCCGGCGAGACAGCATCTGGTTGAACGTACATCAGCAGATGACATTCTTCTAGCTACATGTTACGCACTGAGGTGAGCAGACGCCCCGGTTCGCCAAATGACGACCGCCAGGATATATCTAGTCGTCCTAATGGCACGATGCTGCCTGGCGGATGTGTCACGGGGAAGGGTGACAGCATTGTTGGCGAAAGTGCATAAATGTATTGGCGGATATCTTGCGGATGCATGAGAGCCATCGAGCCCGAGAAGATGCCTTCGTTGTCTCCTGCGTCAATATCAGCGACGTTGGTGTCTTCGACTTGCCAACCATCGGTGCATTCAAATCGCATGTGCTCTAGCCACATAACCTCTTGAGTGAGGTTCTGGATATGCACCTCTAGGAAAACTTTCTCGCGCTCGGCACGAGACAAAAGAGCAGAAGGTGCACGAGGCGTGTGCACCTTGGTCTTAACAGACAATGGGTTTGTCACCTAGCGAATCAAGGCGTTGAGAATCAACCTTCCTGCAGTACGAATCTACTTACGGCAAACTTGTAAAACTTACGGAAACTCAGAACGTTGCGATCGCTCGCATCACCAGCAGGTCCTGGGGGCGCCGCGCGGGCGCCTGCAGGAGCTCGATACGAAACCGTGCAACCGAGAACGTGTTGACCCAGTTCCTTGATTTCATGACTTACGACCCTTTCCAGAGAATCTCCAACAGCTAATGTGTCATCGGGTCCGCCGAACTCCGCCAAGGTAGTCTTCGTGGTCGCTGTCTGCATCTCCACCTTCAACGCGACTGCTTCAATATCCACACTGGCCTCGTTGTTCACGGAGAGGCAGCTGGAGAAGGTCTCACCGAGTTGGATTGCTCCGAACGAAGACGGGAGAGTCAGCACTTCAGAAATATGTGTGAGGTCGCGTAGGGTCTTCGGGTGCCCTTCCAAGGGCGTCTTGCCTTGCAGCGACATGACCGAGGCGGTGGAATGTGCAGAAAATGAAGGCGAGCTTGAGTAGAACGGTTCCCATGCACTAGCTAAGGTTGGTCGCTAACATGTAGAGTGAGCTTTATCTGTTAATTACTTGAAAAAATCACGCACTGAGACCCGCATAACCTTCAACGTCAGCAACTGAGTTGTTCCGTCCATGTTTCAAATGAGTACAGGTGCGAAGGTATTATTATTGATGTCGGGAAGCCTGGATTCAAGGAACGGCGTTAAGCAAAATGAATTCGATTGTGATCAACCGTCGACTTCCTATATATATCTTGTTCTTCGGAATAACGATCTGTCTTTTGTGAATCTGTCGAACACTTACCCACAGTCCGACCGCGAGGTGGTTGTTTGTCCTTGTTGAATTCCAAAGTCAACACCTTCCTATTTGGGGATGTGATCCACTGGATACTGCTGCCTTCACAAATATTGCTTGTGTGACTATCTCCCTGGACTGAACGCCGAAAATCACAAGGAAATATATCTTCATCTCCAATATGAAGTCGATATATTGTCCTGGACCTGAAGATAGAGACAGGTTCACATACGCTTTGGTCGACGACAGAATCGGCGCAGTGACGCGTTTGTCTCAGGCCGTCGCTGCGTGTGCTGGTTCATGCACACCATATCGAGTTTATCTCTTCCTTACGGTACGGCGCGATGAATACAATGCAGTACTTGAATTGAAGGTCTGTTCCAGTTGAGCCAACAGCCTGGAGGACAATTAGTGTGAGAAAATAGCTATAAGTGGGCATAGTCAGACTGTTATTAGAGATGCGACGCATCACGACAGAGGCGTGTCCCTACGACATGCTCGTCTTTCTTTCTTTATCCACCACCTTCCTTCCTCGAGTTGATACCGCGAGGTCTATCCCTACTTCTCTTACATAAATCACCGCGCACTCGACGATCGTCGCAGCTCCTGTCTACATCATCGCGGAAGCAACTGCGTCCCGAAATACACAAGTCATAAGCCGTCGTTCACTACCCCTGTACTACCTCCTCTTTCCTCACCTCCCCCACCGATCCTCCTCTTTCGTCTTCATCGTCCTGTGTCGATTTCAATATGGAAACTGCTCAAGCCCCGAATCCTGGGGTATTATCACCTTCGCGCAGCTCTGAGGCTTCGTACGATTATCTGAGCGCTCGTACCGATTATTCGTCGGTCAGATTCAGCGATGACGATGAAATAGTATGGTCTGTTTCGGACCTATCGCTTTCCTCGTCCAACGACAGCGTATCTCCCCGTTCTCCCGCGTGCTCAGAGGACGACTTCGTCCTCCTCCGCCCATCCGCGTCGGGCTACCTTACGGCATCTTCGAGCCCTTCCTCAGCATCTGTCCCCAGTGCTGAGAACAGCCCTATCCGTGTTTCCGTTGAAGATTTGTCGAATAGGGTGTCCTCCCTCTATTTAGGCCCATACGATTCACCGACTACCCCCAAGCCCCCACTCTCATCCATTCGAGCGGCACAACCCCCTTCAGTGCCTTCTAGCTCTCCTAAGAAACGCTCGAAGAAGAAACGTACCGTTTCGGTATCTTCTTCCACACAGTCCAGCACCCCCGCTGTGAGCGCAGCGAAGGCTGTGTCGGCGAAGAAGTTGCAGCAAGCGACCAATTCTGCTACGACGAAGCCTGCCAAGGCTGTGTCTAGCAAGACCACTAAGAAGGCAAAGAAGGCTGCAGCTGCTACTAGCCTAGTTGCAGCACCGGTCGCTGTCGAGGTACAGAGCTCTGGTCTTGGCAACAGGGAGGTCGTGGACGATGTCTCGGAGGCGGGCGACTACGGTCCGACTGCCTATCACGATGCCGTGCAGTATATTTCGTCGTATGTCGCTGAACTTCTTTACTTCCATTTTATCAAGTCGTGCTCATTACCTTCTCAGTTCCCTCTCTAATCCGTCGGAGAAATCGACCCTGTCGAACTTGAGACTACTTCAAGCGCTCATAATCGAGTTGGGGCTGTGCCCCTCTGCTCTCCGGCCTTCTGGGTATGATTCGATGTCCTTCCCTTCCCTGCCGTCACTTCCGAATTCGCTCCGCGCAGCCAAGATGCTGCTGAAGTCCAGTGTCTTCCTGAACGTGAGGGATTACCTTGACGTCCGGGGCCAGGGCCTGGACGCGCTCCGCCGTGTAATGCACCCGAGCCGCAAGGCGCTGATGCATGAGGTCCGGAAGAAGGGCAAGAGGATGCCCGTCGGCGACGTCAAGGGCATGGGCTTGAATGTCCTCTTAGTGAGATGCTATTAGAGGCTCGTATCACCGATTCGGATGCCTCAGAATTTGACGCCGCAGTTACTTCGTGCTCGTGTTACAACTATACATCCCATATGTGCTCGACGGACCCGTGACTCTGCATCTTCTGGTCCTTCTTTCACTTCCTTCTGCGCTGTATGTGCTGTCATCCAGCGAGCTTGCAGTGGGCGGCCTCCACGTCGTCTGCCTCTGCGTGTACTATTTGAACTGTATTTCTTGCATCGCCTGCACCCCCTGCACCCCTGTCCCTGTATTGTTCTAACAGTTGTCGTATGCTTGCTGCTTGTCATCTACTCGTCGATTACTTGTACGTCCATATCTCAGGGACTCGTCTTGAGTCGTTGGCCTGCAGTTCCTGTATATAGTATATACTCATCAGAGAAACAATTGTACATGCTCACCAGCTCGTGGATCCACTTCGGGCGGATTTTGTGAAACCTGTGCACCATCACACGAATGTCGAAGGAAATGGATGATGAAACTATCCCCTCGAACTTCAAAATTCTGCACAAATCAATGTATATTCACAGATACATTATGCACCGTGACTTGTAGGACTAGAACAATATGCACTAATTCGATTGCCTGTCGAGTGTGTCCGTAAACGAAGTCCAAGTTGGGTATCATTCTATCTGCACTCTACTAGGAGGCGCGACGTGTGAGGACTAGTTTTGATCATGAGAAAAGACAAGCGGACGAAGGCAGGGAGGGAGGGACGGCGGGAGCGAGGTGCAAGGGGGTAAGTGAAAGCACAACAAAACAAAAAGGTAAGCTATGAGAAAAGAAGGGTATCCTTGCTGTCTCCCGGCTAAATTACGCAGACCAGAAACGACGGCATCGTCTGCCACTTACGACGCCCCGGCGATGTGCATGAGCCCTGCTCACTGCTGGTGCTGCTGGGCGCCGGCGACCATGAGCGCCGCCATGCCGACGACCACCTGGTTGACAGCTTCGAGGGTGTCTGGGCTCGTAGGCGTCTCGACGGCGGGGGCCACGGAGGAGCTGCTCGCGATCCACGCCTCCGAACTGCTGGGAGTCCAAGAGCTGCTAGGGGCGGAGGAGGAGCTGGGAGTGGTGGAGCTGCTGGGGGTCCATACGCTGCTCGACGACGGGGTCGACACGCTGCTGCTCCACGGGGTATAAGAGCTGCTCGGAGGCGTCCACACCGGTGTGGTCGAGGAAGGGGGAGGGGGAGGAGACCAGGTAGTACTTGGTGTCCACACCGGCGTGTCGGAGGTGGTCGGGGAAGGCTCAGGAGTCCAGGCGGGTGTTGTCGGCGTGTAAGCGGGGGGAGAAGACGTGGTGGGGTTAGAACCAGCGCCGTTGACCCACCAGGTGCCGGTGAGCACACCGACACTGGTGTCCGCAAAGTGCTCGAACAAGCCTTGCGACATGTCCAATCCACCGGACGGGCAGCCGGGGCACTGAACAGGGCTAAATTGGCGATTTGGCAGGAAGCGTAGAGGCGAATAGACTCACCTCATCGGTGATGGTAGCCGTGGCCGTTATAGAACCGACTTGAATAGTGATCGACAGGAAACAATTCGGTCCTGGATAGCCACCGCCGTATTGCTATGCGAAAAATCTCAACGCGCTGCACCAACATGATATTCATGTCGCCTTACAGCTGAGTTCAAGGCTACAATCTGGTAACAGAAGAAATCGGTAAAGAGCTGTTAACACAAACAAACTGCTCACATAGTCACTCTCAACGTTGGTGATACCACAAGAACCTCTTCACGACCGAAATCATTACAGAAACTTGAATACGGAGCACGATAGGATACTCACAACCCGACGGCGTAGAAGGTGAAGCGTGAGTTTGCATAAGGACCATTGACAGTTGCCTGACGGCGCGCAAGATCACCACGGGCACGACGCGCCACTTCATCGTGGCGACGACCGAGACTATTCCCATGGGCATTACGGGGATTGGCAGCAACGAAAGGTAGAGTGATTGAGAGTAGAGCTCCGAGTAAGGTAGACAGGCGCATTTCTGTAGACCTTCGATGCTCGGAGGAAAATACACAGGTCCTTCGTACGGTATATTTAGGGCAGCAACGAGCGTAAAAAAGAGAGAACGACGAGGGCAGAGAGCCGTGGACAGGGCGTGCAGTCAACGAGGAACTGGTATGGAAGGGGGCATTAGAATTGTTGCCTCTCTTGTAGCCGCCCGCCTAACAACGTCAAGCAACCGCCACAACGGCGAACGACTGCCGCTCGCTGCGGCCGCCTGCCACAAGCCTGCCACACTTACGAGCAGCCAGCGCTGCACATGCCCATCACCTCCCCTTCCCATGTTGCACAGCTTTCAAAGAGTGCGTCGCCTCGGGCTATAGCTACTCCATGAAGTGGCGAATATAAACTTTTGCAAAACTATTGCTGCACAAAACGGCGATCCTTATTCAGTCCAACCATTGCAACGAAACACCAAGAACTGGTGACAGCAAATGTCCAAATTCGAAGATCATGACGACATCGACAAGCGTATTAGGTAGCTCTAGCAACTTTGTAGGATACAATATGTTTTTTGACAATAGAAATGCGAGCTTCTTGAATGACCATGCGATGTCCGTAGTCCGCTCGTTTGATGTCGCGAGCCTTTCACTGGTTCTGAGCGGCGGCATCCATGAGACCAGCCAGGCTGACGAGCGCCAAGTTGAACTGGCTGAGCGTCCCTTGGTCGTACGTGACTGCTGTAGCAGCAGGCACAGCAGCCGACTCTGCAGAGCTGGATGCTGCGGAGGACGAACTGGGCGGGGGCACTGAGCTGGAACTCGACACGGAACTAGAGCTAACGGAAGAAGAAGATGATGAGGCCGTCGAACTGGACGGAGGCGGAGACCAAGTGGAAGACGAAGAAGGGGGAGGGGTATACGTGGGAGCTGGGGTAGGGGTCGGTGTAGGGGTGGGAGTTGGCGTAGGAGTCGGCGTCGGCGTCGGCGTCGGAGAAGGCGTCGGAGAAGGCGATGGAGATGGAGATGCAGCGCTATCGAGATTCCATGAACCGTAGATTGCCCCATCACTTTCAGGAGCGAAGAATTGGAACAGGCTGGGAGATAAATCAAGACCTCCGGCCGGGCATCCAGGGCACTGAAAAATAAACATCGGTTTCATACAGAGAAAGTTCAATCCCGTCGATATTTTTGCAGTTACTAACCTCATCCGTGATCTTTGCCTGGGTACTCTGGCCATTGTATGTTATGGTAATCTCCTGGTAACACATAGAACCTCCAGCCCATTGCTTTAAAAGGGATGAATGCCGGCAAAAAAGAGAGGAGGACTTAAAAAGCTTACAGCGATGTTCAACGCGACAACCTAAGATGGCACATAATATTGACGACCTCCTCATCTAATCAATCGCGAGCCAACTCACATAGTCACTGTCTTGATCAACGGAACCGCATGCGTTTGAACCGGTAGAGTAGTAAGTGAGCCTGGCATTATCGTAACGCTTCAACAGATGGTCATCTCTCTGCTGGAGTGCGTTCACAGGGTGCCGACGTCTCCCAACACCGTGGTTTCTGGCCGATAGGCGTGCGCCCGGCTCAGCGACCGCATAACTCAGAAAGGAGAACGCAAGGAAAGTGGATAAAAAGGAGAGACGAGAACCTGCGCGCATGGTGAGCTCGGACAGGCTTTGGGTATGGGTAGAGACAGGAAGGGCCTTATAGCCCAGCAAAGCGTAGGGCTGAGAAAAGAAGAGTAAGGAACAGGGCGCTTGTGTTCTTGTAACCCTCGGAAACGACTCGATTCAACAAAATCCAATCCCCCACAATTTGGCTGCAGCGGCTGTTAGCCAAGCCATGATTACGTAATCTGTAACTGGGCGTCTCACCATCGAGCGTCCTCAACTCTTCATCGCCACCTGCATCAAAAGCGAGAGCACGATGTCGGGCCCAAGCTTCCCGTGGCTCCGGATGACGATTGTCACTGCTGGATGTGCGCCCTCGAACCTGCTTCCGTGAATGAGTTCCTCACCGTGATCTTGTCGCCGAACGCTGCCGGTTCGTCGATGGTCAGTGCTAGGATTAGGGTACGGACTCATGCGTGGTGTGTTTTCTTGATTCCCATTGCTCCCTATTATGAGCTAACCAGCTTATATCCGTTAATGATTGCACCTTGCATACACAGCAACCGTGCCAACACCCGAGCAGACATACCAGGTAAGTCGCGAGTTTGTCATGTTTTTCTCCCCAACTTGTCTACCTGGTATTTCGGAAGTTGAAGTAGCTCATTCATTCTGTCCGAATCTCGACGTAGGCTATGGCTCCTGATTTACGCCGGAAGGTCGACGCAAATCGCGCTGCGCGGTTAGCCAGAGAGAACGCGACAAATGCGCAAGCGACTGCCCAGGTAAATGGCGATTCCTCTCGAGAGAATGCGAGCCTTACAAGAATGTCCATTACCCCTCTTCCTATTCACAGCTGAATGATCCTGATTCAGAGACACCTGTATGGGCCGATGCTTCGCGAAAGTCATGAATTTGCCTGTACAGCGCGGACATTCTATTCATTGACGGGAAATTTATTCTACGAAGATGTATAATGCGACTGAATACCGTCATGGTTCCGATTCACACAACCGCACGGTGTCTTTGAACCTTCGACTGCTCCCAGCTTCGCGCATGATTCAGACATCTTGTCAGCCGGCGTTGTATACGGGTTGACCTATCAATGTAGACCCGAAACATATTGTTCTTCCCGCGATTGAAGATCGCCCGAACGACGTAAAATAATACATTCACAGGCTCTTCCTCGCAAGTCGCAGAGGGTCGTACGCCATTCATTAAGATATACAGCAGAGGCAAAGGCGTTCGCTCCAAAGCACCGGCGACTACGTAGTCCGGAGCTTCACGGTGTTTCCTGCATGACCAGGACAGGAGGAACATTAATAAGTATGGCACACACGCATGAATCGGAGGAAGGGATCTAAGCAACAGACAGAGCCGGATCCGTGCGGAGGGAGCAGGAGAGGTGGTACAACATTCCTGAACATCTATTAGCTCCAGACTGCGCGACCTGTTGTCCGGATCCGCCGACGTGCTGCAGCGGATAAGTTATTCAGCAGTGCTTGAGTCGGCGCCGATGGTGACAAAAGGCGGAGAGGTGGAGTCTGTGGATCCGAGTAACGGTTTATGGGAGGCCGAGGACTCGGGTGACGATGATAGGATGTCGTAACTGGCTTGTTCCGAGGATGGGTCAATGGAAGACGCAATAGAATCCGCATGTGTAAGTGGTATCCGTTTCGCCGTAAAAGGCTCGCTCTCGTATGCGTCGTCGGTTGTACTGACACCAGGTGGCATAACGGGTGTCCGCGGTCGTGATGTAGGACGATTCGACATGCTTTCATGTGCGGCGCTTTCAGTATCCGCGGGGGATGGGATTGCATTCGCAGTAGAGGTCGCGCTGAGCATGGCGGTGCTGAGGGTGCTGTACGAGGGACTCGATGGTCCAGAATGTCCTGCCGACGATTGGTCCGTGTTGGCAGTCACAGTCGGAGGCAGGGAGGTATATGAAGACACACGGGCGCAACCATTAGCGGATGTCCCGGCACACACGCCCAACCCTGTCTCGCTGGTGGCGGCCGTGGAACCGCAATGGGATGACGTTGACTCCTCAGACGAGGTGAGTGCGGGAGAGAGAACAGCAGCGGGTGAGGGCACCTCGGACGTGCAGTCCGCCACGGTTGCTGGTCCACTGGAGGGAGTATCTGTCTGCGGAGATATTGAAGTACCCTCACCCTGCTGGGCATCTTGTGCGGCTCCGTTCGAGCCCTCTTTCTCTTTCTTGGCTGCTTCCTCCCGCTCGCGCTTCTGTTGCTCTTCATGATCAATGAGTGAGAGCCGCATTGCCTCCATGACCATGAGCTAATGGTAAAACAATGTTAGCCTTAGATTGAGCAGTTTCCACCGCAACTAACCTCTTCCAAATCTTGCCCGCCCAAACCCATTGAGCCCAGAAGCTGATTGATATCTTGGTTCTGTGGTCGCCTTCTTGATCTCCTGCTTCCCCGCTCATTGCTGCTTTCCCCCTCAGCCTGACCATCTTCAGTCGGGAGTGCATGAATACGACCGCTAGTAACGCCGACCGGGATGAGCCGATCGCCAACTTGCCGCATGATGATGCGTCTGTTCGCACGCCGGGCAACTGCAGCGCGTACGGCTGTCAGTTTCGCCTCCCAATCTGGACGAATCATGTCTGGGGTGGATAGTTCTGGTTAGTAGATACAGCGACATATGGTGAAAGCGACCCACCTATGGTCACTACTTCTGGGCTGTCATGTCCAAGGCTTTTACGACGGCGTTTCATGGACGCAGTCGCAGCTGAAGCTGCTGTTTCTAACGTTTGTTGCGACGTCCCTCTGGGAGACTCTGGCCACGAAGGCGGCGTCTACGGGAATTTGTAAGGTAGCGTCAATGATGATATCAAAGACCTATAAGCATAAATAAAGCAATACTAACAGCGCCCTCGCTACCCAGACCAGTGCGCCAGGGAGGTGGAGTGTAGACGATGCCAAAATTGTCCTGAACGCAATATGGACAGGACGCAGGCTCTGAGACCAGATGAGTAGTAGTGGGATCCGCACGCTTCATCTGCACAAAGCATTCCGTACAGATCGTTTGGTCACAGCAGCGCGAGTGATTGATATTTGGAGGGTAGTACTGGTCGCACGACGTAAGCGGCAAACAGCACAGAGGCACACAAGTCGTACCAAGAAACATATCGGGCACTCTACAGCACCCCGGTACATCGCAGCCTCAGGGTGTCGGACAGGGTCCCTTACATTGCTAGCGCGCTTATGGTGAGTCCTTGAGGCGTTGGAACTGAGTGACTCCGCGCGCAATAAGCTCGACGATTCTGCTGAGGCTCCTTCCGAATCCGGCGGCTCTCTCCTAGCAGCAAGAATCTGCTCGTCGTCCCACGATTCATCATAGTCCTCGAGGGGGCGGTAGAAGGGAGCGAGTTTGCGCTCGCCGATGAGTTGAGCGACTATGGCCTGATTCCAGTCTTTGGGACCGGTGTAGACGCCTTGAGGGTTTAGATAGCCAAAGTCGACCGTGTCTTCGTGGTGTCCACGACTAGAGGATGTGCTATTGCCCATCTCGGAGGATGAAGCACCCTCTGCTAGGGCCAGAGATGACGAGAACGAGAAACAGAGCTGAGCCTGAGAGCGATGTGGGCGTCACGCCAATGACAAGCGCACTCTGTCTAAGTGACGGTTCCCGGCTAAAGCCGCGTGAGACTCGGTCACTCGGATGGAAGTAACCTGAACTTAACAGAGAAAGGGTTCGAACAATCCTACTGTGTTTCGGTCGATCTTCTATATCTACCTCACTTCAAAGGTCCATATTATTGACACGCTGCAGGCTTAACAACGGTGCATGTTTCCTTGGCTGCGTCCATGGTCGCTTGAGCCAGGTGCGCATGTTGTCGTATTTGTGTGTACTGCACGTCTTCAACGCCACCTAGCTTGGAAGGGTAAGCAGAATTCTTTCCATGATTCAGGTCGTGAAACTGCCTGTTTGTTTGAATTCGGTTCGGGCGGCGAATGGCGTCTACGAGATCTGATCTCCACAGTCCCTCAGACTTGCCATCGTCTTCTTCAAATTCATCAGCCCTGCGCATCCTTTGCGATTTGAAACTAGTCTTGTTCGATAGTGAAGCTACGAACAATCCTTGCGTATGAACACCTGATACTCCAGAGGTGAACGAAGTGGGGACGAACAATGCCGCCTCCTTTTACAGAGCGCTGGAAAGGACTCAAATATTTCTACTATATTTCTGCGGCAGAGATTCGACGGCTTTCCTACCATCTGCGATGTGCGTCTTACTCTTGATACTCTCTTTTATTTCGCCAGATGCGGGAGATGGAAGTATTGTTATTGCTGTGAATCCCGAGTGACGCCTGTTACCGTGCGTGCTTTCATTCCGGCCTCTGATGTGTGTCTCAACAAGCACATCTGCTTTTCATGTAGGAGGTGCCTTCGCACCGCGGTTCTGAAACTGCGGTAGAACTCTTGGAAAACCTTCCAGTAGGTTCTTCACCAGGTAATAACCTAGGTACCATCAAAGAGGGTAGTTATTGACTGTTTCTAACAGTCATTAACATTATCCAAGCGCATCTACGAGTGAGCGACGAAGTCTGGGAAGGTTCCCAGCTGTAAGACATCGACGCTAACAAGGCTTCGAACTTCGAATGGTCAGGCCCAACCTTCTCTAGACTCGGGGCAAATTATGATGCCTGCCTACCAGAATCGCGGTCGGAAACCTGTCCGAAAACATTCACAGTATACCTATACGAGCAGTAATTCACTGACAAATTTCGGCCTCGGGTTCTTCTCCCAGTTTATCCCCAGTTAATAGCCAGGGTTAAACTGTAACCACCTTCCGAAGAACCGGAGCGTCATTCCTGGAGGCTGGGTCTCCAAACTTCAGCGAGGTTATTTTATCTGCTTTTCCAGGACGTGTTCAGAGTTCGACGGGTACTGCGGACGTCAATCCATTTCATCTAGCGTGCCTACCTACCTTGTAACTTCCGGCTACTAGCTACTAACTAGTACTAGTAGTAGCTTCGGCACGTTCTTGACGATGGCACGTGCTCCAAATGTCCCACGTCTCATGTGCTGACTAAGCAAGTTTAGCTGCTTTATTTGGAAACGCCAGGCACTTTGCCACGTCGTCGAAGGAGATTTTATGACACGTAGGCAGGCGTGCTGCTTAGGCTCTTGAATCTATACCACGAGTTTGAGGACTTCTCAGTGTACTTGAGTCCCAGGCTGTAGACATGGACGCCCCCTGGACGAAAACTGGCGACGAGATTCTGCAGCATTTCTCCGTGGATCCCAGTCGTGGATTGACCTCGGACCTCGCTGCTAAGCACGCTGAGCTGTACGGGAAGAACGGTGGGTGAGCTAGTCTTGAGAGTAACCGTGCACGCTGCTCATATTACCATCGTGGTCAGAACTTCCGGAGGACCCGCCTACTCCACTGTGGGAGCTTATTCTGGAGCAGTTCAAGGATCAACTCGTACTCATTCTACTTGCTTCGGCGTTTATATCTTTCGTTCTTGCTTTAATCGATAATTCTGAGGGTGTTTCTTTCGTCGGTGCATTTGTAGAACCTGTAGTCATTCTGCTGATTCTTGTGGCCAATGCAACTGTGGGTGTGATCCAGGAAACGAATGCAGAGAAAGCCATAGATGTGCGCATCTCTTCTTCTTGACCTTCAAAATACTAACCACGCTGCAGGCGCTCAAAGAGTACTCTCCCGATGAAGCTACAGTATACCGTAATGGTCAAGTTTGCCGAATACACGCGTCGGAACTTGTCCCTGGAGATATCATCACCATTTCTGTCGGAGACAAGATCCCTGCTGACTGCAGGTTGCTCTCCGTTTCATCCACAAGTTTCCGCATAGACCAGGCTATATTGACCGGTGAAAGTATCAGTGTTAACAAGAGCCCTATTGTTGTGCCCGATCTCAAGGCCGTGAAACAAGACATGACGAATATACTTTTTGCTGTGGGTTTCCGACTTGATCAATTCTACGTCAAGTACTAACAAATTTCAGGGTACCACAGTGGTCAATGGAAAGGGGAGGGCTATCGTCGTTTTCACCGGACAACACACAGCGATAGGTGATATCCACAAGTCCATCACGTCTCAAATAAGCGAGAAGACTCCTCTCAAGCGTAAACTAGACGACTTCGGTGACATGCTAGCCAAGGTGATATCTGTCATCTGTATTCTGGTCTGGCTCGTCAACTATCGCCACTTCTGGGATCCCGCGCATGGAGGTGCACTCAAGGGTGCGATCTATTACTTCAAGATCGCCGTAGCATTGGCCGTGGCTGCAATCCCAGAAGGTTTGGCTGCCGTCATCACCGCCTGTTTGGCGCTGGGTACGAAGAAGATGGCCCAGAAGAACGCTATTGTGCGGAACCTACCTAGCGTCGAGACCTTGGGTTGTACGAATGTGATATGTTCGGACAAGACCGGTACCTTGACGACGAACCAGATGAGTGTCTCGCATGTTAGTCGACATTTCTTTTGTTGCAGTACTACTTCGCGTTCTAACGATACCCTTAGTTCTTCGTCATCGATTCCACGGGTGCGCTCAAGGAGTACACGGTTGAAGGCACTACATTCGCGCCTTATGGGTCGGTCGAGTCTGCTGGTGGCAAAGATGCCTCTGCTGAACCTCGTTCAGAGCCTCTGCAACGTTTGGCCGAGATCAGTGCTATCTGCAATGATGCCAAGATCGTGTATCATGCGGTGGGTCTCTTACTACATTTGCTGTTCATGCGCATCGCTAACAGTTTACTGTAGGATAAGGACATATATGCAAACGTCGGCGAACCCACCGAAGCAGCTCTGAAGGTCCTTGCGGAGAAGCTCCCATGTCCTGACCCTGAAGTAGCGAAGTCGCTCCCAGACCTTGCACCCGCTGTCCGTGCAAGTGTTGTGAATGAGTACTACGAACGCACCATCCCCAAACTGATGACATTCGAGTTCTCCCGAGACCGGAAGATGATGTCCGTGCTGGCGTCCAAGAACGGCAGCGGTGTTCTGTATGCCAAGGGTGCTCCGGAAAGTATCCTGGAGCGATGCAATGCAGTTCTTATCGACAACACCACGGTGCCTCTAAATGCGAAACTGCGATCGACGATCCTTGAACAAACGGCAGTCTACGGTTCCCAAGGTCTTCGCACCCTTGCACTGGCATACGCTCCCCAACAAGTTCTCGACAATGCGTGTTATCGGACCGAGGATCCACAAGACTACGCACGGTTTGAGAAGGACCTCATCTTCGTATCCCTTGTAGGAATGCTCGATCCTCCCCGTCCCGAAGTGAAGCTCGCGGTTGCAAATTGTCAGGCTGCAGGAATCCGTGTCATCTGCATTACCGGTGACAACAAGCGCACTGCAGAGACTATCTGCAGACAGATCGGTGTCTTCGGCGAGGACGAGGATTTGACGGGCAAGAGTTATACTGGTCGGGAACTGGACGAACTCAGTCAGGAGGAGAAGTTGGCAGCAGTCATGAGGGCTAGCCTGTTCAGCCGCACAGAGCCGTCGCACAAGAGTCAACTCGTGGATCTGCTCCAGAGCCAGGGTCTTGTTGTCGCGATGGTTTGTGAGGATTTCAATCTGTACACACTTCTGCTCATCTGTTCATCTACAGACCGGAGACGGTGTAAATGATGCACCTGCTCTCAAGAAGGCAGACATTGGCGTTGCCATGGGCAGTGGTACCGACGTCGCGAAGCTCGCTGCCGACATGGTGCTTGCGGATTCGAACTTTGCAACCATCGAGCAGGCGGTGGAGGAAGGCAGGTTGATATACAACAACACAAAGCAATTCATCCGATACCTTAGTATGTGACAAGCATTCTGCGCTTCACCTCCGTACTCACCTCGCGGATCACAGTCTCGTCGAATATTGGCGAAGTCGTCAGGTTGGTATGCCTTGATTCACTTTGAAATGACTGGTGCTAAGAGGATAATCTTAGCATTTTCTTGACTGTTCTTCTGGGTATGCCGGAAGCACTGATCCCGGTGCAACTTCTATGGGTCAACCTTGTCACAGACAGTCTCCCGGCGACAGCCCTTGGTTTCAACCCTGCGGACCACAGCATAATGCGCGTGCCACCACGAAACAACCGTGAACCCCTTGTCGGTGGCTGGCTGTTCACTCGTTATATGATCATCGGCGTCTATGTGGGCTGTGCGACGGTGGCGGGTTACGCCTGGTGGTTCATGTATTACGCCGGCGGACCGGAGATTACCTTCTACCAGCTGGTATGTATTCTGCTTGTCAGATGGCTGTTGTGTTTGACTAAGCGGCGCCGATGCCAGACACATTTCCACAAGTGCACTGCACTATTCCCCGAAATTGGATGCGAAATGTTCACCAATGTCATGGCGCACCGTGCGACGACGATGAGTCTCTCGATCCTAGTAACGGTGGAGATGCTCAACGCCATGAACTCGCTGTCTGAGAACGAGAGCCTGCTCGCGCTTCCAGTGTGGAAGAACCCGTTCTTGGTCGGCGCGATTGCGCTGAGCATGCTTCTCCACATTGCGATCCTGTACATTCCTTTCTTCACGGTGAGTCTCTCACCAGCAGTGTGTAAATGCGTGACTCACGACTTTTTAACAGCAACTCTTCGCTATCACTCCTCTCAACTGGATCGAGTGGAAAGCCGTATTGTATTTCAGCGCTCCTGTTATTGCCATCGACGAGGTCTTGAAGTTCATATCCGTAAGCCGAAGATCTCGTGAAGCCGGAGCACTGCTGACCTTCGCGCGCAGGCAACATTTATTGCCCCCCCATCAAAAATCAAGACCAACTAGAGTACATATATACGTCGAAGACACTGTAGACTTGCCACGATCGCGAATGATCATGAGGTAGTGTGTACGCATCTCTTCTTCCGGCTCCGTAATGCATTGCTTCTGTGAACAAACGCCCACTGCCGCGCACAAGAACGGACATATTTTCTCAACTCGAACTTTGCCTGTGAGAGGAGCTTGGTGGTCTTCTGGATCTGTTGGAATTTGAGTACGTGATACTTTCTCTGAGCTGTTCTCTGGATGCGGCGGTCCGGCGGCCGGGTGGGGTACTGAAAGGCTGCGACATGCGTAACTTGGTAGGTCTCCCGAATCAGTCAGTCGTTCATCACCTGAGCTAATAATCCAAGCATTCGAAGCCTGTAAAGCTGAGGCTGTACTCGGTATGTCGGAACGTGTGTCCGGGACTCCATTCAAAAAGAGTCTAATCGGTGAGGGCGTTACTCTACTACATGTGCATGTCCTGCCGTCATCCAGTCATCAGACTTGGAACGTGGAGGAGAATGTGAGTCGCATCGCACAATCTGTGTCCTAGCTGAAATACTTTCCTCCTCTGGGGTGTGCGATTACAGTGCTCAGGCTTTGGATCAACGCTCAACTTGCAGAGTATACCCGGATCTGGCCCCGGCGACACAGCAAGAACGTTAACATCGACTTTGGATCGCAGTCAACTGATCCTGGCTGTCGTCCATCGTGAGTGCGGAGTCTCATGCATCTGTCAGACCGCAGGAAAACTTACTAACCAAATTCTAGGCGACGGGCATAACATGTTCTTGGCCGCTGGTCCGACGAATGGCCGTGATGCAGCACCTCGGAGCAGAGCAGGCATGTATTTGGAAGCACGGCGCGACTGTTGCCAAGCACTGTGAGCGCTCGTACGGCACCACGCATTGGTCGCGTTGGATCTTGCTCCGCTGTATTCAGTCCGCACGAGCAGCCGGCGCTGTACCAACGCTAATAAATAGGATGCACAGCTATTCGACGCTGGTGAATTGACTGATAAGATGGTGGAAACCGTCTTCGCGTCGCGTTCCTACGTTGGGCGCGGAGATCTGTGGGATTGGACTCGTCTTCTGCCGCGTGAAGAAGGATGGCCAGATGACAAACGGGTCGCGCCTCATTGGGCCGGGGGGTGGTCGAAATCTGAACGCACATCCTCCAGCACGGACCGCCTTCTCGAAGCTCGTGCGCATGCATGAAGGACCAATCCTGAAAGGCGCTCAGGCTCCGAACAGGCGTCTGCGGAAAGCCCAGCCACCTTTTGAGTTGACCGCCTTTTGGCCAAGGAGCCCCGTCCAGAGCAACAGCGGGTATGACTAGGTGCCCACCCGTGCGCATCACGTTGCGTTGCGATCTACGACGCTAGTGCTCACCTGCTCTTTCCAGAGTTCCGAATGCGCGACGTCGCGATCGGGTGGTCGCCTCAAAGATTCGCGCCCGCTCCCGCCGTCGGTCATCGCAATAGAGAGCGTCGTATCGTGGATCGAGTCGTCCGCTAGTCTTATCGCGGTCGTGTGCAGTCGAAAATCCGAGCGCGTCGTCATGCATCATCGTCGCGCGGCAGACCGCTTGGCGGCCATACAATTCACCGCAAACTTAACCGGCTACGGAGCGTGACAGATGCGTGACACTCGCCTCTCGCCTCTATTACGTACGCCACCCGTAAAAGGAGCGTGGATAGCCATATACAGCAGCATCCTTCCGCTGGCGGATTCCATTTCGCTCATCGCCCCGCGGCGGCTGTACGCATCGTCCCCGGCCTTCATGCCCTCTGCTTTCGCTAGCAGCAATTTCTGCGGTGCGGTGTGGTGTGGAACTTTCGACCCGAACACGCGCACGCGCGCGCAAGTGGGTTTCACCGCTTGATCAATCGCGCATCTCAGCGATCGCCCGTAATATTAATGCACGCGCTTGAACACCCGGCCGATGCCGCCGATCGCGCGCGCGCGCACGTCCATTCCCTCTCTGCGCGGCTCGTCTCCGACGAGACCATGTACGCGAGGCTCGCTGCTGTCCCGTGCGGTCCCTGATATTCCGTATTCAATATAGTATGCAGTACCAGCACTCAGCACTCAGTACTCAGTGCTCACCCCGCGTGCGCAGAACCCTCGGGCGGATCACGACGAGCACCGCGCACTCGCCGGCAAAGTGCCCCACCCGAGACATTCCCCAGCATTCCCCGCACGAGCACACCATCGCGCGCCGTAGCCGAGGGTGGATCGCCGGTCCCGACGCGCCGCGCGACCGACAGGCTGGCTGCCATAGTGGCCCCCCACACATGCCGGGTGGAGGCTCTTTCTGCACGGAGCGGGTTATTATAACGCTGCACGCATACAACACTAGCGCTGGTTGGGTGGCACTGCACGCTCGGCGCCAGATGGGCACGCGTACTAGAGACCCGCACCTGCCTCCAAAATCCGATCCAGAAGACGCACAGAAGACTATACCAAAGTTCAAGCGAGCCGGGGGCGGCTACTTCTCCATCTCCAGCCTCGCGCCAAGCCCCGCGACGCGCTAGAAGCCACGAAGCTCGAGACACCAATACACAAGATCGCCGCATCTACTTTATCGTACATACACCCGGAGCGCAAGCGGCGGTTGGGAGCATCTAAATCTTACACCGAAGCGTCCCCGTACTCGTGCGCACGCCCGTGCAACGGCGCCTCAAACCCGCTCTCCCCGCGGTCGACGGGGACGTGCGTCGGTTCCGCCTCCGCGTCCTCGGGCTCAGGCTCGGCGAGGAGCGGTGCGGCGCTCTCGTCCTCGTCCGCGTGCACGTGGCGTGCGAGCGTCGCCAGTGCTATCTTCGGGGAGTGCGCGTGCGGCGGGCGAAGGAAGGCCGGCGGGGGTACAAAGTCGTAAAAGAGGGCCTGTGCGCGCCCCGGGAGGGGGCAGTCAACCATCATCGTCCACTCACCACCACCGAGCGCACGAGGAAAAAGCGGCTTACAGTCCCGTACCTGCACCGCGCGCGTGAGCCTCGCGCTCGCAACCACCACCACACCACACCAACACACAAGCAAAGGGGGGACTCACACGAGCAGCGCGAACCCCGCGAGCTGGAGGAGCGAGACGGGCCAGACGAACGCCTCCCAGCCGAGCGCGAGGCTGACGAGCCAGATGACGAGCGTGCGCGCCGTGTCCGCGAGGCTGCGCGCGGTCGCGCCGACGTAGCGCGTGACGCTGATGCCGCACCAGTTGACGAGCGCCATCGCGCACGCGGTGAGCGCGCCCGAGAGCAGCACGGCGCGCGTCTGGGTGAGCTGCCGCCAGCCGAGCGCGAGGTCGAGCTCTGGCGCCGCGGCGGCGTACGAGGCGAGCAGCGGCGTGAGGAGGAGCACGGTGGTGAAGCCGAAGAGGCCCTCGAAGGCGACGACGGCGAGGCCGGGGGCGGCGTAGCGGCTGAGGAGCTTCTCTGTGGGGGCATGAGTGCGAGGAGCACGGAAAAAATGGGGGAGGAAAGGATTGTACCCTCGATTACGAACTGGGCCGCGGTGCTGCACACACGGGGACCCACAGGAGGGAGGAGTCAGCACGGGCCGGAAGACGAGGAGCACGCGGAAAGAGAGAAGGCGTGGGTGGGCACTTACAAGACCTGCGCGCCGAGGATGAAGAAGACGCCTGTGTGGACGGGGATGGGTCAGCGGGGCGCGGAGAGAAGCGAGCGGGAGAAAGCGTGGGCGGACCGAGAAGCGAGTGGGTGATCCCGAGCGCAGTGTCCTTGTGCTCGAGGGGGACGGCGGGGGATTGAGGGCGCATGGGAGGGGACGCGGCGAGCACGGGCTGTTGGATGGCACTACAGAGGCCGACCAAGGCAACACCCGCCATAACGGTGACAAGCGCTACCCATCTGGGAAGAAGGGTGTCAAATAAGCGCGCACGCGTGTTCGGGACGACGTACTGATACGGAGCGAGCTTGCGGTGGAGGAAGAGGACGGAGAAGACGGCGACGAAGAGGACGAGGGCGGCGCGGGACATCTGGTAGACGGAGACGGGCGTGTAGAGGAGGCCGACGTACATGAGCTATGGCGTGGGGAGATGGTCGGGCACGCCGGGGAAGGGAAGGGCGAGTGAGCGGGGGGGAACGAAGAGAAGCGGGGAAGAGAGAGCGTACGGTCGTTCCAGAAAGGTCACAGGCGGCTGGAAGCCAGAGAAGAAGGAAATGGCAGCCATGCAGAGGCGGTGTGCTCTGGGCTCCACCACGGGCGGCTGGCGAGGCTTCTCCGGAGGGAGGGCTGCGCGGGCGTCTGGTGGTGCAGCACACGTACGCGAAGGGCAGGAAGCCTGGGGGGAAGGCGGATTAGGAAGATAGGAGGAATATTAGGAAGGGCGAGGACTTGCAGAGCATCTCTCCGACTGGCACGGACGGTGACAGTCAATGGCGCGTGGGCGGTGATCATTGCATGAGGAAACATACAGAACATCTGCAGCGTTTGCCAGACGGGCTGCCGGTAGAGCTCGTGGTGGGCGATGTTTGGGTCGCTGCAGTTGGCGACGCAGAGCATGTCCTTGCGCATGCGAGTGAGTGTGCGGATACGGAACACACGGAGAGACGCATGCCTGCCATTTTCCTGCGAGAGCGGTGAGGGATCCCTGAGGGAGGTGAGCGGGCGACAGGTAGAACGGAGAGAGACGCACGAGGAGGAGAAGGGCGGAGACGAGTGCGGTCCTGTTGGGCATGGCGGTCGGAGTCGGGGCCGCGGAGTCGGGTAATAGTGCCAAATAGGGTCGGGGACGGAATCGACGCGCGTGGGAATCGAAGCACAGAAGACGTGTGACGCGTGTGACGTGGAGTGACGGAGGATGGAGAGATGTGTTAGCGGCGAAGAAGGAAGAGCTCTTCTCGGATGAGAGCTTCTCGACATACAAATGGATCCGTCTCCCATCAGCCCCGTCCACGCTCTTTCCCTCTCCCCCGCACCGGGCCATGGTCCACCTCCTCCTCGCCCCCCTCAAGGGCAACAGCGCGTCCTCCCGCTCCTTCCCCTACCACGGCTACCTCGGCCTCACCCCGGTCAGCGTCGAAGGCAGTGAGTAGTACTCTCTCCCCGACCTCCTCTCCTCCGCTCACCTTCTCCAGCCGTCCGCACCTCTCTCGACGAGGACGGGAAGACGATCCCCGCAAAGACCCTCACCATCTCCATCCGTTGCTACGAGTCCCGCGTCGGTCGCTTCCGCTCCACCGTGCACACAAAACTCGTAGTCGACCACACCGAAACCCTCTGGTCAAAGCCCGACTCCGCAGACTGGGCCGACGTCGGCGTCCTCGACTTTCCCTTCAAGCTCACCCTCCCCAAACGCATCCATGGCTTCAGCACCGCCAACTTTCACGACTACCGCACCTTCTGGCGATTAGAGGCCGGTCAGTCTTTGGCGCTTCCTCCCCATCTATCACCCCTCTCTCATCATCATATTTTCTCCTCTAGCCCTCGAACACCTTCCCATGCCCGGCGTCGGTTCCCGTCTCCTCCGCTACTACGATCTCCCTCTTATTCGGTACGACAACCTCGCCCTTCCTCTCCCCGCGCTGTGTCCCCCACCCGTCACCCACGCGCTCTGCCTCCAGACCACCAAGCCCCGCGCACCCGTCGTCCGCTACAACATCTCCACCCCCACCGTCCCCGTAGGTCCCCATGACATTATCTTCTCCTCTCTCTTCCTCCAGCCGTTAGACCCGGGCGTTTCCGTACGCAGTGCTACCCTCGTGATCGAGCGCCGCATCGACCTCCACAGCACCCCCGCCTACGATTCTTCGACGTCGATATCCTCCACCTCGTCCAGCGCACCCTCCACCCCCGATTACTTGACCGATAACAGCTTCACGCCCACCACCGGCAGCCCTCTGCTATCCCCCTATTCCAGCGACTCTCCGCGATCCGTACACGACGTCCCTCCTTCCCCGTCCTCCAGCACCTCGCCGCTCGACGACAACACCACCTCTACCTCCCGGTTTCTCTCCCCGACCCCGTCGTCCTACCCGCCCACGCTCTCCATCCCCGACACCCGATTCACTTCCCCATATGCCACCACCCCGGTTGACCTCCCCCGGCGCACACTGACCGCCACCGTCGCGTCCGCCGAGGACGCCAGTTTCGCGTGCGACTCCTCCGGCGTGTGGTCCAGCACGATCACGCTGCAGTGGCCCGCCCCCCGCAGCCTCAGCCGCTGGGCGCTCGGCGAGACGCTCCACAGCGACTTTGCGTCCGTGCGCTTCTTCATCAAGACCAAGGTCGTCATCGCGTCCGCCGCAGGCGTCGAGGCGCTCGAGCTCGAGGAGCGCGAGCTCGCGGTCACGGCGACGAACGAGGCCGAGCGCGAGCTCGCGCTCGCAAAGTACAACGAGCAGCGCGAGGCTGCCCAGCGCTCCAAGTCCAAGTCGCCCTGGAGACGGCGCGAGCGCGACGCGGACGCGTCTGCGGCGGCGCCGCATGGGTATGCGCACACGCGCTCGCTCCCCGCCTCGGCCGCACGCGAGAAATTCGACGCGGAGCAGGCGCACGCGCACCACCATCACAGGAGCGAGCCGCCCACCGGGCGCAGCAGCGTCTCGAGCGCGCGCAAGGACATGTACTCGTCGAACGTCTGGGGGTCCGCCATGTCCGCCGCGAGCGGGAGCGCGAAGCCGCCGACGGGCACGCGCAAGCTGAAGACGCCGCGCCGGCCGCACACGTCTGCGGGCCCGCGGGACAAGTCGAATTTCCCGTATGCGGCGCGCGCGGAGGTGGGGCTGAACTCGAGTCCGGACGCGAGCGCGGAGGTGGGCGCGGCGGCGCGGCGGCCGAAGGAGAGCGGGCTGGGGGAGTCGATGCTGTTCGCGCGTGACCGCAGCCGGGAGACGCGGGCGCGCAAGCGCGAGAGCGGGTCGTCGCGCGAGCTGGGGGGGAAGGCGGTGGAGCTGGACCATGTACGGGCGTGGGAGGAGGAGCTGAAGCGGATCGAGCTGCAGTCGCGGCGGAGCAGCGCGGGGATGCGGGGCCTGTGGGGGCTCGGCCGCAGGAAGCAGCTCGCGCAGACCGGGTAGGGAGCGGTGGGATTTGAGCTGGGGGTTGTCTGCGCTCGCTCTGCGTGGGTCCGTTCTCCGCTTTTCGTTTTGCTTTCGCTTTCGCTTCCGTCCGTGTTCTTTGCGCGGCTGGGTGCACTAGGTCGTCGCTGTCGCCCCGTGTTTTCTTGCACGCCCGCCCGCGCGCGTGTTGTCGTCATTTTTTGCTCGCAGCTCGACTGCAGCTGCTCTTGCATCCGCACCTCCGCACCCGCACCCACACCCACATCTACGTACTCGTCCAGTCTCGTCGCATCGCATCACGCCGTCCTACGATACCTACACGCACATACCGTACACCCGCGTAATCCGTACATATAATCGTTCCCCCTACCCTCCCCGCCCCATTCGCATCTGCATCTGCATCGCATACCGCATACCGCACTTACCCATTGACACGAGCCGCGCGTGCGCCGCTGTTTACTTATTCATATCGGACTGCTACCGCACGTCTCCGTGCACCGCACGCCGGCGCCGTTCCGCATTATTACGACGCTGAGCGCGTGGCGCTTGGCGGGTTCGTGCTTGTGCATGGACGCCAATTGAATGAGAATTTTCGTTGACTTGGCCGGCACGTACGCGTGACGGCGTTACGTGCTTCTTGCCAAGCATCGCTGCGTTGACTTGCGTTGATTCGCCGGATGCGGATGAGTGTATTGTAGTGTATTGTATTGTATTGCGGGTGGTTCAGATTCGGAAATCGGAACTTGGAATTCGGAATTCGGGGGAGCTTCCCGGCGTGCTGTCGTGGTGGTGGACGGGCGTTGGGGCTGGCTTGGCCCTTGGCGAGATGCGGAGTGGGAGGGGGCTGCGGTGCGTGACGAACTAGTCGGGGTTGGAGTTGTATGTAGAACTCTTCGGGGGAGACGATAGGGGGATGACCAGCTCCGCACCAGATCGTTCGGCAACCTGTGTCGAAATCAGGCGAAAGTACTGTACGCGCGTCGCGTGTGCCCGAGTCTTCTGGCGTTGGTGTAGGTGTCGTGCTACGGGTGCGTTGCATGATTAAACTTGTGCTATCCCCGAGCGATGGACCGTTTCACTTCGGTTTCGCCGAGACAGACGAATGCGGGCCGCTGTCACGGCCACGCGACTCGGACTTGCACCTGGTGGATCAGATCGCAGCAAAGACCGGCGGGGGGTCTTCGTGACAACGGTTGCCCGCGTTGTTGGGAGAGACCTTGCAACTCCTCGCGGGCTGCTGGATTTTTAGCTGGTAGACGAGGATTTCACGGATTGGAAGCGTGACGTGACTGTCGCGTCCCGACGCGTCAAACATGTCACAGCGACTTCGCGTCTCTGGCGTAAGGACATCTTCGTCGCTCCCATGGATGCATCCGTCGTCGATCGCGTCACCCTCTCTCGAACACCTGGCATGCATACAACATATATGCGAAACTTGGGGCTCTCGTTCAGGCGCTCATGGCTGTCACGGTATTCATCTTTTCGTCCGGATACATGCGCCTCCTCACGCTCTCGAGAACGGTCTGTGGCCGAGATCCAAAGCGTCTCGTTTAGGATGAAGGTTGTGTTGGCTATTGAGAGAGTCAGCGTTCTGCATCTAGTTCATGGCTGATCTTTGAGTAATTTCATCTCGAAGCACGGTTATATGCATCTTCGCAGCTTCTCCACCTCGTGCACCCGTCCTCGACGTCAGCCCAGCCGGGACGCGCCTTCCAGAACGCTATATAGGGCCCACGCGCTCGCGGTGCATGGCAGTACTTATTTTCTGGAGTCGGATTCTCGCCGGGGGAGCTCCTCCGAATTCATCGTCTGCGTGCACGACTCTCCCGCAAAAAAATGTTAACACGAACAAGGCGAGCGGTGAATTAGCACCGGCGAGGTTGCAGTACTTGCTGGGAACTGCTGACTGCACGCTCTCTCACCTCCGTCCCATGCTTACAGACCCACTCCAGATCCGCAGACCGTACGCTTTATATAAAGCTTCTCATCCACCCTGAGAGGACTCGTGTGCCTCCACAGTTTCAAATCGGTGTGTCTTGTTCCGTGTGCAGAAGTGTGGCAGATTCAAAATACTTCTCTGCAGGGCTCTTGTAATTCTCCAGCCTTCTGCTTCGCCCGGACGATGTCCGAGTCCGAGCGCAGCACGCCGTCCGGATGTTCATATCCTGCACAATCCCTCCTGTGAGCACTTGAGCGCTCGAGCATCCGCATTTATGACCCCCCCGTGCGTCCGTGTACATGTTCGTCTTCGAATCCAGCACGCGCGTCTCCTCGAGTTCGCTTCATGTGTCCAACTGCTGCAGAGCGTGTGGTATGCATGTACTGAATGAGGCGATCATCAATACCGGTTGGTCAGGTATCCCGCCGGCAGCTTCTCATCTGTCAGCACTCCCTGTATTGCTTGCCTGCCCCTTGTTCCCAATAAGGCCGCGAAGGCTGCTTCGAAGCTTCGAAGCTCCCCCATTCACAGGTCTCTTCTAGGGCGCCTAAAGACGCATACCAGATGCGGCGCGTCTGATACATCATAACTTACTTCAGGACGCGGGAGAGAGCCACGTCCGGGCACGTGTGTTCACGCTCACTCGCACACGTCTGACAGACTCACCACTTTGCTGCGATGCTGATGGCAGTGGCGAAGGCTGCATGCCTGTCAGATATTTGGCAGGTCGGTGGCTAGAGTGGCGCGCGGACGCGCATGCCCAGCCGCGGTGGTCTCATACCAAGGCCACCCATACGACGTGCATACACGTTGTCAGAGGAGTTACTGCAGCCGCGGATTCCGAGTCCTGCATACGACTCAGCGCTGCTCTGGACACTAGATGCTGGGACTGAATGTCCCCCTCCGTTGGCTTGATGCAGCATCCACTGGACTTGACAGGTCACCAGACAGCTGAAAAGTGTGCATTCTCCCAGCATCACCCGCCCGGAGGATGGTTGTCCCACCAATGTCCCACCAATGACCAACCTATGAACGTTTGCGGTTTGCGGTGATTGTTCCGCAACGAAAGATTGATGATGGAGAATGTTTGCGTGCGCACAACGCCATGGTGAGTATACAGGACAGTGGTGCTGGGCTGCGATCTTTTTTTAACCGCGATCTTGGTTCATGGTGATACGACATAGCGAGCTGGTCTTTGCCACCTCATTCCATTTCACGTACTGGGATGCCTACGTACAGCTCTCCGCGGGTTCCTTTAAATTTTAAACGCAGGATGCGAATATTCGGCCGTTCAAAGGATCCGAAACAGTCCGGTCTCCAGGCAGCTTTATGATACGTACTTGAAGACACCGAGGCTGCGAATTCGGGCAGCGTCATTTCCATTCCGCCACCAAGGTGTAATTTTTTCAACCACGAGGTGTGACCCGCAACAGTTCGCTAGAGCGGGGCCGGGAGCATGCGGTCGATCTCGTCTTCAGACTCGTCGTCGCTGTCGGGCTCTCTCTCTGCCGCCTCGCGAGTCAAAGCCTCCAGCTCGTCGAGGTCCCAGCCGATCATGCTCTTCTCCATCTTCAGGCGCGCAACGTCTCTCGACAGTTGGTGCAGAACGTCGTCGCTAGCACGACCAGGTGTGAGCCTCTTCTACCCGCAAATGCTACAACAAAAAGCAAGACAAACCTCGCATACGCCGCTGTCCACACGCAGAAATCGTCCACCCATATCTTGCTGTAGACGTAGTACACGTCGTGATGGTCCAGTATGTGCTTCATCTCCAGGAGGCAGCGGGTGACGGCCCGCTTGCCCTTCGTGAGCCGCGCCGCAACGTCGGCGCGGCACGCCTCCGCGAGCGCGAACGAGCGATGGAGCGGGAAGGCGAGAGCACGCCGGTACGATGCTGTGAAGACGGCGGCGAGCTCCGACGCGTCAAACGAAGATGATTGCGAGAGTGGTGGCGGCGTTGGCGAATACGGCGGAGGATCGAGCACTGAGAATGCGGGCGTGAGACTGCTGATCGTCCAGGCGCTCTCTGGGGTCGGGTCGTGCTGTGTCGTACGCGTGTCGTACGCATGTGAGAACAGTAGACTGAGCAGTGTGAGGTAGAGGTTATGTGCTTGGCTGGGGGTTGCCAGATCTGTGCCATAAAGTCAAGGTGAGTTCTCCGGTACCACGAAATAGTGTATGGTGTGCACAGACATTCTCTGCGAGGGAGACGCAGCATAGTGAGGTTCTCTTCCTCCGTATATTTGAACTCGTCGGTCGCGGTTACATGCGGGTTTCGCCACGCGATCAACTCTTGAATATACTCATCTTCGACAAAATCTGCCCTACGTGACGTCAGTACGAGCGCTTTGACGGAACCCGCAATCTCACATGTAATATTCCTCGTCCCATTTCTCTTCCTCGTGTTCGAGACGCTTTCGACGGCGCTCGTCAGGCGGGCACGTCTCAGCGTCTCTACCGAGTTCGTTCACCTCGTTTTCAGTGTGCGCGACATGCCGAAAATATCCCGAATGCATGTCTAGGAAGCCATACCGGTGGGTGGCGCTCATCTGTAGTGGAGGTAGGGCCTCGGGCAGGTCCTGAGGGATCTGCCAGTCATTCTGCGCCGCTGGAGCAGGAAGTCAGATATGCAGGAAATGGGGATCATTGATCGTTATTCTGACCTTGGAGAAACTCATCGTGCTCGAGGGTCAGACTTTGCGTCCGCGCCGATAACACGTCGTCTTCGGTGACGGGGGCATCCTCGGAGCTCAGGACTTCAATCACAGACTGTTCTGGAGGATGCCCAGGCGGACGAGGTGTGAGGAGCTTCGTCAGGAGATCCAAGTCCTTGAACTCCTGCCCTTTGACCGCCTTGGTCAGCGCAACAATCAAATACCCCGAACTGGGGTCGTAGGACGCGGACGCCCGTTCGTCGTCCACCAGTGCATGGATGAAGTTGAGTCGCAGAAAGTACGGGTTGATGTGAACAACGTCTCGTCGACGTTGATCTCGACGTCGGAGGCCTACTTCCGGAGCGGTGCTGCTAATTTGGAGACAAAAATCGGCAAATAGAGAGAGACATACTCGAACGGAGGGG